ATAAAAAAAATACAAAAGTCGCACCTTGGAACTTTGTATGTTTGAGTGAATCCTGTAGTAAAATTATCAAAAAAAGCAAATGCATGATACTCAAGACAACAGAGGCTTTCTCTTGGTGAAATTAAATAAAATTGATCCACCGGGGTTTCCCTGATCAAAGAGCTGTTACTATAGGATTTATAATCGTAGTTGAGAAACAATTATCAATTATTCGTAGACTGGGTAGTAAGGTTAGGCTATATTTTAATTCAGTAATTATTTTAGTAAAAATCATTCAAAACCTTTTTTGCCCTTGGACAATAAACGAAAATACATATTAAATGAAAATTACTGACTCAAAGCTATGTATTCTGTAAATTTTGCTCTCTGATTTATAATATCTGTGTAAAGGGTGTGATTCTGATAAGCCGTTATGCTAGTTATTCAGGTAATTATAGTTAAATTGAACTATATTGTTTATTTTAAACAATTACAAAAAATGTAAGTGATCATATCTTCCACCAACAACACAATATTTGATTCCAATATCCAACAATATGCTATTATTTATTGTCACCTATAATTCAATAATTATGAAAACTATATATAATACACATTAAAATAAAACTCTTAAAACATAGGGTCAATATATAATGAGATCAATGCATTAAATCTACGACTATGAATTTTATTGATTTATTTATGAATTTTAATGAGCGAAACAACGAAAGACGTAGCGAAATTTGTTGATTGATTTAATAGTCACCGGAATAAGCGGGTTTATTTAAATTCGTTTCCTAAATAATACATCCCAGTATGTTTTAAAAGGGATCAAATAAATATACATTTTTTGGGCTTTTTGTCGTCCATGTTAGTTTTATACAGTTTATTTGATTATATTATTTTATTAGTTAATGTAAATTATGTTTGGTTTAATCAAATTCGTATTATTTTTGGCAGTTTAAAAATGAATGGATCAAGTTAAATCTCTTTCAAATTAATTTAAGGATATGATAATGAAATAAATTTTAAAATTCAAGAATGGTCCTTAGGATAACTAAACGTTGTCCATTCTCGATACTATGGAATATTTCTAAATTGACTTGTCCTTAAAAAATAATAACTTTAGAGTCTAAACATATGAGTATTAAGGAAATGTTTAATTTCATGCACGGAATGCATAGAGGTTTTCTACCCCGTGCAGAAATGTTTTGAGTTGTGGAAACAATATAATAGTTAATGATTTCAAGGTCACAAACGATATAAAGATACAGTGCAGATGGTTGATGGCTACTACGTAAATAAAATACCCCCGCCACAGCAAACCTGCCGACTAAGCGAATTTCTATTTATCCGAATTGATTTTCAATTAAATCTATTTAAATAACATTAGGTTTAATGAGTACCTAGGTTTACTGCTACAAGGAAACTAATAAACTGTATTTTTAGTAAAATACTTTTTTTTTAGTATAGGTAAAATAAATAAATTTGCCAAGTTTTATCAAAATATATCTATAAACAAGCAAACTACAACATTTTACAATATTCTCAATAAAAATAACATGGGAATTTTAAATTTAAATTTTTTTGAATTTGTTCCGTTACCAATAACCGTACAAAAACACTTTGATATAATAATTATTTTAAGCTATTTAAAAAAGTCTAGAGAGAAATTAGGAAATTTTGTGTTTCGAGGGTCAAAAATGAGAAAAACAATTTTTTACCCCTTAAAACCCTGTTCCTATGGTCTGATCATGCTGGTTCGCGAACTCATTCAATTTTATCCCACCTTACACCTTTAAACCAAATTTCATCAAAATTGGAGGAAAATTACTCAAGTTATCGTGTTCACGGATGACATTTATAAAAATTTGAACGAAGGGTGTTTTGGCCACTGCCATCAAAATGCAAAAGTAAATCGGTCCCGGGTCTAGGTCTTACCGTGCCACCTACGGTAATCGCAACTTCCCTATAGGGAAATTTGCTAAAACCATACGTATTCTCCTTTATCTCCCATAAAACCCCTTTCAAAGCACCTTAAACTAGTCTTCAAAATGTATTGTATATGTATAAAATGTAATCGTTAAGATAAAACAAGAATCATGCTGAATTGTTTTGAACCGTTTACAATTGAAATCAGCCGTTTGTTTTAAATTAACAGTTTTCAGGGGATGATTCAAAATATTAAATTGTATTTCCAAAACAGTGTTATTTTGTTTATTAACAACTAAAAAACTAGTTTAATCCTAATACAATAATGTAAAATGTTAATGTATGTTGATAATTGCTAAAGGTTATCAAATTTATGCTATGTTAGGTAAGTATGGGATTGGTCATCATGTACATTTTATGGAAATAACGAGAAACAAGAGATATAAATAAATATGTAGGAGTCGATCGTCATTTCATTCCAAAAATAGCATAAACATGTTTAACTGTAAATTGCAATCTGACTTGAATAAACTTAAATACTACAGGGTGTTCGAAAAAGGTGGGTCATACTTTACGTATCGATTCCTTGGGTCAAAATAAAGAAGAAATCAAGTATAACATTTTTTCAAAAATCGTTTAGTTAACCAATCTGCCATTTTTTATTTTTTACATATACATTTTTATCTTAGAATTCTTTCAACCGATCATTATGAAACTTGGTATGTATGTTAAGGTAAAAGAGACAGACGACAGATGTTATGAAAAAAGTTGATCTTGATTCAACTTCAAATTTCAAAAGCCTTTTAAATTTTTAAGCTTATCTTACTAAAAAATGGCTGATTGTATGAAAATATTGCTACGGACACTTTTATTTAGCATTTCCAATTCCCTATCTAACGATTTCAAGTTTAAAAAGATCGAATAAGAAATAGCTGAAATATTACGATTTTTAGATGTAAAATGGGGCAAATTTTAAACGACCACCATTTTGAAGTTTTTGGTTGAATCAATATGAATTCTTTTCCTAACATCTGTCTCTTTTACCTTGACATACATACAAAGTTTCATAAGGATCGGTTGAAAGAATTCGAAGATAAAAATGTTTATGTAAAAAATACAAAATGGCGGATATCTGGTTAATGAAGCGATTTTGGAAAAATGTTAAACTTGATTTCCTCTATATTTTGACCCAAGGAATCGTAAATTACGTCCCCACCTTATTTGAACACCCTGTATATTACTGTTATATTCAGTAGTTTTACTTGCAGGGCAACAGAGACCAAGGAAATCAAGTTTAAACACCAACTGAGAGAGACAGAAAAACAGTTATTCAATTCGATCTCTGTTTATACAGTATGGGTTTCAAATCAAATATTCTTTTCTAAATTATTGTTAAGAGACCCTTTATTGGCCATGAAATTTACAAATCCTAACAAAAAATCATTACACTGATTTTATCAATATTTATAACATACCTAGCCATAAAGTAATTTGGAATAATGTAAAAAATCCAAAATTAAAATTGTTTGCGATGATGGTATTTAACTTTAACCAATACACACGGCCTTATTTATAATTACGGCACCATAAAACATGATTCTACAGTTTAACTACTTGCTAGTACCTTTTTAACTTCAATAAAAAAATAAAATAAGATAAATAAGAGCTAATGTTTAGACAAGATTACCAACTTTAAATCACACTGTTTGAATAACTTCACTTGAATAAGATATTATTCAAAGTGTGAATAATGTCTGTGATATTTATACTAATAATAGTACAATATGCGATATAAATACAAATTAAAGAAAAATTATTTTGTCCGATATAAGTTCACTCTTCCTATATACAAAGAACGCTGAAATCTTTTAGAAGTAGGAAAGGAAGGAGTTTTGCGATAGAAATCCTAATTTTTTCGTTTCATAAAGAATGCGGACTATAATACTAAAGATGTCCACGTACTCAGATTCATTGTTCAGTTTTGATTCATCATACGGGTTTGCTAATATTTGATACGGGTTTGCCCAAAGAGTTTATTGAAGTTTCTCTAATAGGTGATTAGGCTGCTCCCTGTACACAGCTCATTAAAAGAAACTTCTAACAACTACTTAAAGAGTTAGATGACACCTCCTTATTAGTATGAAGTGCGATAGTTTCAAGAAAGTATGCATAATGGATACTTAAAAAACAAATGTTGAAATAGGCAGTTATTCTTAATGTAGATGTGAAATTATTTACTTGTAAGATTACTTATTTATCCTTGAGAACATTATAAACATGTTGTTAAATGCGAAAACATGACTTTTGAGCAATCTCCTGTTTTATGGAAAGTATATTCTATTTATAAACGTGTAGATTTGTTTGAATTTGAGTAAATGTTTTGCAGAAGTGTTAACTCGAAAATAAATTACTTCTCTAACAACTATAATTTTGGTGATTTAGTCTTAGTTAACAAATAGACATAATCTATAATTATTTCTCATAGTTCCCTTTCCTATATTAAGGCATAATGGTTATCGTTGTAATTAATGATTATTGCTTTTTTATATTTTTATTATTCTGCCTAAAATTATTTTTTAGGAAATAATATTTCATTCTGTTGGCATTGTTATTAAGGTTGTTTTTGTTATTTTGTATTATGTTGATAATGTGAATGTTGTTATTCACCATAGTCTTCTTGATTTTAGTTAATTAAAATGAGAAATTACAGTTTTATAAGAAAATATCCTACTGATTAGGGGTTAATTGTGCACCTATTTTAAATATAGTTAATTGTTGTATTGGTAAATTATTGTAGTGAATTGTTGTTTATGTACTGCCAATTTTATTATTATTACTATTATTGGAATACAATAATTTGAAAAATGTAAGTTACACTACCGGTATGTAATTGGATCGTCTTTTATTCTATAGTCACATTTTTGACGTAATGTAATGCCGTTTATAAATAAATAAATTAATGACGAATTTAATCGTCTAAGCAAGTACGATAAAAACTCCTTTACTATTAATCCTATGGTTACCAAATTTATGTACACATACGATACATTCACACGATACATTCCATACTCATTTGCTATAAGACTTACGGAATGCAGTGAAGCCCGGGGGGAATGCCCCCTCATGTGGGCCTCCTAGGAATGGTCTGAGGAACATCGGCTGGTGGGGGTCCTCGGTGGGTCTATGGGGGTACGGCAGACCCAGAGGCAAGGGGTACCCGGTCCCAATAGGCTTAGAGGGTCCTTCATCCATCCGCATTCTCCACGCTTCTTGCCGCAAGTGTAAGTCTGTTTTGTCCAATGTGGTCTCAGGAAACGATACATTTGCAGACTTTTTCGATTCGATCGAGACATCGGGTTTCCCTTGAGAGTCTCTCACTACGAACCGTTTGTCGTTGTGATAGTGTACATCTTCTTCGTTGTCAGACTCGATGTCCACTTCGCAGTCAGACTCTCCCGTCAAGGAGTCCGCTTCCCTCATAGCCGCGTTGTCACTCGCACAGTCCCTACCTAGGTTGTCTTTCCTGGGTAGATATCGGTAACACGGCTCTGTATTGTTCTTAGAGTAAAAGAAGTTCAATGGTATTGGCTGGTGAATTTGCGATTTTAAAGGTTTTTTCTCCTCTCTTTGCACTCCCGGCCCAAATTCCTTATCGGGAATGTCTTTTTGACTGTCTAAATGTCCGTAAAGTCTTTCGAAGAAATCGCGCGGAGAAGAAGGACTGGTCTTCTTTTTTACGGTGTCAACCGAAGGAATTTTTAAAAGTACGTTTTTCAAAGATTCACTCATTTCTACGATCAAGTAATCACCGTCAGACGTATCATTAACCCTCCTACAAAGCACTAACTCGGCACAGACACTCGCGCGGTGGTGCAACTCGGCACAAGGGGTCGGTGCAACATTATTGCCGAAACCACAAACGCTTAACTGAGCTATTACGGGTGTTTATGTGCCGATCCGAGGGGAGGAGCCAGTCCATGGGGAGGCGTGATTGGCCGAGGGGTGGTGAGTCCCGCCAATCCTGCGCCTTCTTTGCCTCCCCAGTGTTTAATAGGCTTTGAAATAGAGACCTAATCTTATTTGTATCTCTATGGCTGTTAACGTATTTATCATTCACCGGCTCTTCTTATTGTTATCCTCCGCATTTTCGATTTTAACTTAATTGTGGTATTACGCAACGCGATTGTATTCATTGCATATTTTCTTCTGAAATGTTTTTGTTCATTCTTCATGAGTAATAATGCTATCAATATTTTTATTCGATATGAGCATAGCGCTCAATCAGCGTATGGAAGTGCAATGTGCTAGAATCATTGTCGGCAAATTTTCTCTTTTTTAGCCCTAATTATCTCTAAGACAATTTTTTGCTATTTTTTACATGGCAAACTTTCAGAATGTAGTATTTTGTTTGGATGCATTTATGTAGGGATATCTTATGTATTAACGTTCGTTTGAACGTTAAATTAATGGTTTTGTTTGTTCAAAGACCAGGTGTTTGGTAGTTAATTATGTAAATACATTTTACTGTGCTGCTTTTGCTGGTATACAGGGATTATAATTATACGACATAAAAATAAAAACGCAAACACGGCACGCAGAAGCATTGGGCATTTTAAACCAGCCCAAATATGTTGCTGATCGGACAGAACACAGTATAAATAAACTAAGTGCAAATGAAAACACCTTTTAGCTACTTAAGCACTTATTTATATTCTTAAGTACCTTCCCAGGTTTCCCTTTATTGTAATGCTACTATTTTTAAAAACACCTTATCTCTTATTCAATGGATTTATTTTAGAGTTTTGTTAATCTCATGATTGTTGCAAGTTTACTCAAGATAAAATATATTATGGTCAACAAATTAAGTTACTCGGAGAAAATATTAAGCCTCTTTATAAAATTCCAAGGTTATTCATAGCACATTTTACGCATATAGACTACATATATAACAGACTTTATTTTAAAGGGAAAACAATCAAAGTTTTTTTCCATCATGCTGAGCAAAATATTTGAGTTATTTTTGTCATTGGATAACTCACCTAGATGGAATCTTTTCGTACGTTACATATCGTTCATAATATGTTTTTGTAAAAATTAATTTTCAAAATGCTGTCTTGTAGATATCTTTTAAAAGTGGATAGCACTTAATGGTCTCAGTCTTAAGTTATTACGGTTTAGTATACTATTTTGACCTTCAAATAATGTACCAATGATATTATAAGAGCAATGCTTATACGAGAAGTTATAAATGAATCTGGAAAACATGTAATCTCTAGCAATAAATCCTTTTCAAATCGATTTAGTGGTAAAGAAGTAAAATATCACCTATATTATACGTACATAATAGTCATAATTATCATACATATAAATACCCCCGCCGCAGCAAACCTACAGACTAAGCGAATTTCCATTTGCCTGAATTGATTTTAAATTAAATCCATTTAGGTATAACGAGTATACATGTAGATTCGCTGCTACAAGGAGGCTAATAAAGAGTGTTTTTTAGTAAAATAAGACCCTAAAATAAATAAATAAAATATTAAAAGATAGATAAACAATTGCATGATCAACCGGGACAAAGTCTCAGGTAAAGATTATAGTTAGAAACCTCTTATAAATATTAATTTTTACAACATAATTAGCGGATTTAAGCTCCTAAAAATAGCTTTTCTAGGTGTAGGTTTCCAGAGGTCCCTTTTGGAAATTAAATTTGGGATATTTCTCAGATCATTCAAGTAACTATCAGAAGATTTAAATCAAATAGTAAATGGTTGCCCTTTACGCTCCTTACCAGGTGGGTAGCTTGCCTCCAAAGAAGCCAGTTTGGTGGTGTAAGAGAGCTTGATTCGGCAATGTATGACATATTTGTAATAATTAAGCACATAGTTGAACTGTTTGTTTACGGTCAACACCATTTATAGTTTATATTCTAATCCAATGAAATTGAACAACATGTGATACCATCAAGTTTTGACGCAACAGAAACCAAAGACCTGTGGATTAAAAATTAATTAAAAGGCTACTGATTTCAATAAATATGGATAGGAAACAATAAGTAAATATAACAATTCACAAACGTGGGACTAAAAACTTATTCTTAAAACTATGAATGAAAACACAGTGAAAAAGCAATTGTTACACACCAGAATTATTTATTGTAAATACAACATCAAGAATACAACAGGATGGATTGTACCAGGACGAATTTGTGCAATTCTACAGAATTATCAAGAACCAAAACTAACAATTAAGGATGTAAAAAGTGCTTTTGGTATTCAATTTAGTGTCTGTAAAAAGTATATAGAATTAATCAGAGTTTAAAGAATTATTTTGAACAAGTAACCAATTTTGTACAGCCAGCACAATCCACTTTTGGAAGTATATTTGAATAAGCTGGTAGCTGATACTACCAGCTTAAAAACCGTTTTAGTGTGTGGTTAAAAATAGAACGCCTGGAAACTGCTCAAAACAGGACGGTTTACAGATACACATCCACATTTCACATAGCATCACAACTTTGCAGGGGCTTCGATAACGCAGCAATCAATTTACACTGTGTTATTCAGGCTTAATATGTTTCTTGGTCAATCTAATTGGTTTTCTGATTTGCTTCCTATAAACAAATCTTTTCTGAGCTATTATCTGAATTATTTACTCGTTGTTGTTTTGATATTTATTGTTGAACAGCTGATTAACTGAAGAATATTACTTGAGCGATTAAAACATAACATGATCTTCACAATGTTATATATATCCGTCACAGTATATCTATTAGAATTTCATTTATTACATGTAGAGTACATTGTGTCCGATGGAACAAATGTCCTCATTCTTGATTCGCATTCAGTGTGATGTAATGCAGTAAGGGTATAAAATAAATTATAAACTAATCCCTGCTGCTATAAAACCTCATTACATAACATAATTATGACAAACTGGCTAATGCATCGTTCTCCTTAAGAGCTGAAAGTCATTAAATTATAAACAACGTTTTATTAAATTAAAAACTGTTTCTGTATTCAAATATTTCAAATATAAGTAAAATTTGTTTGTTTATGAAATATCTTCAATGATTAAGAAAATCACATTCAAGGTGATCTATTAATAGAGTTTTGAAATCTACACAACATTGTGGCAAAAAAAAAAAAACACCCGCTATTTATTCAACAAACATACACAACCCATATGTGTGATATATGTGTTCAGTATGTGCTTTATACTAAACACATGGACTAACTTATGGGTTTAAATGGACTAATGTACGACCTGTATTCCAGGCACTCTTCTATTACACTCAATCACATTGTTAATAGACATATTTAGACATTTTTTATTCTAATCCTAATATTTTGCACTATTATTTAATGATTTTGTTGTTGTTATCGATGTTAACATTTTATATTTTGTTAACGATTTTAGTTTGCTTGTTTATGAACATATTTTGATCAAATTTGGAAAATGCATTAATTTTATACTAAACTATTACATTAAAAAAAAACCTTTTTACGCTCCCTGTTGCAGCAAACCTAAGTACTCGTAAAACTAATGTTATTTAAATAGGGAATAAATGTGATATTTTTAAGGATACATTTTAGTGTAAATCCAGTCAGGCAAATGGAAATTCGCTTAGTCTGCAGGTTTGCTGCGGAAGGGGTATATTATTTTGATGTCCCCAGAGGTCTAACCACTATTCGTTAAAATTTGTATATATGATATATATGTCCGTGAACACGATAACTCGAGTAATTTTGGTATGATTTTATGACATTTGATATTGGGTGGCATAAACCTGAATACGTTCCCAAACCAGCAAGATCATGTCATGAGTACGGGTGAGGTTTTAAAACTTGTACACTAAAAATATAAAAATGCCCAATGTTCATTACAGGCATCGAAAAACGTATTGGCTAAAGTAAAACAATAAACTTTGTATTTGGAAACATTATTGTACAGTTAAGGATACGGAGACAATTTCAAAAACACTGAAGATTTAAAATTCTAATGTTGTTCTAAAGGAGAAAAAGAAACCTGTTGTATTTTACTTGTTTATGGATATATTTAGATTTCATCTTTAACTGTTATTGTTTGGTAAAAAAACGTTTTCTTCTCCCTCTAGCAGCAAATCTAATGTTATTGAAACGGAGGATTGATCTGACACTATTAAGGAATTATTTAATTATTTTTACCATTATTTTTATTATTATAGATCCCACCAAATCACTAATGAACTTTATCTAAGTGATAATACCGCAACCCCTAGGTCTAGCCTGAAGTTATGTGAAAAACAATCCCGGGCTCGTGCCTAGCGTCCTAGGACAAAACATAACACAAAAGCTTTTTTAAGCTTAAGATATCTAGGTTTGATAATTAATGACTATTCACCTATAAAATGCGTAGGCGTTATCAAATAAATGTAAATAAATACTTATACGCTATATCAATGAGGGGGTACTTAATGGCATATGAACATTCGTATAGGAATGAAGATGGTGGAGAATTTTTTTGAAAGTAAAATTTTTCCCATAGTTTTATAAAAAGCTAGGACGTGGGATCCGCAATTATTCCACTATAAAATGAAGCCGTCACGCTGGTTAGCATACAATGGTCTGAGAAATGAGCGTCATAGTGATGTCGGTCTTTCTCGTTTTTACTTTCCCGGAGGACCACTGACGAACTATTGTGCGTAACGAAGTATTTGTGGTTACAATGGAGGAAACGTCCTAGTTTATTTTATGTTTAAGGTTTTGGGACGAAACACTTACTGAGATGAGGCGTTATGAGTTATTAGTTAATCCAATTTGGTAGTGAGTGCGTAAACATATTGCACTTATTGACTAGCACAAGTTTTACGCTGAGCTTTGACTTAGGGTGAGTTATAGAAACCTATAATTGTGCATGATTATTTTTGTAAGTAAACAGGTAATAAACACGTATAAAGAACAACTTGCTACTTATATACTGCCCTGTAATTTTACAATTATATATAAGATTAATCTTGTCTTAAAAATAAAATTACCGTTGAGTCAAAAGTGATTCAATAATTTTTACTTTTTAATTTACACCCCTAGACATATTATATGGAGAAATTTTCGTATTTAACATTTTAGAATTTGAGTTTTGGGTGGAAATTCAGTTTTGGGTCCCCCTGAACACGAAACATTTGTTTTCAAAGTGATGTATGTATGTGTTTGTGTGAATGTGTACTGTGAAAAAACAAACAAATTATACGTCTAATAACACTAGTAACAAGTGTAACACTAGTAATTACTAGTGTTATTAGACGTATAATTTGTTTGTTTTTTCAGGTAATTTAATAGCACGTATGATTAAGAATTCGTTGATGTGCACTGTACAGAGAGCTACACACTACACCTGTGGTCCGATTTTGATGGAATTTCATAATTATTTCATAATTTAGAAGTTGTAATTTTTAATCGTAGTTTTCCCATAAAAACCATAAAATATTGGAAAATTGCATTTTAAACCTATTGTCTGAACCAATTTTGATTTAGATTATATTTTTTAGTCCATTTAACTATTAATAATATGGCTTAACTAATATTGCTGTAAAAATAACGGTTCAGAAGTTATTGTAGCTTAAACAATTTTCCCATACAAACCCTTAAAATAGCGAAAATATCGGATAAAAAAATGGCACTATTGTTTTTACCTAAAATGTAGTATAATATGGTCATATTAACTCCAAATATATTGGTACAACCCTTAATGCTGTAAACAATTTGTCAAAAGGTAATTACGCAATGTTTGTGATTGTATCCACAAAATATCATAGTTACTCCTACCACTTACTTATTACAAGGACTGTTGATAAGCTAATGGGAAATGTCAGTTTGGTGATATAATTGACCATTTATCAAATTTAATAATCAATCACTAATTGATTTATTCGCATTTGAAAAAACTTATTTTTTAAATAACTACATTACAGTAAGCAAAAATTAAAACTACATTGAGTGATATAGCACTGCCGATTATGTTGCAGCTGAATTGTGATAAATTTAGCAAACCGATAAGTCTATTGTCTTTTAAAATATATTGCCATTTAAGCTTTCTGCTACACATATCAAATGATATTGTGAGTTGTGAGAAATAATATTATATTGTTATAGATATTCACAAAACCTTCTATTTAGACAAAATTAAATATACTGTTTAATTTAAATTTGCTAGTTCATTTCATGCCACTAAGCATTTGACGACATTAAGCTTTGTGAAGTAATTTTCTCATAAAAGAGAGGAAACCACAACAATAAATGCATATGTTAGTTAACTCTACTCTATTTTTTACATTTAAGTTACAACCCTTACTTAGCGAAAATATATGAGTGATTTAAATGTAGAAGAACGAGAAGTAAAACAGAATATTTCCTTAAAAATTAAGTTTTAATGTAGAATTTATTTTTCAGGATAAAAATACAAAAACTGTGTTTGTGAAACCTTGGCTCACGATGGAAATCAGTGGAGAAGCCATTTCTCTGGCAGTGAGACGTGAGAACGTGCAGCGCGTCATGGAAATCGGTAAGAAAACCAATAGTTATAAGATACACAATAATTAAGAAACTTATGCTGAGTAGCTGAGTGGTTATAGTGCTCGCCTGAGAGTCAAAGGATTGCCGGTTCGATCCTGAGAAAAGCCCGAAGCAGCTTTATTATGGTTCAAAACTGGAGTTAGCTTATAATTGGTCGAAACAAATAGGGTTCGTCAGTAACAAAGCTATTCAGGCCACATCTCACTCCATTTTCTCATTTTGAATTAATGTCCAGCTTAAAATACGCACCTAGGTTTGTGTCACTGTCTTAAAGCAATCATTAATGAATTGTCCATAGTTTAAGTGTTCTTTTAACATGTAAATAAGAACATAACATGTTTACCATTGACGTAATAAGTGCCCTTCAAAATGTTTGACTTAACGTTACGTTGACTAATCGGTATGATGGTTTTTAAATTTATCTAGGCCTATGATGATGAATGAGCAAATAGATAAACAATAAGTACTATTTCGATAGATGTAGGAGACAAAGGGTGAAATGCCAATAAATTACATTATATCGATTTCTAATGAAAATATCAGGTGGGACTTAGGCTCGTAGATAATCGTAGATAACGGCCGTACACTGTTTGTTGTAGCCAGTTTTAAAGTGAAAATAAAACTAGTTAAACTTAGCAACCGATAAAGTCCACGCTGTCAATTACTGATTTATCTCGTATAAACCAACTTGTATATTGAACGAAACTGCAAGAAAAACTTAAAATATAGTTAATTTTATGCCGAATCAAATATCAATGTATCGAAAACCAAAAGGGAAAATAAACAATTTACAACTGCACGCTCTGTGATCGGTTGATTAAACCATTGTTATTTCGATGAACTAATGGCTATCGATGGGATATTTAGCCATATTATCAAAAATGTAATGACTAAAATAATTAAAATTACAAATCTTAATAAAAAAAGAGATGAATTGATTATGATTGGAACTGCTATGTACTTTTGTTTGGATGTAGTTATTTTTAACAACATGTAAAACAGACTGGAAGTGGGTAAAAAGGTCAAGGCCAAGTAAAAAATATTCATAATGTCTTCAACATTACCATTAACTTACAATATTAGATTTTACCGCATATGACGGTATTCAAGTTTAATTCTGAAAACTTTTGATCCTGCTAGAAAATGTAACAAAAGACTGGATCATGATATCAACGCCAGTGCCGATGCTTCTGACCCTGGTGTTGTACGGTTTGATCCTAACCCTGGGTCCCAAGATCATGGAGAACAGAGCCCCATTCAAGCTTAAATCTGTCATGAGGTTCTACAACATATTCCAAGTGATCCATAACTTGTATATGGTCTACTCGGTAAGACTTACTTCAAACTTATACTTAATAAATGTACAGCATATGTTAAATTGAATGTCCTTGTAGCAGCAAACCTGTAACTTTAAGAATTTATATTTTGTCTGATTTTTACATTTTTACTAAAGTATTTCCTTATACATGTAAGTTTTTCTTATATGAATAACATTAGATTTAATGAGTAAGTATGTTAGCTGCTACAGGGGAGTAAACAGTGTTTTGTTGTTGTTTTTTAGTGAAATACTAATAGCTTTTTATGAAATGTTTATGTTTATGTACTATGAAATATTTCCAAATTTGGTCAAAATATACCTATAAACAAGTAATCAAAAAACTTATAATCCATAAAAGAACATGAGAATTTTTGACATTGGTATAGCTTTCTGTAATTTTCTCCGTAACTATTAAGCGTACAACATTTCAATGTCCTAAATTATTAGTTTTTTATCCTAATGAGCACTCTCATACTTAAAGAGTGAACATGTCAAAAAACTAGGTTTCGATCAATTAAAAATCTCCACAACACCCCATTCCCATTGCTCGATCGTGGTTCAGTCCCAGGTACTTCGTAAGGATATTCAAATTTAACCAACCGTAAAAATGTATGCCAAATTTAATTAAAATTGGGCCACAATTTCTTGAGTTATCCATGTCGATCTTATGCATTTTATACATACATACAAATTAGAACAAAATTTGTTTTGGCCACTAGGGTCATAAAAAAGTAAATCAGTCCCTGGTATTACCACGCCTCCTTAGCTTCTTCCTGTAGAACGTATTTACTAAAATAAAAAATAACTAAATGTTGAATACGTTTGTATTGGAACCGACTTGCATGTACAGTTATACTTTGAATGTACAGTTGTTGCTTTGTGTGTATAGATGCACATTGGTAAACAATTTTTCATGCCATTCGACCTGAACCTTTGACTTCCCCTTTAACGAACTTTCTCGTAGACAATAAGTTATTACTGTAGTGTTAGTGGCTACTCTTAGTTTTGGGTCAAAAGTGGTTATGAAAATCATAATCAGTTTGACAGTCACCTCATTCCTAGAAATAGACTTGAAACAACCAAACACCATCCACAAAGTTCGGGGATTAGTGAATGTTTTTGTTTCAAATCCCCCAGGACAATAAATCACACAAACAATAACAATAGTTTTTGTATTTCTTGAAGCAGCAATATATCATGCAGCCAATAGACTAGAAGAGTATAACGGTTTTATTATTTTGAATCTGCTGAACAAAAATTGTATAAAGCAGCTAAATGATCCAGGCTAATGAAACAGGTTTGCTGTGACGGGGTTTTTAGTATAAGGGCCACATGTCTTACAATTCAACATATTAAATACAGTGGCATTCAAATTGTCCTATTTGTTTACTTCTTTCCCATTAATTTTCCTTAGTGTTCAGTAAATCTGTAAAAAAGTGGTGCTAATAGCAAAATGTAAATATTTTAATGAGTTAGTGAGGCACTTTGGAGGGGAACAGGGGCTATGGAGGTAAGGTTGTACGTGAAAAATCGAGGCAGCACTAAACATTGGGGGTATTGTACTTAATGTTTTAAATCTGCCTAATATTATTTCATAATCATAATAGTATTCAAAAGACGAAACATTTAGTTCATTACATTTTTAGTATAATTACATTTGTCGTCAATGTATTACCGTGATAAATGTAATCTTAGACTTGAAAGTTATGTTGCACCCAATAATCCTAGCTTTAATTTAATATGTGTGTTCAGTTTGCGGAAAACCCTGATGCTATGCCGTTCGTGATCCAAAGTTCATGTTCATCCGTCACCGTTGAAGACAGCTTATACGCAAAACATTACTACTCGGTAAGATCAGAAAACTTACCCTACCTTGTTTTAGTTGGAGACATGGTAGTGAAATTACTAACTTCTTTAAGGTTATCACTATTCTTTTCAATTTTTTCATGGTTGTTTAGTAGGTATAAGAATGCACATAAACGCAAGAAAATAAATTGTCTATGTGCGTAAATATAATATAATTTATTTTCGTAAAATTTTGGGTAATTATAAAAATTTGATATAACACCCAAGTTCAACTGATTGAATTTTAGAACATACTACAGACTATCATTTTGTAGCTAAGGTAGAATAATTATAACTAAATCTCCATAAATAAAATGTTGGTGACATTTGAAAAATATTATTGTTTAAAAATTTGATTTGGCATTAGAAAGAAAATCATATTTTATTTCCTTTTAGCATAATATGAATAAACCTACGGACTAAAACATTCTAAACCATAAGTAAAAATTTGAATGATGTGGTAATAATATTTTTTTAGTTATATCAATTTTAAGATTGAAATATTCAAAAATACAGATTGTTGGGAATCGCGCGTTCAAAAAGACTAAGCAGCTGTTTTATTTTGTTATTTGTGCTTCAGTTGACCATTGAAGGCAGGCTTTTATACAATTTGTTCCTACCTAGTTTTAATAATAATATATGTGTAAGAAATACATATTTTTGTTTATATTTATATACATATACAAACATTTTTAGATATAATTTTTCCACAACTACAGATTTAGGCTGGTTTGCAAGGCGATTCAAGTAATTAAGATTTTTAATATTTGTTGTTATATAAATTGATATAACAAAAAAAACAAAAAAAAAAACGATTTTATCTACATCCAAACAAAAATTTAAGTAAGATTGGGGTATCATTATTTATCTGGGTAGAATTATTTATGTAATAGAAATACATACAATTTCTTAAATCCATATGATATTACTTAATATTATATGAAGGCATACAAAAAATAATTAAGGACTTCATAACAAGTATATGGAAATTTTATATTTATTATCGGTTAAATTTATTGTTTATAAGACTGTAATTAACATGGCACCCAAATATTTTGAGAAAATAAAACCCTACAATCTAATTTTTTAATTATTAAAATCTATCAACCACAACTAAAGCTACATAATATGTTATGTTCAGTAGACCGATCGGTTTCCCCCCGACCTCCCCCACTGCATTAAAAAAATACACTGCATTTTTTTAAATTTCTGACTGGTATTTATTTTTTTAAATTATGATAATAACAAAAAATTAAAATTAAACAATGATTTTTTAATATCTATGATTTCTTAGCTATTTCGTCTTGTGGTAACCAGGTGGAAACATTTATGTTTTGGCGTGATACAAATCGTTTTATAAAAATTAATTTAGCGCTCCCCTGAGGATCAAAAGGTGGTCTGGTTTCGATATTAAAATGTCATTCTTACATATACAGTTTATTTTAGTCAGTATCAAAACTACAGAGGTGATTACACTTTATTTTACTCTTAATCTAAATTCAATTCAGCTAAAAATATGCAATAAAAATATATTTTTTAAAGGTAATGAGCTACGAGTGGTTTATTTATAGTAATTAATTACGTCGTATTTTGTTGTTTTGTTCCCAATATATTAGTTATTTATAAACCTATTTAAGTTTAAGTACAAACATTGTAAATGTCTCAATTTCAATGTATTATGCTGTTTGTGACTGTATCAAAATAGTATAAGTTAGTTCAAATTGTTTTATTGGTATTTCTTAGTTTTTTTTATTGCATTATCTTCCATCCTTTTATAAGTTTTGTAAAATTATGAACATTGTAAAAGGTGTTGTCCGTTCAATCATTTTAATTGAACTCATAGACACATTGTATTCATCTATTGATCCCTACTATTGTACGAAAAATCTTTGTTGCATTTTAATTTCTTGCAATATTATATCTAATACACAAAATTGAATTATTTGTGATTTAATGGTTCAAAAATTTGACAAAATATCGAGAAATCCAGGCACACAAACAGAGAAATTTAGTCACATACTTTCCCCCTAAAATGTTTTTTTAGACCTAAACTTTAATTTGTTTTTTATAGAATTTTATAAAAAATTCAATTTCTTAAATTAAGAAATGTATGTTTCTTTTACAATATTTAGGCAAACATTAAACAATTTTACCTTTAACATTTATCAATGACAGAAACCATGAGACAATATTTACAATTTATTATAAAGACTATGTATTTACTCTTTTTTCATATTCATAAATTTCTTAACTTTTTGTTTCAGTTCAACTATTACTCGTGGCATTATTTGGTCTCAAAACACATCGATCTCCTTGACACGGTAAGTTATTCGAATAGTGGTAGGAAATAGTTGGTAGTGTCTACGAACATTAATGACACGACTGGCTCGAAACATAAACAAAATGTATTATTAAGATAAATACGATAACAATTTTGACAGTCAAAATATAAACAGCAACTGATCATCAGAAACACTATCTTTACGCGATCATTGCGTAAACTACAATTAGTCACCTAAGTATCTGTTTTAGGTATTCATGGTCCTTCGCAAAAAGAACTCTCACATTACATTTCTCCACGTTTATCACCACTTTGCGATGGTGTTCTTCTCTTGGTTGACCATCACTGGGACTAAAAGTATGTATAATGTATCCAAAAGTATTCTAGAATTTCTTTTATGAAATGTAATTAGTAGAACATGACCATGGAATAAAAGGTAAACGTTTTTCTTAATTTTACTTTTAATTGTTATTTGGAGGATAGATAACACAGATCAACAATAACCAATATTGTGTGAAATACATCTCACGTGATTTAAAAACTGGAATGGGACTAATTATGGTGTACCACGAGGGTTCCATTTTGGGTTCTCTGTCTTTTCTGATCTTTATAAATTGAATTCTAAAAGCTATGGTGTTTACTGGGGGCAGGGAGATATCTTTGACACTCACATTAATTTGTAAATTCACATGGATAAAATTAAGGGGAAAGTGACAAGTACTACTTTTGCATTTATCAGCTTACTATGGGTAAAATGAGTCCATCTTGAGATACGCCATAGTGTGAAATGTGTTTACAGACGTTACAGCCTTACTTAAAATCCATGTTTTAGCCCCTGAGCAGTGGTATAATTAACAATTGATTTTTGTAATAAAAATTGTTATTATTAATTAGAAAATCTATTTTTAATTCAATTGTTACAAACATTACAAAAAAGTATCAAGTTAAAAACATTTTGGAATGCCCCAAAATACACGGGGATTTTATAATTAACGAAGGTTGAATGTTAAACCAACAAAAGACAGAATCAAATATAAATCAATAGATAATGCTTTCCACTCACTCAGAATTTTTGAACAACCTTATGGAATTATTGCTGTTCTTCCATGTTCATAAATTAATATTGTATTGTATTCTATTAATATTACTTAAGGTGATTTGTTTGAAATAAGATGAAGATTCAGCAAATGTTTATCATGATGTTTTATTAACATGAGGATTGCTAAATATTTATTTCTTAAATTTCCGGATTGAAACTTCTGACGTCCATAGAGCGTAACCCGAGAGAATTCAAGGACATAAATTAGTAATTTTCTATTTGCTGGGTTTATAATATAAATAAGATAAAAACAGACAAATTGGTTTAGTAGTCCAGTAGTTAGTATTTGCATTCACGTGAAACAAGCACAAACACGGAAATAAAGGAACCACATTTTCTTTATTACTTAAAAGACTCCTTTTTTCATAGGTTTGTTCCTCTTGGTTTATTATTTTGTAGCCAATTTGTAATGCCATTTTTAACCAACTATTGCATTTAATATGATATATAGCTATCATATTTAATTAATTCTGTAACTGCATAAAAACGTGCATTGGTTGGCAAACATATGTGGAAATAAGAAAATTTAAATAAAAATGAAAAACCTCTAGATTATTAAACTTTTACTTTATTTACTCGTTGCCTACCAACTGCCACACTCCCGTATGAAAGGCCTTGTGAAATCCGGCAGTGAATGTGAACTGTGTATGATTTGTTTATGTCTTGTTTAGGTATTCATGCTGTGATACCTGGGGCCATCAACGTGATAGTTCACAGCATCATGTACAGTTACTACTTCCTGGCGACCTTCTCCAGGTTCAAGCACCTTCTCTGGTGGAAACATCACCTCACCAAGCTCCAACTGGTAAACGCTTTCATCCTCATTCATTTGGATTAAGAACATAATCTCTCAAATGTTTTGGATATGTTGCAATAAACGAGAAGTTCGTGTATGAAGATTAGGGTGATGTTACTACACACGCACTACTCAGCTCGTCAACTTGATGTGGACATGTCGAGCTGAGCGTGAGTTTGCAAAAGTGTGACAAACAACGAGAGCTGAGGCCAGAAATAAAAAAACAAATTAGAAATATCTTAGAAATCGACAATTATTGTAACTGAAAAGAAGGCTTGAATGAGTGTATCAGGCTTAAAGGTTAAGTTTAGAAAAGGGGTGTATTTTCTCATAACTTATTTAGTTTAATTCTTTAGAATTGATTTATATATAGAAACGGATAGTGGACTGTTTTACTTTAAAGGCCCATTATCAATAAAAATTACACTGTTTTAAATATTAACCTTTAAAGTGAAGCAGTTTACTATCAGTTTCTATACAAAAATTATTTTTTATGAATAATAATAATACAAACATATGTAGATTGTTCATATCCTCCGTGAAAATCTACATCTTTTTGTATAATTGCTCATAAATAATTAATTTAATGTTAATATGAAGAGTTTTATGGAGATTATTGTTTAAACGAATAATAACTAAAAAGCTCCCAAATGAAATATTTTTTTATTTGAGTACGGATTTACATGTCCAAATTTAAATATATTGTGGAGTGATTGATATTCAATCATAGCGCTTAAGAATCAAATTTAAAATCTCAAATATATTTTTGTTTACGTAAACAATTTTACCTTAGCTGAAAGCAGCTTGTGCTGCATTCTGGTTTTAAATTTTTATGTAAATCAAAACTTGTTAACGAAATTAAGTTACTAAAATAAATCTGCATGCAAAACGAATACCTTAACAAAAATGTATATAAAAAATAATTTGAATCTTATATTTAAAGCAATTGAAGCTTAGGGGCTTTTAACAAAGGTTTGAAGATAGCCAAGTTATAATATCTTTATAATACAAAGCCTGCAGGGTCCGTGATATTCTCAAACACACGCATTGAAAATACCAAGGTAGTCATAATCATGAGAGGGAATACTTTGTAAATAATCGAGCTAAAGAAAAGTCTATCTTTTTTAAATAAGGAAAAAATTAGTTATCTATGGTTTACTGGTTGAAATAGACCCGTACAGCATGGAATGGAACAAACTGTTTAAATAAATCGAGAATGGGAGAAAAATAAAAGGAGTATAACGATTTTAAATAACGCAGCTAATTCTGTACTCAGTACCAATAACAAACAAGTTAATTAGTTTCATATGGAATTAAGTAGTGATGTGTATCCGAAGTAATCAAATTATGTTTATTTTCAGGGCCAGTTCGTGATAATTCTTCTCTACATATGCAGTATTTACTACTACGGATGTCCAATTGACCGAAAATTCACATTTACCTGGTCATTTAATGTTTTCGTTATTTTGGTATTGTTTATTAACTTCTACGTAAAATCGTATATGACAAAGCCAAAGCAGGATGTAAAAGAATCCCAAAAAGAAGTAAAAAAGAGTTCATGAAGCACATTCAAAATCCAGGTAGGAATAAGTTTTTTTTCAAATTTTAAAAAACCAACGGGGATCTATAGGTTTTGTGAGAAATCCAATGAACAGTAACGAATAAATGCTTTACGAAAAGATTTATCTCTCTTTAACTTTTTCTTAAAATTAGCCAAAATATAGTTTTAAATTGCCTTGACTTCTGTCAATTGATACCATGTAATGGAAATATCTGTACCGGTTTCATGCTGCTCTACGAACTCTTCTTCGGGTTGTAACGTCAAGGACACTGCATTGGGTATCTATATTTCTAATATTTTATTATTATACCTGTGTGAGCATTTATATGAAGATGGACCGTCAGCGAAAATTTCCACCCTAACCACAACTGTTAGAGAAAGGTGTGGGTGGAATGATCCACAAAGGGATGCTGAATTACTGATAACCATTGTCCCAACTAGACGGAGGCTTTCAGTAATCTCAATGAACTGTTTAATGGGTGGGCTGCTTGACCTAGGTGCTGACAACTATTGAAAGAGAGTCAGGAAGATTCCTGGGACGAGGAGGCTGCTGCAACCCCAGAGCTACGGGATTGTATGTATGTTGCACAATCTGGAGATTCTCAGCTCAGATTATATAGTCTTCTACTTCACAAGAAATGTTTGTGGACTCTCTTCAATGAAGTGTGTGCGAGTGTTTAGATTTTATTTCGTACTTTAAAATAATTATGAACTCTAAATGAAGTGTTAATTAAAGCTGACATCTTTGAAATGAAACCTGAAGATGTGCTCACATAATAGCATGAAACAGCTGTAGTTATTATAAACGTTATTTACCTACGACCGTTTTTTAAAGTAGCCATTTCAGTCCAGTTCTTAGAATTGAAAAGTTTCACTTTACAGCTGTTTACTTTCATATCCGCATAGTTTCATTTCATATCCGCATAGTTTTCTCATATCCACACAGGTAACGGACCAATGAGGTTCAAGTATTGAGAGAAAAGAATTAAAATTGTAATGCTTCGAACGTCAACTAATCAGCTGATCAGCTGATCAGTTGACCAATTTAATTGTTGATCCGACTTGTTCATGTTGATACTCGCGTATTCTTAATTAAGTTGGTGGAAGTCCAAAAATAAATTAAATATTTGCCGAATTGTACCTGATACAATATTATTTATGGTAAGAATGCTGCTAGCAATGTAATATTTAACGAAGTTTAACAAACACGTAATTACAGGAAATCAGCTGATTATACAACAAGTCGTTGCATCACTTTCAGTGGCAATGGCAATACACGAAAACATAACCTCTCTAAAAAGTTATCAGTAGTGATTGTTAGTAATGAAATCCAGATTGATAGTAATTAAAAAACGGTCGTAGGTAAAGTAGTGTACGCAACTCGCGTTAATAGTCTTTACGACACTCGTAGAAGTTTTTAAGGCACTCGCCAAGGCTCGTGCCTTAAATTTTCTACTCGTGTCGTAAAGACTCACTTAACGCAATCGTTGCGTAAACTACTATTTAATGTTATTGAAAGATATATTTTTGCTTTTTTATTATAGTTTGAATTGTAAGGTTTATATTCGAGTATAAGTTAACGATTTTGTATATGATCATGAATAGCTTTCTAACTGTATGAAATTATACAAATATAACATTGTTTGAAAGCCAAAACAAAGTATAAAAAAGTATAACATTATGTATGATACAAGTGAAATCTAGAATTGTTTGCTTCACTAATACATTTACAAATTAATTAAAAGAGTAATAACATTGAATTATAATTAAAAGGTTAAAAACAGTTTTTATATTTTGCACCATTATAAAAAAGTAATAACTCAATTATTTGTTGAATGAGATTTTCTACTGGAAGGTGGCATGCAGCTGAAATTTTAGAAGATTGATGAATAAAATCTCAACGAAATTTGTGAAACTTGTGTATTAAAAGTAATATTTGTGAATTAGTGTAAATGTGTAAATGCATTAACAGTTTTTAGAAAATTGCCAATGTTGTTGAATTTATCCTTTTTTTTAGCAATTAAGGTGATGAAAACTCTTGACCTAATAAAACCACCATTAGTGTCACCAATTTAGTGAAATTTATGTCAATCAAAGTAAACAAAGTATACTCTAATAAATACACAAAATGAAAATATGTACATAACCCAACGGAATTTGATTAAACCCAAATATACTATTGGTCAACAAACACGACGAAAAGTTTCCCAAGTTCATTAATAAAGCATTATAAATGTCACACTCAAAGATATTAGCAACACAAGATAAATGTACTGTAAGAAAAGCGTGTAGTAAGTTTCTCTTTTGGTTTGCAACAACATAGTGTCATATCCAAATACAATATTTAGCAATGAAAATAGATGAACTATAGACTATAAATCGAATTCTTGAGTATACAATCCTTTACAGCTATGCTATTCAAAATATACATATAAATATATATATATATATATATTACCAATCAAAGCTGATTGTATTTTTAATAAAGGAATGCGATTTGGAGAACTCTTTAAAAAAAGAACCTGTACTTTGTAAAGAGTTGAATACATCAAAAACTTCTGTATTTGATTCAATAAGTCATTTACCAAGCAATAGTTTTTAACATGTCATTTCCTATATTTATATCATTTTGAGCTTTGTCAAAACATTTCAATCATGTTCTAGCTCAACCCTCTTAAAAGAAAAAAATATATAAATAACCAACCTTTAGATTATATACCAATAGAATATTATTCCATAAGCGGATCTTTTGCATGGTGCATGAGTATTTATTGTACACATGCACATTAGTGAAATTGTTGATAGCTTTTCAATCAGATTTTAATTTGTGAAAACTATTTCATTATTCTGGTATTTCTGATTATTTCTTTTATAAATGCAAGGACAAGACACATTTGGGTGTATGAGTGTGATTTGCGTTGAGGCTGTTTTCAAATTTCCTTTTTTATTGTAACAATTCATCCCTGATTCAACATACTAGTCCCATCACAATTTCCTAGGCCGAGATAAAATATATTTACTGTTCAAAAAACAATAAAAAACGTCTAAAGCAAATGGGAGACCAAATGGAAGAACTCATGAAAGTGTAAAATTTGCGTTCATGTGTAAAAGGGACATTTTTTAATTACTCCTTATGTAATGAAAATGAAGAGGGAAACAAATGAAAAGGCTTGTTAAAAACACAATTTTTAAATTATAAATACAAATACTATAATTGTAATTAAAACATAAAATATCTATCATTTCCAAGTAAAGATCGCGTTTTCATTAATGATGGTAGCTGTTATGGGGTTTCTGATGGCTTCCCTTAGTGTATTGTCTTCAACTTTGTGGAGACAAGGACTGTTTTGGCAGCACTGAAACAAAAAAACAAAATATATTGGGCGATAAATTCTTCAAACTGTACATTCACATATATTAATAGTAAAATAAAATAATCCAAGTGAAATAACACATTTACATATAAACAACATGCATTCAAATGTTTACATGACAACTAGATAAAGTTTAAGATTTTAAAACTATTTAGGAAACAGTATTCAATGCACTTCAAATTGGCTTATAAGCAGGTTTGCTGCATTAATGACATCTTTAACCTTACCTTGGACATGTCAAGAAGTTCAGAGTCTGCGTATTGGCTAGTTTGTATTAAATGTACGGTTGCTTTGACCTTCTGTTGTTGGGATTTGTATTCCATAATATCTGTAAGACGTCTTTTTAACGCTGACAAATACTTTCGAATGTTGTCCAACGATTCTTCGGACGTTTGCTGCGTAGAAAGAAGACATTTTGTTTTTAGATTTAATTCTTCTTCCCAAGATGTTAATTTATCCACACCATTTTCCATCTGAAAACAAAACAAAAGTATTAAAACCCTATTAGAATCATACTGGAAAAAGGCATATTCTAATTTTTACTTGATTTATGAATATTAGCTAAGTACCAATGCTGTTTTTACTTGATCTGTTTGCCAATTTAAAACGTGTGTTGAGGTTGAATAGTCAAATGATTTATGAAACAAGTGTTTAGTTCAAGAAGATATGAGTATTAAATGATTTACAATATTAAATCATTTGACACTGGCATTTCAGTAGCATATAATATAGAATAGTATATATTTAGACTGATAATAGTCGAATATAGAATAGTCTATATTTAGACTGATAATAGTCGACTGGATAAACACGACAAATAAATTAAGTACAATTGTATTCACCAAGCTCGTCATCGCTTCATTTGTAAATCTCTGCTTCATATTTGATTATTTTAATTGGTTATATTTAAATCCCTTTCTAATTTTTATCTATTGACACAGTTGAAATTCTGTCAAATACAGTCAAAATGAAAAGGCTATATCTGCTAACTAGCATTTTTACGTGTATACATGACCTAATTTTATGTGCTACGGATGTTTTCTCTAACGTGTTGCGTAAATAAATATGGTACTGTTGGTGCATAAAATCTGCCAAATCGTTTTGTGTTCCGGATTAGCAATTTAAGTGTATGATTTCACGCCATTAGCAACAACTTTCTCGACAAATTATCCCCAAAACTCGGAATGTTATTCGATATGCTATAGAATGTTATCCGGAAACATAATCATACATTGGTTTATTTGTAGTAAAACTATTATGGATTTTATTTAATTTTATACAACTCGATCATGGGAAATTTACTCACATTCCTCTGTTGACCAAGGATACAAGACAGGAACTCTTCAGAAGCGAACATTCCCGAAGATTTCCGGAAGACGCTGGCTCGAGCCTGAGACAAACTAGGAGCTGCATCCAGTAGAAAGACCACCACCTTGTGTCCTCGTTCTTCAAGAAGTCTTGTCAAGTGAAGTGTCACTATTCCACTCCACGTCTCTCCTATTAGATTGTAAGGGCCGTTCTTCTGGATTGCTTGTATTTGCTGTGGAACAAACAATAAAATTGTAAATCATGAATTTAGAATATCACAATAATCTTCTATCAATCATCAAAATGATTGAATAAACTTGAAAATAAAAATTGAGATTGCGACCTAACACAATAATTGTTTAGAATCCCCTGGAGACACGAAACAATAGTTATTTGTGCAACTCGCCTACGGCTCGTGAGTAAGTATTTCTCTCGAGTGAGTCAATTGCACTTTACACTCGAATTTCACATTATTTTTTCCTACCGTTACCATAAAACAAATAAATTGGTAAAGAAACGTAACATATTTTTGCACAGAAGTGAACTTTTAATATGCCATTTAATGATACAACAGTACAACACAGCTGACCAGCTGATTTACAGCCAGTGCTGCCAACGTATTTCGCGCGCATACGACATTGTCTGCATGTTACGTGCTAACTATTTCGTGTCTTGATGTTGCAAATCTTGAGTGAGACAAAGTAATTAGAGTGAAGCAATGTTAACATTGTCTCACTGATGAGCGAATTGGCCACTTTGCTTTCTCAAATCAGTGAGAGAACATGTACATTGTTAGGTAACTGTAGGAAAAAAACAGATGTTGAAGGTATTTTCTTATTTGACGTGTTTCATGTAAACGACTTGATAAGTATTTTACATGTGAGTGCTATTGTACAGATACAATAAAATACGTTTTTTGACACTTTTCGTAAAGATTTCAACGAAAATGTTGGATGACGTATATGATTACATCCGTATGATTTTTTAATGAATTTATATTGACAATCTTTACCATATTAAAGTGAAATTATCTTCATATTTTGAGTTGTTTTGTCTCTGGATCACAGAACAAACTATAAAAGGTATAAAAGCAGTACTTAGGTAATTTTATACCTTTTATAGAAATTATCTTGCATCCGTATCACTATAAGGTCCAGATACTACGATTAAAGAGAAATATATTCGTATAATCTCTTAAAATGGTGAACACTTTGATTCTTTTAAAATGAAAATAAACATAGTATTTAACTATCATCTTAGTTTACTTGAATCAGGAGTTTGAATGCAATATGTAATGTGTACTATGAGCAAACTCAGTTTTACACTGTGCATAAATATTTACAAGTTCAAATCATTACTTGATTTCTTTCTTCAAGTTTAACTTTCGTACCTCCAGAAGGTATGTAGCGGACTGTTCAAAGGTGGTTAAGGACGGTGGAAGAGTAGGACAGAAGACAGGGTGCATCAAACGCTGAATGAGAGGTTCTATTCTGCTACTGCTGATTCCAGGGATAACGAACACAGGTAACAACTGATGCCTGACGTACTCATACCGAGGGCTGAGGGAAGGCACCTCTTGCAGTTGGGTTTGGGAGAGATTCAGCCCCAAGAGCTCTAACTCAGCCAAACTCTGAGGCAGGTGTTCCTGAACGTCTGAAGATGAAATCCTCAAGTCTGAAATACGATAACACTGGTTCATGAGCTAATGCTGATCTTAGGTACAATATATTTTCTTATAATGGCTAGTTATAATTGATAGTGTGAAACGAATTGAAACAAGCTTTTTAATAAGGGACTTGAAAAGTTACAAATATAAATAGTTTGTAAGCGGAATATATTTAACTGTGGTACTTTTCATACTTTTCAATACTTTTCATTGGCCAAGAGTGATCTATTTTATAGGTGGTATCTGAGAAGATAAAGTATGCATAATTATCGGAGTAGCCTTTAAAGTGCGCGGAAAAAGTAGCCACTGTCGTGGCCATAGGTCAACGGACCGCTCAGCAACAATAGACTAATGTTAACTCTTGACTAAGGATTTCATGACAGCTCAATCGTTCTGAGGCAAACAAATAGGCTGAAAAATTGTTTTCATTGCAAATTTAAAAACTAAGAACACCATATTTAAAAAAAAATAACAAAACAACGATGACAAGAACACTTTTGGTTACCTTCTTTGTTCGATCTCCTTGTGAAATCTCCAACAGCCATAAATTTGGAGCCAGAAGTTTTGTCTGCAAGTATTGTTTTCAGGTAAGGAAGGATATTGGCTGGAGAGTCAAGGTGTGTGTCTCTTTGAATACAACACACATTCAGTCCACCCCGAGCCCTGGCTTCACACACCCCTGCACCCTGGCCCAGTAGTGCAAGGAACCTCCTCAGTCTTGGTACAGTCTTTCTAACGGCTATCTCCAGATTCCTCATTCTACTACTGCATTCGTCCTGCCAAATATATACCATTCGTGTTATCCAGAGTAAATACAACTACTCGTAATCATTATTTGTAACTTTTCAAGTGGCAGTATTTAAATATTGAGGTATTTTTTATGAAATTCACAAATCAGCAAATGATAGGTCTACAACACTACACTGCTCAAAATCATAAAGGCAAATAGAAAACTACATAAAATAGTCCTTTTAAAACATTATTTGTAGATTCTCAACCTTGTATATACACCATACCTAAGCATATAATCATACTTAAGATAACAAATTATTCTATATACTCACCATATTCAAACAAAGAAAAGTGTCAATGGGCCTCAGTTGTAGTAACTCTTCGATTAGGTTAGTGCCATTTTGGATAGTGTCAAATCGTGAGAGAGGGTAAAGTGTTAGTGTGGCTGGATGTTGCGAAACTAATCTGTCGATTTTGTGAAAGTTTTTGGCAGCCATCATGTTCTCCGTGGTCAAAACAATGAGATGTTGACCTCCGTGAGCAAGTACCCAACTTGCTACGTCCAACCAAAAGTTGCTTGAGGTACCTAAATCAAACGATTGTGTTGAAATAGTAAAATATACTCAGTACAAACAGCAAGTGTACGTGCGATTGATACAAATATTATACACAATCTCCGTATGTTTATCGGACTATAAATCGTATTTCCCCAAATGGTGTTTGGATTAGCTATAGCACAATATCGGCTTAAATAAAATAATAATATATCTTTCGTACGCCCAAATATACTATTTCAGAGTTTGCAAACATTTATCTGCATATAACAGATAATTTTATAAGAAAGATTTTTATTTAATTTCTTCTAAGTGTTGGAGGGCCTTTTAGTTTTATTGATTGCAATTTGCTCATTAACACAAGCCTGACATACATTAAACATTGTTTACCTTACGTTTGCAATGTAGTGTTAGAATATCACATATATTCAGATACATAACATTCAAGTGAGTGTTCAACCAACAATTGTTTTCTTCCATAAAACAGTATACGGAAGTTATCCTAGACATGAATATTAATAAACATAAATTAACCAATACCTGCTATAACTACGAATTCGTGAGGATCAAACGTAAAACTTTTAGAAGAGGTCGATTCACCCTTTATAGATATCACAGTCTTTTCTTCCATACTTTTATTTTTCAGGAACCTAAAAATAAAATAAAAATTACATCCAATAATCCTAACAATCTGGGGATGCAATTATCCTAGGGTATATAAAATTGCAAATTTCATCACATCCTTGGGTAAAAGATTATTAATCCAGGCTTTTGAAAATTTAAAATAGAGAATGAGTATTGAAAAAAAAAAAAAACAAGACTATTGTTACATAAACTCAAAGAACGATATTATTAGAAATTATACTATATATGTCAACAAAATATATCTTCCTTCCATTGTTTGTTTATACAGTATATCTAAAAATACATGTTTTTAAAACTACTCACTCTAATACTTCCGACTGACTACGCCATGGAAATGTTTTCCGCTTTAATGGCTTCACATCCCCTTTTATAATGCCATCCAAAACCGCCCGTTGAATTTGAATTTTTTCCTCCTCACTACACCTTGTTAAATTCTCCACCGTTATCCCGTGAAGAGATGTTCGCTTCAGGAATACCAGCATGCCTAAACATCACAGTGAATAAACGAATGTGGATGACAAAAGAGAAGATTGCATACTGTATGTTACGCAACCAAAAGCTGTACCAACTATCGGAAAGAAAACTAAATGTATTTTGTGGCTGCTATACATCTTCATGGAAGTGTAAGTTAGGAAACCTTTATTTAGATTATTATGATTTAGTTTTGAAATGCATACATATATGTTTTTTTGCGTTTCGTCTTAACAGTAGAACAAAATTTAATAAGTATTTACTTATCATAACCAGAAATGGTAAAAATAAATATTTTAAAGTCAAAGGCAACAACAGAGGAATCGATATTTTAAAATGTATAACACGTGAATCATATTCCAACAAATACTAAAGTCAAGTCGCTAATTATAAAAATGGTACTGTTTTTTTTAAATACAGATTTTTCCAAATTTTCAAGTTAGCTGCCATTTTTTTAAACAATGGAATCAATATTTATAAATGTATTTTATGGCATTTTTTGAAAGTAGATGCAATTTTAAGACTTATTTATTTCCCTACTCTTTGCATTCTCTCTCTAACCTTACTCATTTAGGAGTTACAGGATACAGAATGTACACTGCACCCCAAATGTTCTTAGGCATAACGAGCTTTAATTCCTAAACGAGTAGCTTTGTTGAAGAAATGTCGCGAGTAAAAACATTTTAAAATTACATTTAAATTCCAAAACAATCATAAAACACAAATTGTCATAAGAAATATTAAAGTTGTCGGCCATCTTCGAAAATGGTGGTCAAATTTAAAAAAATTCTGAATCTGTCCCAAAAAGGATTTGTAAAATAAAGTGGAGTGCTCCATAAGAAGTTAACTGTCCATCTCACAATAAGAAAGTTAGCTATTGGTTCACTTTACGTGAGACACCCTGTATACCATGGTGCCTCTGGATCTCTGAATTTTACATATATTTTTAAAGCTAAGTAGTTTAAACTAACTTGCCCCGTCAAGTTTACTTACGAAAGAGCACTTGAGGAAGGTAACTTAAACTATTTAGCTAACATAAACCACTTTCAATTCTAACTAAGGCATTATTCTGACGTAGGGCGGTTTAGGCGTTCCTAATGTTAAAAATGTTGTTTATGAAGAGATCGGTGGGTACTTTAAACTTTGCACTTACTTGTTCACTCGAGTATTGGAACAGTTCGTGGACCGTATAAAGTATAGGTCAGCTGATACAATATGATTAAATTCAGTGATAGACACTATTAGTGGTGGCGCTGAGACGCGAATGTAAACCTCCTCGTTGAGTGCAGGACCGAGTGCCTTTTGACTAAAAACTTTGACGAGCGTCATTTACCTTAAGCTGGGTTTTCCTAGACGAGGAAGCGGAGAGAGGAACGCGGAGAGCGGAATAGAGATTAACATGGTGTCCCGCTCCGCTTCTAGGAAAACAGTAACATTAAATTACCTAAGACAAGTGGAGTCCGCTCTCCACGTTCCTCTCCCCGCTCTACGCTTCCGCGCCTAGGAAAACCCAGCTTTAGGCTTGGCGGTGCAAGTGCCGTGCCAGCCAGGTATCAGTGACCAGTTCCATGGTGTGACGAGTATGGGAGTGGAAATATCGACAAGAGGGGGGCAGGATTATGAAAAAAATGAATGAAGGTTTACTAATCGAATCAATATTTTTAATCGATATTAGGGTAGCCCAGTTAAGAAACTGTACCCGGTCTCTGTTACCCTCCCCTGAATCACTCTTACGCTCTGTGGAGTCAACTGACACTCGGGCCTACCTGACGGTTTTGACAGTTTATGACTCCCACGGCAAAGAACAGGACGGCACTCGCTCCGCATTTCTCCGCGTTACCCACTGAACCGAGTCACTATTTACAATATGACAATATTTATTGTTGTAGTCAATTATTGTTGTAAACTAGAGTACCAATGCTTTCTCTATCCTCCACTGTGATGCGTCCGAGATGAAGGAACCTACAGTCTGTCCCCATAACCTTCACTGTGGCTTGCATATCTCTGCCTCGAAGACAGTTCACTATGACCTCCGCTCCTCTTCCCTGGGTCAACTTCCTCACTGGAATGTCTAAGTCTTCTAATCCTCTGATTATGATATAACTTGGGTTGAGCTACAATATAAAACACACATAAAAATTAGACCGTTACAAAAATGCGTTTATGACATACACATTAATAGCCAAACTAATTGAACGATTCCAATGGAATATTAATATTTTGTGAGAAAGTATTTTCAGTTGAAAATAAATAGCGTTACGTTAACCGATGACTACAGACCAAAGGATAGACAATAACTGGGGACAAAGTTATACTAAGGATGCCTCATTGTTAAATCTCCCATTATAATCTTTGTTGAATAGAATCAAATAGCAAAGCCAACTGTTCAACAGGCAATTTGATGGAAGATTCGACAATGAACCATCTTAATCCTGAAATTAAAGGCACCGGAACACTATGAGAACTGACGTAGGTAAATGTACATAACATGTTAAATTTGAATTGATTATAAATATAAGAGGAAAATAGTACGGGTATAAATAAAGTCTTTTCAATCTGTATGTAGGGTAGTATTTTATTATTCCATGGTAGCGGGATGTTTTAGTTTCTTTAATACTTTTGAAACAGTTTTCCTTATATCTCACGTATTTATACCAACCAATCACTTTACTATTCAACAACCTCTGCTAATTACCACTTTATGCTCTGAATTCACCACAAATATTTATACGGAGTTACTTGAAAGCTATCTTTCGATATTTCCAAGACCAAATGCATTTAACTAAAAATATACATACATAAAGTAAAAAGATAATATATTCATTATAATAATATAATTCCTACCTTAGGGAATCTTTTTCTTAGCTGAAACCCTTCTTCTTTATTACTAACAAATGTTATGACGTCTGCCCCAGCTGTAAGTGCCATACATATTACTGCTTGGCCTATAGGACTCATCCCAGCATGCACCAACACGGTTTCTCCGGGTTCCACTTTGGCCTTTAGGTTAATGCAATAATAAGCCTAGAAAATAATGTAAAGTATTAAATGGTGTGTACATAAAAAAAAATACATTTGTGTATTGTATTTGTTTCAAGAACTAGAATTCTGTACATAAAAATATTAAAATCTCTTGTTTCTTACACTTTTACATTATATCCGTATGTACAAATCATCATTGATGTTGGAATAACATTTCTAAAGTGCTTTTAACCTTTGCGGGCACATATAAACAAACACAGGTCCTTTTAGATTTTTCAATTCCCTCTAGTCTTGAACGAGGGCATAGAACATACCAGACAAAGCAAGGAATGACATTAAGAACTATTTGATTAAGAACAATAAAGAAAACTGGCAAAGGTTGCAACTGGTAGTGGTTGCACTATTGTTGAGGTTTACGCTCATAAAATTAACAGCTTCGCTTTTACTCGCAGAACATCACAAACTAAAGCTGTTAGTTTTTGAAATTATAGACTAAATCTAAGCTAGTATAAGTACAAAATGCTTTCTGAATTATTTTTAAATGGTGTTGTCGGCTACAGCTACTTCGTAACCATGAGCGTGTATAAGTTTGTTTTCTACATTTATTATTATGCCTGCACGTTTCATGCTAAGCACACAAAGAATACAAAAAAAAAACTGGAAAAGAGTCACTAGAAATCAGCACACTTATTTACTTTATTATTATCTTGTTTCAGGAAACTAAAATCCTTACCAGTCCGTAGGTAACAGGCACAGTGGCTGCATCCTCCATAGTAAAATCAGAGGGCACTGGCCACCTCAACACCGGGTCTGGACTAAGAGATTTGGAGTCTGTTTGGAACATGGCCACTCCCATGACCGGCTGATCAGCTTCAGTAGTTCCAGAGTAGTCTGCACACTTCAGTTCTGGCTAGAATCAGTAATGAATTATACATCGGCGCAATCACACTTTAGGTATAATAGGTGTGACCGCATCACAGATAGAAACCTTTGCCAAAGTGCTGACATTTTGGCCTCCTCAGCCATCCTCAGATCAGCTCGCCGGAAAAGAAGTCGAACCTTTTACTGACATCCAAACATAAATAGTGCTTGATATACAGTACGGCAAACATCAATAAGGCCACCTATCTAAAAAGGTGTAAAAAAGTCAGCACTAGTGATAGATTTCTGTCTGTGACACGGTCCCAGAAGATCTAGTTTAGAGTGTTGATGGCCGTGGAAGAATTAATTCCAGCGTAATTTCACTTTTAACTGTCCCCTTATATTTTGTTTGATAAATAACAGTCAAAAGAAAGATTTTAAATTCGCAATCGCTTTACTTTCTATAGATGTTGTGAATATAAAATACTACTGTACTGGGTTTACTTAGATTTATTACAGTATTTAGTAAAGAAAAGTATATTTAAATATTCCAGAAATGTTCAAAGTTTGGAATCTCTTAAAGGGGAAAAATTAAAATCTCTAACCATCTACGTATATGATCAGTTTCTCTCAGCCTATCCTTTCCTACTTATTGTTAATGTGGGCCCACGAATTCGCTTCTATCAGCAACTACAATCAAACAGGTAAAATACCAATTATAATTGTAATTATCAACAAAAATTCCATGCTAAGCTGATGGTATGAAATTTCTAAAGGTAAGGTTATGCAGAGTTAGGTTCTGCTTATTAAAAAGTTAATATTGCTGTTTCGCACTATCTCTGCGGGAAACTCAAAGGGTCAAGTAACCGGAAGTGGCCTGAATCCTGGATTCCAGCTGATAAGATGACAAGGTTAGTAAATTAAATACAGTACTGCTCTCCAATTGGTGTTACACCATGACGTCATATACTCTGACTATTGGCCATTGCTAGTATGAAACGGGCATACTGAAGAACGTTATCACTAAATTCACTACTAATTTGTTCATGTAATTTATAACCTGTGCTATTCCTCTGCCCCATCATGGTTTATATTGATTATTAAATAAACTAACTGCAATCTTCAAAATAAATGCTCTGCAATCAACTACAATAAAATCGACTTCTATGGGCGATTGTTCCAAAATATGCTACCGGTACCTTACTAAAATTTGATCAAAATAAATAATAAATCGTAAAAGAGCATCTGTATCTTAAAATTACTTCCACCCTTACCAAATCACACTCGAGTCCATCGTCGAACGTAGGAGGATTCAATCCAATGTAGTGTAAGTCTATTCCTGCATCAGTTCTAAAACAAATATTCGTTACAAAGTTGAAAAATACACATAAAGTACATTAATGAATCAAAAAATTAGCTGTATGTTCCATTTTTCACATAAAAATCCCATTACATATTAACATTTGTTTTAACTGTTTTATATTTCAGATAATGGTAAAAAATGCATCAACATATTAATAAATTGTCGTATATAAGCTCATGGCAATAACTGAAGTGTAAATCCTAAGACAAACAGTTGTAAATGCTACACAAATAATATTATCTATTTCCTTCACACTTTAGATTAGACACCCCGACGTTTATGCAAAAACATAAAATATACCTAGTATATACTGGGAACTGTAAATATCTATCAAATATTAAACTTACAATACAAAAAGAAATGCAGTAAGACTAATAATATAATAATGAATTCAATAGTAACAAATTCTCTATCCATTGGGGATAAACTTAACCACAATTAATTTTGATTGGGACTGATAACTCATATCGATTGTAAATCAGGTAATTTATTAATTTATCCTAATAAGGTGTTCCTCAATAACTTTCAAAATTACTGGAATGGATTTATTTATATTTTTACTCCTAATTTAAAACCGGTTAATATTTTTTAGTTATAATGGGTTAACATTCTTAGTTAACGTTAAAAACAAAAATAAAAGTTAATCATACCTTTCAACGGAAGCATTGAGATTGCTTTTCATGTCAACTTTCACTTCCTCAGACCTTAGACTGCCCCAAATACCGTCAAATAAAATGTTTACAGGCAACCCAAGCAGTAGTTGCGATGAAAATGTAGGTGAGGTGTTTGAATACTGAGCTGCATTGGCTTGCTGGATGAACACTGTCCTAGAATGTAAAATTAAATAACAGAACAAATGTTTTAATGATGAACAAAACCTGGCGTATGGATTTTTTTGAAAATAAATATACTGTGAAATAGACTGTTTATTTAAAAAAAAATATTAGTTTAGGGAAAACTATTAGTAAATGTACTTACAATATAATAAGCAAAATAAAATAAATCTTTGATCATCAGGCGGGGACAACATCTAGAAGATTCGTGCTGGCTCGGGATGGAGGGGGCAAGAGTTTGGTCAAAAGCTCCGGTAATCAGCTGTGATGATAACGTTGGCCTCATGTATATATACCAAGTTTCAAGAAATATCTTTGGCTCTTAGTATGAAATCATAAAGGGAGGGTGATTCGAAAATATTTACATTACTCAAACGAGAAAGATATTTCGATAGATTACGATAAATATAGAAAGAGTTAGTTTTAGAATAAGTATAGTTCATCTGAAGTGAAGGAATGCATTCTCTTGAAATTTAACGAGTAAGGTATTCCTTGAAATATATTTGTGTGGTTTTTTTTATGTTTATTGATAGGCTTTTAGACAGATGATTAACTGTCAAGTAGTGAGTATGGACGCTTAAACAGAGCGTCGGTTGGGTATCGTTTGCCAACCAAAATTTGTTTGTTTGAACCAAAACCCACTTAGGCTCTTTGAATAAGGTTCAAGAATACTTGTATAACACCAACCCTATGCGATGTTACCAAAAGAGGGCAACAATTGGACAAAGAATGCCATTTTAAATAGTTAATTGATAGGATTCCTTTTGTTTCTAAGATGAGCAATATGAGTGAACCTCATAACCTTGTTCACTTTGCATTTCAAACGTGAATAGCAAGTGAATTTGTATAAAATGGGAGTAGGCCTACAAGTTCGTAAGAAATCACTACTGATTGGAATTATGAACTGGCATATATCAATAACAAACAGTAACATAAAATCTCAACATAGTAGAAGGTATCGATAGTTCGTAGATGGATGTCACCAAGCATGAATTACCTGATGGAAGCCACGTATGGTTCATTGGCAAGGATGGGCAAAACTTGACGGGGCTCCAGTGACCTGGTGACCAAGACGATGGATTGAGGGTTACTAAGAGCCTCAACAGCTTTGCGGGTCTTCTCCAACCAGTCTTTCCCTTCCAAGGACACCACTACAGGGCTCTCGTTGTTGGTCTGCAACAGACATGGGCTAAGATGAATAAATTACTTGTGATTACTTTGTACATAACCCAGGAGTCAGCATGATGATTGACGATAAACTAAATTTCCCGGGTTTTAGCGAATTTCCCATATAGGCAAAAAACTATTACCGTATGTCTCATGGTAAGACCTAGACCCGGGACCGATTTACTTTTTCGTTTTGAGGTCCAAAAACACAATCCGTTCAAATTCACACACACACACACACACACATCTATATATCTTAAACTACATATATATATATATGTGTCCGTTAGCGCGATAAGACGAGAAAAAATGATCCGATTTTAATAAAATTTGGTACAAACGCATAATCAGACTATGGGAACGGGGGTTATGAGGGGTTTTATGGGGTAAAAATTTATTTTTCCCATTTTTGACCCTAAAAAACACAAAATTTCTCTTCAAACCGTCTTGTAGAGCTTAAAAAAGGAATAATTTTTTATATTGAAGCGTTGTTATATGCCCAACGGTTATGGAGATAATTAAAAAAATAGTAAATTTAAAATTCCCATGTCATTCTTATGGACAATAAATAAACTGTTGTAGTTTACTTGTTTATGGATATATTTTCACAAAATTTGGAAATTTTGTTTATTTCATAATAAGCTGTCAACATTGCAATAAAAAACACCTCAATATCTTCCCTGTAGCAGCAAATTAGTACTCACTACAAATTAATGTGATTTAGATAGGAAATAATTCCGACAATTTTTAGAAAATATTTTAGTAAAAATCCATCCAGGTAAATGGAAATTCGCTTAGTTGCAGACCGGTTTGCTGCGGCGGGGGTATTATTTTATTATACAATCGTTACTGAGGTGATAAAGAAATTATGAGTTTGACCAGTTTACAGTATACCTTAGCCCAACATATGGTTTAAGCTAAAGTTTACACGAGATAAATCCTTGTACATCGACACAAGTTGCAAATATAAGATAGTGGAAATGTTTAATTGATATACCATCGAGGAATTTAATCATTCACAGTTTGATTGTTTGGGATATATATAGTTTACTATTGTTGCGATAGTACGATTGATTTTTAAATATGGGTTTTTAATGCTATGAAATAGCTTATAAACGAAAGATTTGATATGTTATGATAATTCACATGCTGAAGTCTCAAAAACTGCCATTGAATCATATTTTACTTTTTTCTTAAGTGAAAAAACGAAAAATTAAAACAAGAATTATTTCTTCTCAGAACACCCCTTAGTGCCTTCAGGCTTATAAACGAAAGATTCAATGCGTTATGATAATTCAAATGCTAAAGTCTTAAAAACTGCCATTGAATTATATTTTGTTTTTTACTTAAGTGAACAAAACGAAAAATTAAAACTAGAATTTTTTTCTCAGAACACCCCTTAGTGCCTTCAGGATTTAGTAAAAATGGCTAGAAGACGATACCTGTTACATCCCTTACTAAGTAGATATAATTAATTTATCTTAAAACCTACTGAAAATGTTGGCTTGCAACAATACGTATGTTTAATCAAATGGAATTTTGCTTTATTTGCATTATTTTGTAATTGTATGATAGTTAACTGGTGTTCAAACAGCGAGTGATGTTACAGGAAAGGATTGTGCCCAGGATCCTTTAATTTACAACTTAGTGTCTTCCACAGATTTAGCGTTTGTCATACAGCGTCTTCACTATAAGTTCTAATAGTCATGTGTTCTTAAAATTAATTGTAAATGTTAACAAATAAAAGTTAAAAGAGCGATGCTAGGAGAAAGCCAGGCTGTTAAAAACTGATGTCTTTTACAATACCTGGAGTGATGGATTCAACATCTCCAATAATGATGAAATATAGAGCTATACCGTAAGAGAATAAACCAACCTTTTTCATTAAAGTGAGTTTTCCTCCCTCATGATCGCATGCCAGCAACGACCTCAGATTCACACCGTTGGTTTGTAGAGATTTCACAAATGTGATGCAGTACAGTTTATCTGGGTTAATAGTATCCGTCAGTGAGAAAACTGTTGTCTGATCCCCAACTACCAAATACCTCTGTTGATCATTCGATTTTAGAAGATGAATTGCTTCATCAACGTCTACTTCTGACACATTATCCTAAAACAGAAGTTTTCGATTTTTATACGTGGACCTTTACACCCTAAACATAGGTAGAATATTTAAATTAAGAAAGAATTAAAAATAATTCTGGAGGATTTGCTGATCTGCATAAAACAATCAAGGCATGGTTTGAGTCTAAAATTTCGCACTGAGAAGAAAGGAATAATTTTTCTTTTATTTGTTGATTTTTTCTTTATAGCTTAGCTAAGCTGAAGATAAATACATACAGTATAAATAATTACAATGAAATACAGTACCCCAATGATATTGATAAAAAATATGTAAAAATCATCAAATGTTTACGTATGAATATATAATATTGCAGTTTACAGTAGGTATATTTTGTATAGGATAAATAGTCTAACTAAGGTGTCTTACTTTTACCGAAATACGACGTTATTTACTTCAATACCATGTGATGTATAAGAAGTCTAAAAAACTCCGGATGATTAAAATTTGTAAAACGTATGGGAAAAAGACTATGTTTTCAGCTTAAAATGATTGGCTAGCAACCGTCCCAGAAAGAGAGGCATACTCGTATCCTTATAGAAAACACAATAAAATGTAAATATTCTTTCAAATAAACATGACATTTATCTAAAAACAGAGAACTATGAAGTGTCATGGCAATGAATTAAAAATCACACACAAGTAAATTATATCTGCATGAAGTATAGTATGGCAGAGTGACAATGTCAACTCCTTGCATGATCATTGCCACCATGTCAGCGACTTTTAAAACGATATAAAACTGTCATACAAACAATTCAAACTTTTATAGTGATGATAATTTTTAGGCTGATAAACAATGAGACGAAAGATCATGAAAATCTTAAAATATATTAACTGCACCAATTCGATATAACATCTACGTTATAATCACTTACGTATAAATAAGTATGACCGTGGAAAAGCTTCACCAAATTCTGGTAGGAAGATTGATTTTCAGGAGTTTCAGGCTTCACCAAGAGAAGATGTAGAGGAGCAGGGTTGACTAGCCACGTTCCTAAGCCCACTTCCTTCGCTATTTGTTGGCTCGTACGCAAAAACTCATCCAGCTGGAATTTTCAGATTAAAACTTTAAATATTTACAAAGTAATATTTTTCTATTATATCCTCCTTAATTAGAGAACAGTACAAAAGTAGAACTTAGCTTTTATCGTTAAAGGATTAAAGAAAAGTAGTAGTAAAGTATACTTTCATTTTAACTTATATAAAATCAACAATTTTAGAGATTTATTAGCTTTTTGTTTAAGATAAATGTTTATCTTACCGTTACTGAACAGTTAGAATTCCTCATTGGTTTGAAAAGTTACACCAAACTTTTAAAAATCCTGAAGTAAATTAAAATAAATTAAAATAAGATGTAAAATATTCAAATACTTAGGGGATTTATAAACTAATAAAATGCCACATAACCAGTAACATAAAATGAATTAATGATGTCGGTGCCTTCATATCGTACACAGTAGCTTAGCTCACTAAAAATAAAACGTATTCCGTCAAAACTGAAGACCAAATTTTGAAACTTTAAGGCTAGAACCAACACCAGTGTTTTCCCTATTTGTTTACTCACTGATATGCTACTGTCAAAGTATGGCTTGAACTTCAATTCCCTCCATTTTAGACAGTCATTCCTCTTATATGGAGTTGATTTGAATGTGACACCAAGTAGTTCTATCGCCACACAAACCAACCTGTTACATCGACTGTCGTAGTGCACATCTAGTACAGTATCTGACAAAAGAAGAACATCGTAAAAACATATTTTTTACCACATTTTTCTATTTGCATCACCTGAAAACAGTTCTAAGGTTTGCTCCTACTGGTTTATTTAAAACAGTGGTCGTTCTTTTGTTGGAATTGTGTTTTGTTATTTGTTACTTAAACGGTTTAAGCTAATTTCAACACCATAAAATTATATAGCTATGCATTGTTAGTACTTTGATATTATAGCTCACAAGTTAATCTCAAAATGTATACTACAGCCAAATAATAAACGCCGATGATTTAATGATTATATCAAAGTGTAATTAATTTATAATTAAAGTACAGGGTGGCGAAGATGGATCGGGTGGTTTTAAAATACTTGTAAAACTGTCAATTTTAAAGGTATTGGATTGAAATAAAGTGCAAAACGTGTAGTAACAATGGAATATTATTGACAAAAATTAGTTAAGTTAGTTTTTAAAATTACATCAATCAAATGCCTTCCTTCTCGAGCGACGCATTCTTGGAGTCGGTCCTTGAGGTTCCGCATTGCTCGCTCAAGCACATCACCATGAGTTGATGCGATTTCGTTGTGAATTGCAGCCTTCAACTCCTGAAGCAAGGGTCTACATGAACAAACCCCGGACCATTCAGGAGTTGAAGGCTGCAATTCACAACGAAATCAAATCTATTCCTGGTGATGTGCTTGAGCGAGCAATGCGGAACCTCAAGGACCGACTCCAAGAATGCGTCGCTCGAGAAGGAAGGCATTTGATTGATGTAATTTTAAAAACTAACTTAACTAATTTTTGTCAATAATATTCCATTGTTACTACACGTTTTGCACTTTATTTCAATCCAATACCTTTAAAATTGACAGTTTGACAAGTATTTTAAAACCACCCGATCCATCTGCGCCACCCTGTATAAGCTAATTTTTCAAAGTTTAACACGCTGTAGCTCCTAAACAAGTGTATAAAGGTACCATATTGGAAAATGGTGGCCATTTTTGAAAAATTGGAATTTATATTTTTTATGTCATTAAAAACTAGTTGAAGTTCTCCATTTAATGTTCTCTCTAAATCTAATAGTTTCTGAGATACCAATGGGGCACAGTTAGGTTGTTCACCCTGTATACTTACTGTTTGGTAGATCACACAACAGTGGTTTGTTGATTTCAAGTTTGATGAAAGAAGTAGGTTGGTGCATTGACGATGGCTTCTTTTCGATTTGTACATATGTTAAAAATTTTAATAATGCATCTACGAAAACGATCACATCACAAGTCCATTTTATTTTTGCTGCGCTTTCTGAAAAAATAGATCCGAGTATTAATCATGTGATTTCATTTTGTATAGTTTCGTTCTTCTCAAAGTCTTTTGGAGGTTTTGTTAAGTACAGAGGCTGACAGAGTGATATTTTCACCAGGTATGTAATTTATAATTTGTCATTAACATTGACCCGGATGACGAATTAGTAAACTAAATGTGGAGAAAGGACAATGTTTATATTCATCGACAATATCTCAATTGGATTGTAGATGTGAAGTAGGGACATTGTTTTCTTGTCTAAGTACTATACTTATACAAAGTACTCCGTAGATAAATAATTTATTTACGGAGACAGTTGATTGGATTTTTAGCAAAATTCACATATGGGAAATAAGCTATTATATATTTCCGTTAGCTTGATAACTTGAGTAAATACGATTTTGATGACATTTGAAGCAAACGTGTACACCTGTTCATTACACCGAGTTCGCAAACCAGCATGATCGGACTATGGGGACGGAGTTTGATGAGGTGTTTTATGGAGTCAAACTTAGGTTTTCCATTTTTTACCTTCATAAAAAAACATTTTGCTATTTGTTTCTAAAACATTTTGTAGATCTAAAACACAAATAATGTATAGTATATTAAAGCGTAGTTGCAAGTCTAATGGTTACGGAGAAAATTCCAAAATCTCTAAGAAAAGACTCATGTTATTCTTATGGGGAATAAATGGCCAGTTGTAGTTTGCTTGTTTATGGATATATTTTTGTTGGATGGAGACTGTGTTGATGGCGAAGGAGTCGGTTGTGTTAGTTTGGCCCGCGTGTAAAAATATTTGCTTAGACGACGAAAAGTCTCTTCTTTGTGATGGATTGTGCTATTCTTGGCATCATGTCAAATGCGTTAATGTAACCGTAAAAAAGTTTAACGAAATTCGCAAGGTGGAGGATGCAGTGAAGTGGTTCTGCCCGGATTGTGACGGAAAGCTCAAGATCTGCATTGATCAAATGAAAACTGCCGAATCAGCATGCACAAGTGAGTTGTTGAGAGATATGGAAACTAAAGTCTCAGCTTTTCTTAAAATTGGACAAAGTCTTGAAAAGAAGTTGAATATTTTAATTAACCATAGCGTTAAAACTAAGGTTGCCATAAACAAAGTTTTAGAATCAAATAAATTGTCTTGTAACATAGAATTAAATGAGACTGCAAACATAGACATGTCGAATGACACTTTTGAAGACGAAGGTGACGCCCCATTGGCGGCAACCAATGACAATGTCCCACTCCAGACTACATGGGTAAAAAAAAGAGAAATGAAATGAAAAAGGCTGTGAGTGAAACTCCGAGAAATGAAATCAGACTGGAACCAACGACCCCTGTACAAGAGGAACGGACTAAAACGGAATCTTATCATAGTGTAAATGGCGATGACGATGCAGATTTGGAAGTTACTGGCGTACACAACTTAATACGGACAATAGAGGAAGCAAAGACATCCGAAGCAGAAATTATTAAACGCAAAGAAATACCGCTCTACTCTGAAATTGTACAAAATAAACCCAAACCTAAAGATAGTGTAATAATCGGCACAAGTGGTGTATCTACTAGTTTGAAACCTGCGAACAAGCGTTCTCACTTCTTCGTATCCAGACTGTCACCAAGTACATCGGACGAAGAGATTTCTCAGCATCTGGCAGGTTAGGGAATATCAGACATCGAGTGCATAGAACTTAAAACGAAATTCAAGACATATAAATCCTACAAGGTGGGAGTTCCTGTTGACTTCGAAGGGAAAATTCTTAACCCTAGCCTTTGGCCCAAAGGGGTAGGCCTACTTGTAAGAGCCTACGTTCCATATAAGAATAGGCGTGAGAGTGTCAATGGTTCTTTTTTAGAGAGAACCTTCTACAGGACAGTAACAACGTAAATTGTGACCAACAAAACTTAGAATTAAGTACAAAAACTGTGGGTGATGATCTAAACTGTTTTGGTACTTGGCCTAGGCCTAGCGTTCCGCCACTTGTAAATAATGTAAATAGGCCTAATATACCTATTGCGTCACTGAATGTCCAGTGCCTTAGAACCAAGCTGGACTTGGTCTCACTCTTTGTAGAGGAGAAAAAGTGCGATATTTTGTGCATTTCAGAGCACTGGCTTAATAGCTTGGAAATTGACTGTTTCAAGGACTTGTATGGTCTGCAACAAGCAGACATTTATTGCCGCAAGGAACACAAAAATGGTGGTGTGGCAATTTATACAGCAGCAAAATTTAATTGTAAACCAATAGATGTGACAAATTTTACTATTGAACTAGTTCTAGAACTTAGTGCAGAGGAGATAACCAACCTATCCAGACCTACTACCATAGTGTCAGTTTACAGATCCCCAGATGGAGCATTTGACATTTTCCTACACCAGCTAGACCTATGCCTTAACTACTTGTGTAAGCCTACTTTTGAACTGATCATCTGTGGAGATTTTAATGTTCACCTCGAACAGCCCTCAAAAGAAGAAGTAGCTTTCATCAATTTGCTGAGAAGTTACGACCTCCATGTAACAACAAGAACTCCAACCAGAGGCTCCGCCTGCCTGGATGTCGTAGCCACAAACATCAATTCTTGGGACTGTGACTCAAAGGTTGTCAAATCCCTGGTGGCGGATCATGGTGGGGCTTTGCTATTAACGGTAAAAACTGAACAGGTAAGAAATACTCCCTCTTGGCATGGTAAATACTTAGTTAATAAGAGACCTGTAAATAAGGAAAGTTTGCCACTGCTTTACAGTAAACTGGAAGTTGTAAATTGGGACCCAATTTGTAGCATTGTAGAGCCTGAATTTGCTTTTCACAGTTTCTCCAAACTATTCCAAGATGCTTTTCATGATGTCTTTCCGGTAAAAATATCAAAACCGAAACAAAATAGTAATTCTGTTAGTAATAACTCCAAAACCCAAGACAAATGCATGGTACACTCCGGAATTAGCCAAAATCCGTCAACTTATGATCTCAGTACATGATCGCTTTAAAAGTTCTCCTGATGAAGATAAAAAAGTCGTCTCTTCCATCTTTACTGTAACATTAAGAAGGACTACAGTTCTAAAGTTAAAAGAGCAAGGAAAGATTTTAACGCTAGCTTCATCATGAGGTCCTCAAACACCTGTAAGGCTGCTTGGGGAATTGTAAATGAACATAGGAAATCAAACGCCATTGTGGCTTCACCGGATGATTTTAACGACTATTTTGCAAAAGTAGCTGATGACATAATTAAAAGTATGCCTCTGTTACAGCACATGGACCCACTGGACACTATAGCAGACATCTCACACATACACAACCTTACACGCTGGAAGAGGTGAGTGACAGTCAGATTCTTAGCATAGTTAGGGGTTTTAAGGATTCAAACAGCCAAGATGTAAACGTTGTCTCTTGCTCCATCTTAAAGAGCACAATTGAGTTTATACTAAAGCCTCTGACTCGGCTGGTAAATCTTTGTCTTAAGTGTGGGGTTTTTCCTGATTCCCTAAAGGTAGCAAAAACCATACCTATTTTTAAGAAGGGAGACCCATCACTGTTATCAAACTTTCGTCCTATTTCCATACTCCCAGTCTTCTCTAAGGTGCTGGAGACGGTCATGAAAAGATAACTCATGGCCTATCTTGAGACAAACAGCATTCTCTCGAGTGCACAGAATGGATTTAGAGGGGGTAGATCTACAACCACCGCACTGTTGAGTCTTGTTGAGACAATTACTGACGCCTTTGAACATAATGAGTCAATCCTCCTCAGACTTTGCGATCTGAGCAAGGCGTTTGATGTGGTGTCCCATAAGCTACTGATAGGCAAACTAGCAAAGTATGGTGTGGGCGGAACTGTGCTGAAGTCCCTGTCCTGTTATTTGGCAAATCGCAAGCAAGTAGTTGTGATAAATGGGGCCTTCTCCTGCGTTAGGAGTATCTCACATGGAGTGCCACAGGGCTCGGTGCTCGGCCCTCTCCTTTTTAGTGTGGCAGGGGAACGATTTGAGGCTAAATGGCTCCACCCTCCTTTTCGCTGACGACACCACCCTGATATCTAGAGGAAGCGACATTGAGCAACTGCATATTGAAGCTGACCATCATTTGGAGCTGGCTAAGAACTGGTTTACAGCAAACCGCCTGAAATTAAATGCAGCCAAAACTCAGTCCTTGCTCTGCACACTGAAGCCACTAACCGAAAGAGATTAGGCGGTTAAACTTCTAGGTTTATGGTTGGATCCAAAACTAAGCTGGAGCTCACATATTGATAGGGTATGCGCACGGCTATCTAGGGTTATTTGCCTCCTAAGGAAACTTGGGAACATCATCCCGAAGCAATTCTTGATAACTGTGTACCATGCTCTGTTTCATAGCCATCTTATGTACGGCTTGGTACTTTGGGGTCATTCACCAGCAGCACAGGACCTATTATTGATCCAGAAAAAAACTGTAAGAATCATAATGTCAGCCGACTACAACGAACATTGTAGGCCCCTTTTTAAAGATCTGGGCATTCTTACAGTCTTCAGTCAATATGTATTGAACAACCTAATACTCCTGAAAGAGAATGTCCATCTGTTTGACCGAAGAGAAGTTCACCACCGCTATGACACCCGGCAAGCACACCTTGACATGCCGCATTGTCGTCTCACCCGCACCCTCAAGAGCTATCCCCGCTATGCCATACGGCTTTTTAATACCTTGCCGGATAAGGTGCGGGATATGGAAATCACCTCTTTCAAAGCGGCCATCAGAAATAGCTTGGTAGATAGGCCACTGTACTCGCTGAGGAGCTGAGTAAAGAACCCCTAAAAGTTATATAAAAGCCCTTCCTTAAAAATGGGGATCACGTTTATTTACCGCCACAGCCTGTTTAAGTTTTATTGTTTATATGTATGTAAATAGTAGTGTTTATTCTTAAATGTATATAATAACGCAGTCTATCCGACATTGTCGGTCAACGACGCAGCACACAAGTATCAAGTAAGTAAGTAAGTAAGTATTTTGATAGAATTTGGAAAGTCTATTTATTATATACGTACTAAGTTATTAATATTTTAATAAAAACCACCCTTCATTACCCTACATGTAGAAGTAAACTTATGTACTCATTAAACTTAATGTTATTTAAATAAGGAATACAACTGACAATTAATTTTAAGGAAATATATGAGTGAAACTCCAACTAGGAAAATAAAGTAAATTTACGTAGTCTGCAGGTTTTTTGTGGAGAGGGTGTTTTGTTTGATATGTTCTTTTGAGCTTTTGAATGTTAAATATTTAACTGATAAAGTAAATTCGTTAATGGTTTGTTAATATCACATATAAATGAAGAAATATTTCATACAATATATCTACTAGTTAATACATCAAATGTCTTTTGATTCGGTTTTAATGGCCATTGCTTTGTATGATGTATGCAGTATAAATGTTTTTCTGACAAGAAACATTCAAATGTTGCAATAATGACAAGCTGCAGTTGGACTGTAGGATCCGGAAAAACGATTTGCACAGGGATCCTTAAAACGAATGTGTCCCTTTTTAAATGTCATGCATAGAAGACTGGATAAAGACTGGTCATATGTTTCTATGCTAAACAGAATCTAGTTAAATATTTATAACTAGCAAACGTTTTGATGAAGCTGCACTTACCATATTCTCCTATGGTTATTTGTTTGATTACTTGGAACTGAGGTCCAAGCTGAATACCGTATTGTGCCAGGGCATCATAAACCTCTTTGCCATTTACTTTTGTCAGGCTACTGCCCTCTTCATCAAGCCTGGGAACCAGATGCTTTTGGACATTTGCTTCTCGTACCTTGCCGGTCACGATATTCCTTTCTATTGCAGGACTAAGCTCATCGTTTGATATTTCAAAACGGTAACTCGTGGGAGAGAAGTTCACTGATAAATGTTTTTCTGAAAAAAAATAATAATAACCAAGTAAAAGACTTTATTTACTCAAATTCCTCGATTATAATCGAATTCCTCTTTTATTCCTCGATGAATGATGTTTGACATTTCAAACTAAAAGTCATATATGCTGAATAAAATCATCTTCCGAAACCTAACAGGATTAAATGTAATGTCTATATTATGCGGCAATGACAGCTAGGCCTAATATTCACAGCCATAGGAAGATGCCAAATTCTCTATCTAGTTTTAATATAAAAGCTGATTAGAGGTATGACTAATTGATCATATTGCTTCTGTATAAGCAAACTAAACGTTTCTTTAAAGCCAAAAATGTCTGAATATTTATCAACAAAGACAATATTAAATAAATAACAATAACTAGAAATTGTTTGAAGGTTATTTTAAATTCAATGTACAAGTTAATTTTATGTGATGGGAGAGTTTATATTAATTAAGAGATTATTTAGGACATTTTTCATTACGATTATTAAAATAAGTGGTATCAGCAATCTGGCATATTATAGAGGTTATCAACACCCTTATCACGGACAAGCATTGGAAGTAAATACTGTGTGTTATCCGTGGGGAAATCACAAAATTTACCATATCATTTGGACGTAATTTTACAGCATTGCAGGTGGCACCATTTAATTTTAAAGGACTATAACATACTTAATTTTCAAAATCGTAAGAGCCGTTTGAGTGAAAATTTAATTTTTTGCTATTTTATAGGGTTTTGTAAACAAATCTCCATTAAAAATTATATAACAATTTTCACGTACCAAACATTAATACTAATCTTGGATTAGTATCACAGATTAGCTTATTTAGTCAAAATTAGACCGCAGGTGTAGTCTGTAGCTCTAACAACATCCATACAAATACACTGACAGTCAGACAGTTACAAACTCACACACACACATACTCAAAATTTTGACAAAAAAAAAAAAAAAAAAAAAAAACTTTCTTCATATGCTATGTACAGGAGGAGAGTGTAAACAATATTTTATTGGCGTTTCTTTTTCTTGACCCAAAGTAATGATGCACCCGAGGTATGACCGAAGTATTTTGTCACCTGATGACGGGATATGATTCCAGATCCCAAAACTTCGTAAATACTTTGTTTTTACTAATCAGGGGAGAGGATTCCTGCAACTAACTGTTGCTTAAATTATATTTTGACTTCATATCTTTCACCAACTTACCCACATCCCCCACAGTCACAATATTGCTGAAGATCACGTCTTCGAAAACAACAGAGTGATTTTCCATTTTAATCTGTTTTTTGCTATAAACCATCGTCCACGGGTGCACCTGCAAATAAAAATCATCTTCATGAACTCTAAAACCAATAGTTTTAACATAACAGAAATATTTGAAACCAGTCAAAAGTACTTGATGGGATGGTTCTTATCATGGTAGAGATGCTACATTAATTGTGAACCCTACTGAAGGGCCAAATAAATAGCTCTCCATAGTTCTAAGACCTGTACTAGAAACATTATCTTAACTTCGAATATCCCACTGAACTATAGTTAACTAAGTATTAACCCACAGTTGCCAAATTAGTTAATTAAGCAACATCTCAATTTGACCTTAATTATCTTTCACACCTGGAGTGGTTTGAAATTTGCCATTCTAACTCAAAATCCTTCGTGTGTACTGAACACTAAAAACAAAATCTGGATCAATATTTAATTCATATGATTAACAGAGCGTCATTATACTCTAAGTTAGAATAGTAGTTTAGAATAGCAGCATTATGAAATTGTTTAAATGTATTAATGTGATAACTAATTTTGTATCAAATCGTTAAATCTCTTAATGCAGAACTAATTTAGTTTCAAATACCAACCAACAGCTGCATGAGAGGTAGAACAACATTGCCATCCAAACAATGCTCACGCCAGTATTTGAACTCCGCTGTCTCACTACTCAATGATATACTCATTTCAAATGTATTAGTTTGAACTGCCTAAAAAAAACACACATGTTTCTTACAAACTCAATAATTTAGGTAACACATAAATTTAAAAAATAAATTTAAGATAGTCAAAAACAACATTTAAGATTGAACATAGGCACGTTATAAAATGAGACGATATAAAACCTACTGTCATCTTCATATAGGTCCTTTCTTTTTACATAGTTATGCATATTTTTTATGTATATTCATTAAACTTCAAGAACAATTAAAGTATGTACTTTGAGCAGTAACACTGGTTGCAAATAATTTAACACATATAATTTTGTTCGTTTCGTGTTTTGATTATTAGTTGATTACCAGTAGACGGTTTGTTATTTGATACTTTGTTAATAGGTTAATTGATAAACACACTTAATCAATTGTTCTCTCTTAACCATACTTAATTAAATGTTGTGGATACAACTTACAGATTAAATATAATATTATACATAATTTATTTCAAGTGAAAATGCATAAAAGGTAGCCGTTAATTTTTTAATTTGGAGTGAACTCGACCAGTCAAAATCATTTTTCTTTGACAAACATTAATAATTAAGCATCAAACTTTCATTAACATTCATTTTTAACTTGATGTGTTCTATATGCATCCCACCTAGATTGTACATTTAATCATCAAAAGATGGACAAATGTACATGTTTGACAATTATAACAGTTATCCTAGTTGTTAAAATAATTTAAAGAAAGGTCCCGCACCCTTTGGATTTCAGCATGGAAGTCCAACTTCCTAGATTCTTCATGATCCCAAGTCACTAGTGTACTTAGGATAGGAGTACCTCTTGAGACAGGATATTCTACAGCAGGAAATATAGCGTTGGCGTCGATATCTACGCTGTTCAGATACAACCTGGTATGCATACCTAGATTAGCCTCAAGTAAGTAACAGTTGGAAAGATCATTTTAAACCAAACCGTTTTTTGTAACACAGTTCACCATGCAACATTTAATAAGAATAAGGCAACTTGACCAAAACATGCTATTTATCGTTCTCCAATATGAATTAACAATCTATAAATAATTCTAAGATTAGTGTTTTTGTTGTTTTTTACACCTACTTCCCTTTACAACATTTCTTACGTTTTGTTTATAATTTCTTTGCTTTGTAATACAATATTTCAAAATACGAGGCATGTTTAAGTACCGTTTTTAAATTTCTCCGTTCCAGCACTGCGATTGGCATTTTCGATATTTGCGCTGTGTATGGGCATCTATTGGTAAGACCTAGCCCGAAATTCGAGAACAATCGGCCGTGTTTACATCCGGTTTCGAGCATTCAAAATGGTGCCGCCAATTGAGACTGCCGCCGACTGTGAACTGCACGCTGTAATTAGATTTTTAAGTGCTAAAGGTGTGAACGCCATTGAAAATCATCGACAGATTAGTGAAGTGTATAGCGAGAACATTTTGAGTGCCATAATGGTACGCAAGTGGATAAGGGCATTTAAATACGACCCAACCAACGTTCATGATGAGCAACGCACTGGGCGGCGTCATTACTGTCCCCGTACCCAGTGCGTTGCTCATCATGAACGTTGGTGGGGCCGTCTTAAAATGCCCTTACCTACTTGCGTACCATTCCATCACTCATAATGTTCTCCCCATACATTCCACTAATCTGTCGATGATATGCAATAGCTTTTACACCTTTAGCACTTAACAATCTAATTACAGCGCGCACTTTACAGCCGGCGGCAGTCTTACAAGATGTAAACGCATAAGCGAACGTTTTTGACAATGTTTGACATACTTCATAGGCTACGAAAAATACATCTAGAATTTAAATGTGATTAGGTCCTAATTTACAAATTGAGACTTATGTGCTAGAAAAAAACATTCTTTCCGGTTGAACAGTCTGAAAAGAATTTCATGTTAAATGACAATCAATTTAGTTCCAACGTGAGAAATCTGGCGTTTCTGAACATTTACTGATGTTCATTTAAATCGGAAACGTGTGTGTCCATTCTAACTGTATATTCACTTACTTCCCAACTGCGGAGAGGAAGTAATAGAGGTTGGAACCAGCGGTTCTACTAGTGAGGGGGATGTTGATACAGTCTGGGCTGATAGATCTACGGAGAATGGCTTGCAAAAGCCCATGAGGCGCTATCTCTATGATGACGGCGTTCTGTAAAAACAATTGTCGAGATATCTTTTATAAGAAATTTATTTTTAGCCTAATACACTAAGGATTCATCTATTTTTGTTTGTTTTATGAACTAAGCCACACAATAAATTTAGGTGTTTTACACCAGTCATAGGTCTACTATACAGTAAATATTATGATTAACACAAAAATATGTAGAACTTATAATCATAATACTTCAGATGTATACAAGAAGATGAAATCTCTTTAAGTACGGCAATTCAGTACTGGCACCCTCATCAAAGTATGCTTAGTTGTTTGTATTTATTTTTTCATTCTTTTCTATGTAATAATAGTTTTTCATCAGTTGTTTAGAGCTGTTCTACTCATTCTATAGTGATTGTTCATGTTCATTTAGTGCTATTTTAATCAAAGTTAAGGTAAACAAAATGTTTTAAAAATTTCTTTTTTATTTTAATTACTTGTGTATTGTGTCATTTTGGCCGTGAAGCGGTGAGCAACAAAGAAGACTCTCCCCACACACAGATGAAAAGTCTTTGTGGGGATTTTTTCATTTGTACATTTGTTACTAAGTCAAGATTATAATCTCTGAATTTAATTTTGGAAATAAATAATATTCTTATTTAGCTTGGGAAACATGTATATATGAAATAATTACAGTTAACATTTAAAAACTTATTCTGAAATCAGATGCTGAGAGCTCATGGTACTAGATTACATAAATTGTTAATTCAATATAGTGGAGACAGCCGTGAATTAAACGTGAATATTTTACAGACAGTGAGGTAATACTAGCATGCAATTTCAAATATATTATAAAATAGTTTAGTTTGTTATTTGTTAGGGTGTAGAGTGATGTTTACCATTGACTATTGGGTACTGAAGTAGACATCCCATCTATATGGACCAGCTGTCACAATTTTTTTACTAAAAAAGAACGTAGTTGTGTGAGCCAGTTACAGAATGCGCCAGTGTCTAAAACTGTATTTTATAACTTGTTGTTTGTTGCTGACCTAGTTCATGCGTCATAAAGTTGCTATAGCTCACCATAAGTCATTTCCTAAGTTTGGCTTGGTAAAAAAGTTACCAAGCCAAACCAAACCAAGTTAAAAAGCCAATTTGTTCCGTATTCTACAGAATTTAATAATTTAGATCAGCGCTGTCGGTAGCTCAAATGAACTACGACGATTTTGATTCAAAATCTGGCTACACATTTAACATGGAGATGGAATGTCTAGTTGTAGTCAAAGTGTTTACCAACATTACAGTTCACCCTTATCTTTGTGTTCAAATATTTTCTACGACCCATCAATGGTTTCCTTTACAATCGAGCCTTTCAAATAGCGTTTTATCAATTTTATTTATATCGTTTTTAAACGAAATATTTCTACGCCATTAAATTAATTTCTAGAGTATTCTATGACATTTACCTTAGGTATAAATTTACAACCCTCTTCAAAGTAGACGGGGTTGATCAAATTGTTAGTGAAGTACTTCGCAGAGCACAACTTCACATCTTCATGATCCCACAAGGACTCGGAGGCTGAAGTGCAGATCCATTTGCTGGACCTGGGCTTCGGAGATTTGATCGCCTTGAATGTACAATACGCTGTCAGTATCCACTTTAAACTTATGTAAATTGTTAGTTTATATTTTTTTTTTATTCAAAGGCTAATAGTATATTTGACAAAAATAACATATACTCCATTACATACAAATTCAATTTTAATGTAAGCCACGCTGTGTAAATAATGCAGTCAGTTGAACTAAATATGCCATTATGATACCTAGATAAAGGAGGAAGCAGGCTTCTTCAGTGACCACTCTACATCTAGACCCCTGATAGTCCATGGAGAATTTTTCAACAGGACCAAGAACTCCACCACATGCAAAGTAAGAGTGATTGTTACAAACATTAGTCGGTATATTATAACATATGTACCTTTGTTAAATAGTCGAACAGTCTTGGAGCGATGGGTCTGATGTATCTGGAGTGATACGCGATTCCAGAAACGTCGACCGCCTTTGCAAACACTCCCTGACATTTCAACTCTTCCACATACTTCATAATATCATCTTCTGGACCAGATATGGTGCAACTATCGGAGGAATTGTGACATGCCACGTCTATGGTGGGGGGTACCCTGTCTTTTATATCCTCGTATCCTATCCCTGTAATAATATACGATTTGTAATTATGCTAAGATATTCACAACATTTGAATGTGTTAAGATCCCCAAAGACTATGCTGGGTAAACATGATGTAAATTCAAAGGGATCTGAGTAACTAAGAAATTATTTTTGCCACCTTTTTACTTTTTTTACACTAGGCACGGGCCTGGAATCGTTTTTCACATTACTTCAGGCTAGACCTAGGGGTTGCGGCATTATCACTTAGATAAAACTCATTGGTGATTTGGCGGGATTTGAGCCCGGGACCTCAGGGACCGAAGTCCCACGCTCTAACCACTACACCAGCTCGCTCCCCTCTAGGTATAACTAAAACTATTTTCGTGTATTAGTCGTGATTGAAATATTTGTTTTCTAACCTATGGCAGCCATCATCCCTTTAACTTGAGTGCTTTGAACATCCAGCGTGGCCTTCCCTCTGTAGTAAGATGCCATGATGGCCTCCTCTAACGTAAGGCAGTCATCAGCATAAGCACAACAAGTCTCTCCCGCAGAATGGCCAATCATTCCATCAGGTGACACTCCCAGAGCCCGCAAGATGTTCACCAGACCAATCTTTAGCAAACAAAGTTGGTTAATGCCGTAAAGTACTAAGCTTTATTTAAATGGAGGGGGTTGGTTCACAAATAAGTGGTACGCTTGTGATTGCATTTTTAATTAGAGTCCTTGGATGCTAGCGATCATCTTGGATAATTTCAATCAGCTGCTGAAGAGTTATTTATCGTCCAAAAGTATTTCCCTAACACCAAAGTTATTATAATTTAAATATCTAGTATAATGTGGAATTAGAAATGTTCTTTGTAATTTTGAATTGTTCTCCAAGGACGTCCAAGGAAGCTAACGACCATCTTGGATTTGCCCGCCATAAGAGCAATGTCAATTTCGTTAATTTTAAACAGCCGCCGAAGAGTTATTTACCATCTCAAAATATTTTGTCTAACATCAGAGTGATTGCAGATTACGTATCTAGTTAACTGCGGGATTAGAAATTTTCTTTGTAGTTCTTTAATTGTTTTACTAGTTAGAACGTCTAACTTACCAAAATTTACTTCTCAATAATGGTGGTAAAAATTATTTGGTTTATATTTATAAATATCATTGTTATAGCTTCAATAGAATACGCTGTTAGTTTTTTGTAGATCAACTATTTTAGCAGAACATGGTAAACGTAATATAAAGTTAGTACTCCCTTGGAGTTACTAAATGTAATGATGTAATGAGTCACTAATATAAAGTTTGAGTCTCTGTTTAAGGTTTAATATTCAAACGACCTTTTTACTGGACAAAAAGTTCTCTTACAATCCATATCAATAATTAATATAGGCCATAGGATAAATTTTCCCGTAGTCAGTGCAACTGATCGAAAACACTTTGTGAACAGTTTAATTCACCCAACAGCTGCTAACAACACCAACGATTTAAATTTTGAATTAAGTTAAATTAGACAATTTAACTTATAGCGAATTAAGTTGAACTAGGAGGCCAACAAATTGTAATTTTTGTAGAAAACTTGTGGAATGATTTACAGTTTACAGCTAAAAATGTAAGGCTCTTACATTTTCTAAGGTTTATATTTAAACCTTAACGACTTAAATTTTTCATATTTGAATTTGAAAAGTGACTTAAAAGTTATTGATTAATACATTTATGACTTAATGACTATTACCTACGATAGTTTTTAAAGTAGCCGTTTCAGTTTAGTTCTTATAATTGAAAAGTTACACATAACAGCATTGTTTACTTACATAACAGCATAGTTTTACATAACAACACGGGTAACGGACCAGTAAGGTTCAAGGATTTAGAGAAAAGAAGAAGAAATTGTTATGATTCGAACGTCAACTAATCAGCTGTTAACCAATTTAATTGTTAACGATTGGTGCAATTAGTGATTATAGTACAAAGAGTCGTTTATAGCCTCTCATCGGCTCTGTCTGTGGCAATGAGAGGCTATAAACGAATGAATAACCTCTCTTAGAAGTTTTGAGTAGTGATTATAGTATAAAAAACCTGTCGTAGGTAAAGTGGTGTACGCAACTCACGTAATTAGTCTTAACGACACTCGTAGAAGAAATGTTCTGCTCGTGTCGTTAAAACTAACTTTACGCGATCGTTGCGTGAACTACTAATTCACGATCTTTCTCGTTAACTATTCATTAATTTATATTGTCTAGTTTAGTATTATTACAATGACAATACATTTTTTAACATCGATAGAAGGAGGTAACTTGAGTTTGTCATCAAGTTCAATTTTAGCAAATTTCCTAAATAGGGAATATGCTATTGCCGTAGGTCTCATGGTAAGACATAGACCCTGGACCGGTTTACTTTTACATTTTGAGGTCCCCAGAGGCTAAAACATCAACGGTTCAGCTCATAAATATGTTTGTGTATGTGTGTATCCGTTAGCACGATGACTCGAGTAAAATTGATCTGGTGTTCATAAAATTTGGTACAAATGTGTAAACCTAAGTTTATTTTAACAAGAAGGCGAACCAGCATGAATAGTAGAAACAACAACTGTAAAAATAAGGTTTTATCTGGGAATTTGTATTTGGTGATATAGGGTTACTACAATTACTTTGCTTGCTTAATGATATACAGTATATATTTTTTAATATTTTCCAAATTCTTATATCAACACTAAGCTATTAACGTTTCTTAAAAACACACTCTATTCCCTGAAGCAAACATAAGTACAGGAAATATTTTATTGAAAACCCAATCAGACAAATTGAAATTCGCTTAGTCTGCAGGTTTGTCGTGGAGGTGGTATACAGCCAATACAGTAAGAAATCTGTAGACGTGTATTAAGCTCGAAAACCAACCTGAACAGCTGTGATGCCCACAAAACTGTTGAGTATGTTATCGAACAACGAAGGGTCCTTTTCAGTCAATAAATGTTTGATGTCCACTCCCATGGGTCGGAGGCATTGGTCACATTTGTCTATTGCCTTTGCGAACTCGGGGATGTGTAAGAGGTCTCGACCCATCCCCGCCCACTGTGAGCCCATCCCTGAGAAGACGAACCAAACTGGTCGCTTAACTGGTTCCAGTTCCTGTAAAGGTCAATATTCCAAAATAACTTACATTTTAAACACGTTACACACAGCCAAATCTGGAAATTTTTTGTTTGAAATTTCATTGTTGGAGATGGTGAGTTAATTTTGTTCAAAGGTTTATTGCGGACATTTTCCATCACGATGGTAAAAAAACAATACACAACCATCCGCCATTTTGTTGGTTTTACTTTTCCAGGGACCGGACGCCATTTTTGTTGCCTCCGTGTTTGCGATTGGTCGGCCATGTTGCTTCAGTCTCATTGGCGGAGTCATTGCGAACTGTGTGATTAGTGTTCCATTGTGTGGGCTGTTTACACTACACCTTTTATAGACAATAGTGTTTAGTGTTTGGTTATTATTTGCATGTTGTATCATGACTCGACAGTTATACAGGGGGTCACATTTGTTATATTTTTTTTCTCTCTCTCAAGTAGTTTATTCTTGTTACTTATCACCTGTTGTAGGTTTTTTTCTTATTCTCTTGTTAATTTTGAATTTTTTTTATCGCTCATGTTCCCGAGTTTTGCTCCATCCTTCTAATTTTTATTTCTTCTCTGTTTGTTTTGCTCGAATATGCTACCTTAGAATTACTTTTGTTATTGCTTGCTTGCTAATGTATTGAATTGTATAATGTATTGTTTGTAAAATGGTGTTTGCTGTTGAGAATAAATAAATACAGTGCATTTTTTTACTGCTACCTTCTGTAGTGTATTCCAACTTAGGTTGGGCGTTTGTGTATTGTTAGTTGTAATGTGTTAGTTAAGTTTTTTTCACCTGAGGACGGGATCAGATTCCAGATCCCGAAACGTTGTGTATTGTTTTTTACCATCGTGATGAAAAATGACCGCAATAAACCTTTGAACAACAAATCGAACAATTGTAAATTATAAAACTTTTAGGGATGTTATAGCGAATTGTACCGTCATTCTCCAAACTAGAACGACTTTTAACAAGCAGTTATGGTAGTATTAATACATAAGTGGCTAATCTAACTAGAATAAAGGTTATATTTACATTCAGCCTTAAATATTTTAGATTTTACTTCAACCAAAGTAATCCATTGTTTAGTATTGCTACAGTATCGTGATTGGATTAATAAAAACTTGCAGTAACAAACGTATATTACTGTATGATATAAATGTGATTCACGCACATCAAATTTCCACATAAAAGGGGGAAAAATAGATTAAAATCGATAATTTAATCTGCCAGTTAAGTTAGTGCCTTATATATTACACCGAACCTGATGCACTGCCTAATATACACGAAATAACTACACAACAATTAATTATAGTTTTCTATGCTCTCAACATAATTTACCTTATAAACTCTTACTTTAAACACTTTTTAATTTGTCTAAACATAAATGATGATTGGATACTTTCCGGTAATAAATTGTGAAGTGCCGGAGCAAGTGATTGAAATCCGCTTATGATGCCACTAATGATGGTCATATACAATAATGAATTTTGGTTCAGTAAAACTACCTTAACAGGGTTATATTAAAAGATACTTTAAAAGCCATAAAATTTATATCACAGGCTACTTATTGGCTTACATCATATGGCTTTTACAGATTTGCCAGGTTTTAAGTTCAATTGTATCCAGTAGTTGTTTAAAGTTTAAGTTTTACTGTTTAGTAATTACTAACATGAGTGTGAAATCGTGTCTAAAGTTACTATTTCTTTACCTTTATCTCCGAGGGAGGTTGGCCATCAGCACCAGGGACAACTGAGAATCCCCGCCATAAGTAATGGGGAATGTGTGTTTTGAATACATTGTTAACCAAAGACACAAACTCTGCGTCATAAGGTGTGTTAGATATCTGAAAAACAACAATATACTACTAAAATGATTATAACATTAAATGATACACTAAATGAATGGTGCCATTAGTGTTAAACCCAAATAACATGAATTTGATATAGGGAAATTAGGTTTTTTGTTATTATTTGTAAAAACTAAAAGAGATACGAAGTAAGTGTAGATTACAAAGTTGTTAAAAATTGAAATACCTATAAAATGATGTGCCACTTGACATATGTTGCTATTTGAAAATAAAAAAATGGGCATTTGCATTGGTATAAGAAACACAGAGTATTAAAAAAAAATAATTTTTCCCGAAAAAAAACTGCCGCCATTTTGAAAGGATAAAAGATAATTGATTTCTGTTTTCACCAAAATGCTTGTCTACTAAATACCTTTAAAATGATGTATAACATGACATATGTTTACGTTTGAAAATTCATATTTTTAATAAAAAACTAATTTAATTTTAATTAAAAATAAAATATTTTGAAGTTAATCCTTGGGGTCAATTTAGTGGGAAATATTTTTATTTTATCCTTGTACGTTAAGCCGTTTTTCCGTAAACAATTTGAGACACCTTACGTGGGACACTCTGTATACACCTTTACAGTGTTTGCAGCCATTGTTAAACAATATGTAAAGACCAAACTTCCCTTATCTACAGGGTTGGGCAAATGTGTGGATACCCCTAGTTAACTTTTTAACGCGTTGCAATAGGAAAACCAAACTCGGCACATATTTACTACATAAGAAATTGCACTTTTTCATCAAAGTTACAACTTTGCCCCAGCTCCCAAAATGGGGTATTTAGAGGGAAGCCCCAAATGTTCAAATGTAAACACCTATCATGTGACCCATCATTTTAAAGGGTTTATCAAGGGAAATTGAATGGCGCAAACCAGAGGTCAATATCCCACCCCTAATCAAAATGGCAGCCATTTTAATTATTTAAGATGAGCAATCATGATAAAGTCTAGACACCCCCGGTTAACTTTAAAATTAAACATTTTAATACTGACCAAAAGGTGAATTCTCTTTTTTCATAAAGGTATGCTGAGTTTAGTTTTCCTGCTATAACCTGTTAAAAAATTAATAGCGGATATTCCAAAATGACTGCCATTTTGATTAGGGGAGCAATATTGACCTCTAGTTTGCGCCATTTAATTTGTCTTGAGAGACCATTTAAAATGAGGGGTCACATGATAGGTGTTTACTTTTAAAAATTTGGGGCTGCCCCCAAAATACCCCATTTTGGGGGCCGGGTACAAGTTCTAACTTTAATGAAAAAGTGCATTTTTCAATTTTGTAAACATGTGCCGAGTTTGGTTTTCCCACTGCCACACGTTATAAAGTTAACTGGGGGTGTCCAGACTTTATCATGATTGCTCATGTTAAATTAAAATGGCTGTCATTTTGATTAGGCGTGCGATATTGACCTCTGGTTTGCGCCATTCAATTTCTCTTAATAAACCCTTTAAAATGAGGGGTCACATGATAGGTGTTTACGTTTGAAAATTTGGGGCTGCCCCCAAAATACCCCATTTTGGGGGCTGGGGCAAAGTTGTAACTTTGATGAAAAAGTGCAATTTCTTATGTTGTAAATATGTGTCGAGTTAGGCTTTCCTATTGCAACGCGTTAAAAAGTTAACTAGGGGTATCCACACATTTGCCCAACCCTGTATATCTACAGGGTGCTTTTTTTAACGCAACACAAAATACAAGTACCAAGAGACATTGTTTTAGGACATAACTAGCTCATAATTTGGCATCTCTGTTTTCTTTACTTCATTCTCAATCAGCTGATATGTTGCTACAAAGTTATGTCGTAGATAATAGTGGTATTGGGAATTAATTGTGAATAAGACTGTGAATAAATTAATTGTGAATAAACAGACTTACTAAACAGACTTACTGCATTATGTTAAACATTATGTTAAACATTGTGTTTTCTAAAGCTTAAATAGTATGTATTGTCGGAGAATGATTTAAAATTAAATCGTTAGATATATGCAAAAAAGGTTTTGAACTAAGATTAAGATTCCAGGTGTAATTCCAGTATTTAATAATTCAACTATAATAGACTTGTTAAAAAATAAGGAAAACCGGCTCTGAAAAAACCTACGCTTGCAATATACACACACTATTTAGGATAAAAAGGGGCTATTTAGGGCTAAAAAATCTTAAGTTCGCAATCTAAAAATAGTAAAGCCTATTTGATTGCAAATCTTATTTCAATTAGGGTCAAAGTAAATGGGCTTTTTACCTTTTTTGCTACAAAGCTGGCCCCCTCTTCATTTCTAGCTTGTAGTATACATAGCCTTGGCAAGTCATCTTTGGAGAGGTTTTTGGCAAAATGAGACTTTTTTGCTTTGCCATTTCGCCTCAGAAGTGTATGGGCTGCGTTCCCTGAGTAGTTCAAAGTGTTCACCGCCACTAGGTCACCTGTGAGTTTGGTAGATTCTGTAACTGGCTGAAATTATAAATTAACAACATCTAAATCTTATCGTAGAGTGACATTATGGGTGCAAAAATACCATGTCAATGATTAACTTCTTGATCAGCATCGTACGTGTTATTAAATTAACTGAAAAAAACAAACGTTCAAAAACGTAAAAACAAACAGACTTGTATATTTTTGTCAGTGATGTACATTAGAAAATTAAAAGTGCACCAGTTTTTACAATATTAAATTATTTTGTTATAGTACATACAATGCAACAAATGAAAAGAATTTTCCGCAGCAAGCATTATTAAGATTAGGTGGCAGAGACACTGTTAAATACTCTTGAAATGCAAAATTCTTAGTGATTTACATAAGACCCCACAACGACCTTCCATTGTTCTTGTTTTTGGTGAAAGGTATTCTGATCTAATTATAATTTGGTCAAACCTAATCAATGGAATGTTGTTGATGTGTGGATAAAATAAATATACTATTAACATCTAATGATAACGAAGAATAAAGAGGGGTTTTAGTGGCGAAATTAAAAAATTAAAAATAACTTGCATTTTTTACTTATACTACCATTGCAATGGATCTGATTTTACAACAGTGTAAAAAGATAAGTGTTTTAACATCATTTCAGGCTTATGAACAGCTGAACGCGCTGAACAGCAACTGTCTGGAAACAACAGTTTTGAAATACACTTTCCAACAGCTGGAGGAACGTCCCCAGCTCTTGTGGAGTATATTCAACAGTTGCACTTAAATACTCAACTTCTTAGGACCACGGCTGGTGCACATATTTACAAAATTATGTTTCACCAAACTCAAATGACAGAATAATGTTGTAAATAACTATTCATGATAGTAATACAAGCTAATTTATTTTCATGAACAAGAAAGAACCAAGTTTATTAAGACAAATTGTCAAACACTTACCTTTAGTTTACCGTTAACTAGTCCTGGCACAACAGGGTTGGGAGTGTTGTAGTTAAGGGTAGGAGGGATCAACCCTTCTTCGAGCGCAAAGATGGCTTTTGTCAATGAAACAAAACTTGACGATGTCTCAGTATTTCCGTAGTTTCCAGTTCCACACCCAATCAACAACGAGGAATTCCGCTTCTCACAAAACACCTTTTCAACTGCATTGAGCTCATCGGCGTCCCGATCCTGATAATTTAATGGAAACAATATTTAATTTCTCAGAACGGTAAGTGGTATATGAAATCATACTATTGACTAGTAAAATAGGTTACAAAATGTAAAACGTTACTTTTTATACAAAGGAATTTATTTTGGCTAGTCGGACTGAGCGGTAGCGTTACTAGCAGTGATGGTAGAAACCAACCCAATGGACCTAGTGGTTTGATACAGATTATTTTATAAATTATTTTTACAATTTCTTTTAATTTTGTATCGTTAGAATTGTTATAAAATTGTCTAAATAAAACATTACCAAAGTAGTTTTGTTTGATGACCATTGTTTGATTCCAATGGTTTGATGACAACTTGTTAACCATAAACCCTGAAAAACCCCAACTCATACACTTTTCCATAACTAACAAACACCACAAGAGTTTTAGCCTTTTCGTAGATGAAACAGTGGTTCACCCAACTGACAGAGTTAAGTTCTTGGGATTGACCCTAGACAAAGGTCTCAGTTTCAAGAGCCATATAGAAAGCATTTCAGGAAAGATAAGCTCAGGAATATTTGTGTTGCGCAGCTTGAAACACACAACAAACTACAAAGTCTTGATTTCTGCATATTATGGCCTCATCTACCCCCACTTAGCGTATGCTGTACCAATTTGGGGTCATGAGAGTAGAAACACCAAGTTTCTATTCAAACTCCAAAAGATGGGCAGTGCGAACTATTTTTTCACTGCCCAAGCGCCAATCTTGCAGATATTACTTCAAGAAATATAACATTTTAACTTTCCCCAGTTTATATATCCTGCAAACATTAACTTTTGTCAAACAAAATTTTTCTTTATTTTTAGTCTCAGATAAATCTTCAGCCTGTCTATACACCTTGCGAAATACACATGATTTACCTATTCCGAAATATAAAACCTCCTTTTTCAGAAAGCATACACTCTACAACGGTATCAAACTACACAATAACCTATCCCAGTCCCTGAAGTTGGAATCAAACCATTCAAAGTTTAGGAAACGTTAAAAAAATGATCTAATTAGCTTCTCATGTTACAGTGTGAAGGAGTTTTTTTCAACCTGTAATAAAGAATGATAAGCTCAATTAGTTTTTGTAAATAGATGGTAAGCATATTTGTAAATATTATTTGTAAGCCTTGAGTTGTACTTTTTTTCTGACTTAGCTAATGCAAGACATTTTTTGTTAATTTTAGCTGAATAAACGAATTTGAATTTGAATTTGAATTTTATTCAAATCAGTTTTGTTTTGTTTGATGTTATTTCAGTTCATAAGTTTTAATGGCCGCCATTTAAAAACTACAAAGTACGTCTTTGTGTTCTTCATCTATGAAACAATTAACTACAAAAAGCCATTATCAAATTAAAAATAGCTTTCTTAAAACAAATGACGGCTATACGGGTAACTTTTAAGTTTTGGAAACTTTAAACATGATAATTTAGATTGTATTTGGTCCATATATAAAGCATTAAAATGACGGTAGATAGTTTGGGGACACCCTGTAATGTCAACCAAGCTTGTTTCATATATGCAAGGAATTGTGGCAACTGATTTAAAATTGAATCGCTATACCTGTACCATTTAAATGTTTATTTATGTTTTGGTTTTGGATCTAAAATGTTTACTAATGTATTATTCGTTAATCCTTTGAAATATTATTGGTTGAAATTGTTGTATAGTTTTTTTTGTTAATTTATGACGACTGTCAAAACATTGTATTTTGTGTCTACGATAAATTCGTTTCACTGGAACGAATTTGGATTTCAACTGGAATCAGCTCTTGATTCTTTATTCTTAAAAATGTATTCTGTTATTACTTAAATCATATGATATGAAAAGACTATGTTTAACCTGTTACCTTTTTGATATATAAATGGCACGATTATATATATCTTTGGAAAAATGATTGAAATAAGTACCACAGAAATTTATGTCATGTTGAATTTCTAGTTATTTTAATAAGAGTTACATCAGCTAAGCCATACCAAACCATATTCGTGTTGACTCATTCATTTAAGGAAAATTGTAAATATATTTATAAATTATATGATATTATATATTTTAAGCTAATCCCATACCTTATTACAAAATCCGAATGTTTCAACGTAGGACACATCTTTCGGATTAATCTCGCTCTTAGTGTAAAAATCGTTAAAGAAATGTTCTAAAGAAGGGTTGATGGACGTGTAACTGCTAGGATGCCCATTGAGACATCGTGTCTGAGTGTTGAGAACAGTACAGTAATTTCTCTTGGCGTCTTGGGTCCTTTGTATGAAAAAAGACACGATTCCTTCACTTCTGAGAAATCCATCAGCTGGAAAAGACGATTAATAATGTTAATTAATGGATGTAAATTGCAACGTGTGTGTGTACACCAGCACCATAACGTAGAATTCTTTGAGAAAGCCAAACCATTTATTTCTGCAACAAATTAACTTTATAATTAAATAACTCAATCCGTTGTGCTATAATCTCAACATTATGAATTAACTTTATATACAGGTATTTCAATGTTACTTAAATTAAGGACCGTATCTATAAAAGAGGAATAAAATTATAATTTACTAAATTCTTCTCATTTCAAATTCATGTCACGTTCTCTCGATTATCCTATATTTTCTCAAACTCAGCTCTCTTTCAGTGTATATTACGCCAAGTGTGTGAGACTTGATTATTACCTTTGGCATCGAATGGCGAACATCTCTCCGATTCCGACAGGAGCTCCGGGTCGATGTCCATGAATTCTCTATCGATGCTGTTGTGGAAGGTGAGGTTTACACAGGTCACTATAGCCGCTTCCACATGCCCTTGACCTACGATGGCAGCCGCTTTCTCAAGTCCCTGGACCGCAGAAACCCACGTCGAGTCGACGTTGTAGCTAGGACCTGAAACCACAACTTAATCATCCAAACTGCACTTGACTCTTCACAAACTTAAAATACCCAACCAAACTAAAATGTTTAAGAAGTCATTGTGTCAAGTTATAAAAACATTGTTTTCTTGACCTTTCGTGATACAGAAAATGACCGAATATCTTTGGTTGAGCTCTACTAAATAGGTTGGAGAGAAATTGCAACATTTTATAATTTGAAGTGGGGGGGGGGGGGGCGGGGAATAAGAAACCCAATTTTCATCCCATAAACCTACTTCTACTTCCCATGGTGTCGGTTTGCGATGAACTCATTTGAATAAAAGTTTATTTATACATAAATAAAATCGGATACCTTTTACTCGTATTACCGTCCTATATAAGCACAACAAGCCATATTTTATACAAATATTTGTACAAATATCAGTATAAGTAAGTGTCGACATTAATAAACTGAGTACCATTTTAAGTATAAAATACTGACCAGGTTTGACACTAAGACCATTTTCCCATTTTCCACAAAAGAAATGGCATTAGTGTCAGTATTTTATTAAGTAACTTAAATTAAATACATCCCGGGTCCAGGTCTTACCAAGAAATGATAAAAGCGTAATCCCTAAATGGGAAATTCACTAAAACTACTAAATTGACATTTAATTTCCATGATGCCTACGTCAACCCATTTCATCGTGTAGATGACGTCCCACTGGCTGTAGTATATCATGTAAATAGTGAGTTAATAACATATTGTTGAACTCGAGAATAATGATAACTCAAGAACCATAAATGAGTAGGCCTACAACGATTGTTCCAATTTTCCCATACAACATGAAAAAGAAAAGGTTGAAACAATTTCTGAAATCAGATTATAGTAATTTGCAAAGTGAACTTTTGGAAACATTTCAGGTCATCAAAGATTTTGTAATGCGATTCTATAATTTCCGTTCTAGCTTTCTCCATCCAGGAAATGACGATTAAAGAAGATTGGCACAATGCAGGTCTGTGACTGAATTCAAGGCCAATCAAGGTCAAGGTCATTGAGGTATCGTTTGATGTTAGAGTGAGGTAATACTCTGTCTGAACAGTTAACCCAATAGTATTATTGGTGAAACCGAGTTTTAAAGAAAATCAATGTAGCAGTGGTATCCAGTGTGGGGGGACCAAATTACCAATTTAAAAATAGGCCTACATACGAAAATTTAATTTTATTCTATATTCTATGTACCCTGCCATTACATCTTAAATTTTAGATCAAACTACACTATTATATCTAAATGCAGGGATTTTCTTGGCAAGGCTGTTGTTTTGTAAATATAGTCTATTTGTATTTTTTTTTATATTTCACTATCTATTTATTATTTATGTTATTTGTATATGCTATTTATTTACACTTGAATTATTATGTACATTCTGTATATCTAAATGCATGTATTTTCACGATTTTCACTAAGGACAGAGCTAATGCTATATTATTGTTATAAATGTTTTTTTTTTCATCTGGTTTTGTTGCATGAATGTAAAAATAGAGTTTGTCCGTTGATATGTAAAACAAATAAATAAGTATTTATGTAAACGTAATACCTACGTATTTGTATTAATTTAATACCTGTATACAGCCCCTCTATACCACAATTTGTTTTCTTACTTCTTGTCTTTTTCTAAAAAATACCTTAAAGTTTTCCAGGCTACGACCTATTTCCATTTTTCACAAAAGTTGAAAAGCTCTTTTCACATGTCATATTTATTGTTAAGTGTAACAATTCATGTTCTGTTATTTATTTACCATACTTAACGGAGCAAGAAAAACCAACTGAAGACTTATTCAATACTTAGTACTAGTTTAATACTTTACTTTAAAACACGTAAGTATTTTTGCTTGGATGTATCAGATAATACGTTTTACAAAATATACTTATTTATTTCTGTAAACTCTTTCGTTATATTACAATAACAGATTTCTCTATCATCATAATTTTCACCTATTCGACTAAAACCATAACCAACTCTTAAAACCACTTGAAGCTTATTTTGTCAACGATTATAGTAGTTTACGCAACGATTGCGTAAAGATAGTGTTAACCACACGAGTAGAAATTTAAGGTATGATCCTTGGCGAGTATCTTAAAAACTTCTACGAGTGTCGTTAAGACTATTTACGCGAGTTGCGTACACTACTTTACCTACGACCGTTATTTTAATTACTAATTATCACTACTTAACTTCTAAGAAAGGTTATTTTTTCGTTTATAACCTCTCATTGCCACTGCCAGTCATGCAACGACTCGTCGTACCAATCACTAATTACAACAATCGTTAACAATTAAATTGGTAAACAACTGATTAGTGAAGTTTGAAGCATTGCAATTTTACTTATTTTCTCTCAATCTTTGAGCCTCACGGTGAACGGGTCTGTTACCCGTGTTGTTAAGTAAAAAACTATGCTGTTATGTAAGTAAACAATGCTGTTAAGTGAGTCTTTTCAATTTTAAGGACTGAACTTAATTGAACGGCTAGTTAAAAACACTGCTGTAGGTTAAATTAATTTATAAGCTACCCCTACAATAGCAGTTGGACCCTATACGTTATAACCTAACCGTCGGACGGCAATGACAATGAAACGGTCAGACCTACCAACCTAACCTAACATACCAACCTTTTTCATGGATATAACCTTGCAAGGCACGAGCTTTAATCTTTTTCTTTTAAGTCGAATCTTGTGACAGCGGTAAAGTCAAACAGGTGCGGGATGGTAACAAATGCAGGATTTATATATTTTACGTTTTGGAATTAGTATTACCCCTATTTGTATAGGCAACCGTAGGAAAAATATTGTATGCAATTGAAATATTTAAATTCACCTGTAAAGTTATAAACGTAAGACAGGCGGTTGGCGAACATTGTCCTGGCCAGCCCCTGCATCGCTTGGCCATCAAGAAAAGATCCATCGAAATATCTGAGGACCTCGGCATCAGTAGTAGTTGAAGCGACAATGACAGATATGTTTCTTCCCTTCATAGCGCATGGATTGACTCCTGAAAACATTTTAGTTGCATTATAAAAAATACGCACAATAAAATAGGTTGGTTTCATATAATATAGAGTGATAATGTTCTGTAACATTATTTTATAGGCACCTCTAGGTATTTGATTCCTTCTTAAATCAATGCCACTTTCCATCATTCTTTAAAATCGACCCTACGCTTTTTAATGGAAAATTTTTGTGATTAAGCTATCTTCAAACATTGTTACATATGAACTAGTCGCTCCTATAGTTTTGTTTAAACGTGTATTAATACTATGGTTGTAAACTATATATGTCCCATAAGATTAATGAAAGGTGGTTGTATAATGTATACATATTTTGATCAAGTTTGTTAAAAAAAATAAACTATTTGGTTAAAATGTTTGCAAGTAAAACAGAATCAGAAAAATTGAAACATTAAGAATGTGACATCTCATAGACTAAAGTGGGATTCAATTTCAATGATTGTTCAATACTAATTCCAAAAAATTAACGTTATCAGCAATCTGACACATACTCTCTCATATTACCTGTCAACAGCCCGTGTGAGGGGAGGCGAGTAACTAGGACCTTGGTAGGGAAAATCACAAAAGTTGCAATCGTTTTTGGACCGTAACTTGTACAGCAATGAGAGTTAGACTTTTGTTACTTAAAGTTCAAAGGTCTATAACATACTAAATGTTAATCAAAATCGTTCGAGCTAGCCTTTTGAAGATCCAATTATATTTGTTATTTTATGGGTTTTTATGGGGCAATAACCATTAAAGAATTTAACATCAATAAAGGAAAAAACGCCTGGACGCACCATCGATTAGTACCTACATACCAAATTTCATCAAAATCGGGCCGTAGGTGTGGTCTGTAACTTTGTACACATCTACAAACACACACACACACTTCGTGGGTTCAGGGGGACCTAAAACTGATATACCCTCCCAAAACTCAAACTCGAAAATATTGACGAAAACAATTCCTTCTCTATTAACTATGCATAGTAGAAGAAATTAAAGAAATCATTGAACAAGAAAATAATACAGCATGTCTTTTGTTTTTGTACGATGTTTACAAAAATACATTGATTAGAATGCTTCTTGGATTTTCTTGTGATTGTAAAAATAAAACGAAAGAAAAATAATCGTAAAAAATATTTTAGAAAACAAATATTTAATAGATATGCTGAGTATAGTTATTGATAAATATTTGTCACTATAGAGTTTGAATGAAACACAATCTCTATATCAAAAATGAGACACGTTTTAAATGGGTAAACTAGGCTACCTGCATCTATCATAGCCTCTGTGCTAGCTTCCATTGACAAACCCAGAACGGGGTCCGAGGAGAGACCCAGTTTCTTCGGGACGCCGAAGAATGCGATGTCAAACTTCTCGACGTCTGGAACTTTGCCGGTCAAAAATGGCTTATCACGCTCGGCTGGAATAACATTACACTTCAATATCAACATGATACAAACTGTTACAAAATACATATTTGGTACAGTAATGCAGAGTAAACAAATCAATAAAGGACAAGTTTAGGTTTATGTTAAAACTTGTATCGTGGTAGTCACTTGCTTAGCGAAATTGTTTGGAACATTCTCCAAAAAAATCAATATGGTATGTACAGAATGTAAAGATAGGCTTTGCTAGGTAATTATATGATCCGTGTTGATTGTTATTATTCAAATATCCCCATCTTTCTTGTCAACACCGGGCATTAAAAAAATATAAGATTTGTGTCTAACTTTTTATCACCACCTTCCACTCTGCTCTCACAACTAAAATGCCGACACCGAGCGTCCAATACCATTTATTTCACATTTCTTAATGTTACTAGAACCAAAAATATGTTGATCATCATAACAGGTTGTTCACACCGAAGTGACTGTTGTTCCGAAACTCATTAAAAATTAATTTTAATACATTATTCCCAAAAAGACTCCTACAAATTTACCGAAATCCAAGTTTACTACATGCACTATGACAGCTGTAAATGAAAAGTTGTAAGGACTATAACAAACTAAATCTTAATCAAAATTGTTCGAGCCGGTCTTTTGAAAATCCGATTTTATTCGTTGTTTTAAGAACTTTTATGGGGCAGTAACCATTACAGAATAACACTTTCTAAAAAAGTTATTAAAATAAAATACATCCTAGTGTGTATTTACATTTTTCTCTACCTTTGGCGTTGTATATCACTAATAGTATAAGTTTTTCACTATTACACTTAATAGTCACTATTACGTAGGCTGATAGTGTTGGAAAAGAATCACCAACGAGTGGTAGTATGTAGTATACATTTCCAGTATTAGAATGCAATTTCAGCAAAATTGTTCTTTTGGTAAATTTAAAACTAGTTTATTTTAAAACTGTAATATTAAAAGTCAATTCCAAACACTTCACTAATACTGATGGGTCTGAACTATGAAGGGTTCGTTCTTTTGATTGTATACGGACCCTAAAACTAATTTAAAACAAATAAACACTATGCGTGTTTACCCAATCAAGTAAACGGTTATTATGGGCTCAATACATGTATGGACGACTTTGTTCTCTAGTCTAGTAATAACGTTGCTAAAATATATGTTACACTATCATTTGTTTCCATAGAATGAAGGAAACTCATTTTTATCCAGAAGTTATAATCGTTGATATACTATATATTTTTTTACTTTTCCCACTTATTTCAACAGCTCTACTTATTTTACTATACTCGCTACTGCTTTAAGATAATGTCCACGAGAAGATAAATAATGTATGTACTTATTCCAACGTCACAAAAACTCGTGGGATTATAAAGTCTAGAATGGCAGCTAGGTCAATGCATCGATGTGCTTCACCCAGGTATTAACAATTCAAATCTCCAAATCGTCAAGTTCAAGGTTGATTCTTCAGATGAATAATTGATCAAGGCATTGGTTCTAAAACCAGCTGAAATCGAATGAACCTAAGCTAAATGAAGTTATGTTGTTTACCTTTTGTTGCCAGGTTCTTGAAGTTGTTAAGGCGTATATATATAGAGGGAATAGTTATCAACTAAATAGCCTGTTAAATATTTTATAACATAAACATAAGTTCAATTGATACATAATGTTTTAGATTTTCAAAATCGATACGAGGGATTTTGAATTGTCAAATATATTTTCTTTGGTCGAATTCGAGCATGGATCAAGCTCAACATCTTAGACTATACTGTTTGTTTCATTATCCTAAGCCCCAATCACATTTTTTCTCTTCCATTGACAAATATATAGTTATCGAGTGTGAATAGAGGTATATGTTTACTTTGAGCTGAGCGCAGCAATTTGAATATTATTAGAATCTGAATAAAATTGTTAATAGTTTAAAAATATAGGGTGATCCTTTCAAGTATATTACACTGTCGTCTTAAATTAGAATAAATGATATAATGAACTAATAAAAGTACTCAATTTTGTTGTTTGATTTCATTCAGTTTTGTTCTCGGAAGAAAAAAATCTGTCTAAAATAGGAATATTTTTCGATTAGATAATCAGTACCTAACATAAAAGAGGAAAGCCACCAAGACAAATTAAACACGGCAAAGATAATCAAATCAAATTAAAAAAATCTCAATCTTCAATCTAATTAAAAAACAAAAAGTCAAATATAATTTTGGTTTTTTACTTCTTTAAACTCATTGTTTAATCCACATGCGGTTCATTGCTGTTCTAAAGTTTGGCCAAACGTATCTAAGAATGTTTACTACTCTGGATATTTCACCTACTACACGTCAAGTGAAAAAAAACATAAGGGTCGTCAGTAATACGAGTGTTGTTTCAAATCTTAGTAACATAAAAAATACTTTACTAAAGTTTTTATACAACATGTAAACAAACATTTTTGGTTTAACTTCAATAAATAATGGATATTCAATTGAATTTTAAATATATTTAGGTTTATTTATATGAATAAATAAATCATTGGTCATATTTAAAACAAATTTTGATTACAGAAATGAACATTTAGGTATATCATTGACCTACTTCATTCACCCGATTTTTACAAAATTTGTAGACGACCTACTAAATACCATAAACGAAATACATACTACGGAAAATATCCTTCATTACCCTATACGATCGTCAAGATTAGGACCTTTGCCATTTTAGTATCCTATTTAACTAATGAGCTATATCTATTGTTGTAACAAGTTGCATATCATATTAATATTATATAACTAATGTCATTAGTTTCTATTATAGTTACTAGTGAAAGAGTTGAATCTGAGCCAAGACCATATAGTTCCTTAAAGAACCAAACCTAGTTGAATATATTAATGTTAAATATAGATATTACCTGGGTTCCACCTCTTGTCATCTGGTGTCAACAAGAACTCTTTGGAGAATAGTTTTTCCTTGAACTCTTGAACATTGTGACAGTTCGGAAACTTTCCAGATATTCCTGATATCACGACCTCGTATGGGTATATACCCATTGTCGATCACTTCTCTGAAAAGTTTATAAGTGTGAAAACTCTCTAATTGTATAAAACCTACAGTCCCCGTAGTTTCAGGTTTCAGTATTATACCATAGCCTCCTTTAATACAAGGCCGTTCAGTTGGTGTGGCAACGTCACACGGCCGGCCTATTGGTATGGCAATAACAGTATACATAAATATTGCATAGAGGCTACATTGCAGTGCATCAGCTGTTTTGGTTGGTGTGTGGCAACGTCGCACGGCCGGCCTATTGGTATTGCAATAACAGTAAACATAAATATTGCATAGAGGCTACATTGCAGTGCATTAGCTGTTTCGGTTGGTGTGTGGCAACGTCACACGGGTGGCCTATTGGTATGGCAATAACAGTAAACATAAATATTGCATAGAGGCTACATTGCAGTGCATTAGCTGTTTCGGTTGGTGTGTGGCAACGTCACACGGGTGGCCTATTGGTATGGCAATAACAGTAAACATAAATATTGCATAGAGGCTACATTGCAGTGCATTAGCTGTTTCGGTTGGTGTGTGGCAACGTCACACGGGTGGCCTATTGGTATTGCAATAACAGTAAACATAAATATTGCATAGAGGCTACATTGCAGTGCATTAGCTGTTTCGGTTGGTGTGTGGCAACGTCACACGGGTGGCCTATTGGTATGGCAATAACAGTAAACATAAATATTGCATAGAGGCTACATTGCAGTGCATTAGCTGTTTCGGTTGGTGTGTGGCAACGTCACACGGGTGGCCTATTGGTATGGCAATAACAGTGCATCAGGTGTTTCGGTACTTTCAACTGCGGCGTTGCCACTTTTGCCTCGCCGCGACCTTGTATTAGAGGAGGTCATGATTAGACTTATCGGGAAATCGTTTAAAACAGTATAAAAATTATTAAATGTATATAAATAACAATTCAAACTCCACAGACTTCAAAAGATCATATAAAATATACAAATTATCTGGATCAAACCATCGTTAATAAGATTAAATAGGAAAACATTTTGTTTTTTCCATGGTGTTTGTAATTTTACATAGCATACGAATCATACAATAAATATGAGTAATATGGGCCAGTACAAAGTCTTTTTCTCTACTTCATACCAATTTATTTCAACCGATTTATTAGGAAACCATTCATTCACTAGCCAATCAACTTTTTCATTCTTTTACAAGGGGGTTTGCTGCAGGGTATTTTTATATATAATGCATGATAATATAGGCTGAAAATAGTTCAGTCAAACCTTTTCAAGTAAAAAATCCTTTATAGCCTGTGTTCAATACGAAGGAATTAATCAATTGTTTTTTAAAACATAAGTCCATTTAAATATAAAGTTTTATAAAATTAAAACAATTTGATCCAATTTCCTTACTTACTCCTACGTTGTTTAAGTTTAACTGTGCTAAAAATACAAATAATGTGAATTAGATTGACATATTTAGGATAATTGTAATTATCATAAAACGAAAATTAAAGAATTAAAGTCATTAAAGGATTCTCAGATAATTATTTGCACGTGGGGCAAATTATGAGCATTATCTCTTTCAAATAAATACGACGTACAACTATTTTTTATTTAAATGAGTTTTTTAAGGTGATCTCTGATTTATATTAATTCTCATTTTTAAGTCATAAGTCGTTTATTCAGCAAAATTAACATAAAATGCATTAGCTACGTCAAAAAACACAATGAAATACTGTATTTACATAAAAAATCTCTTCTTCGTAAGAGAAATTTTTCAAATGTTGGGCTCCGAACCACCGGGCTACGGATAATACTAACAATACAAGTGAAAACGTCATTGGTTTATGGGTACATTCAACTCGCATCCATTAGACCTGTCGTGTAAAATAAGACGGATGCAATTAAGCTTTTTCAACATGGGAATTTGTTTGGGAGCTACTTGTATCTGAATGTGAAATCTTTTTCAATCGCCATTGGGTTATTACCTATGTGATGTTACTTAAAGTTGAGTTAGTTTTACACTGATTTTGAGATTCAAGATTTCTTATGCAGGTATTATAAAACCTACAAGAGCAATCTAGTGATAAGGTGTGTGGATCACTGTTGCTTTTAGTATCATGCAGAAATATATAATGTGAATTAATTTTTAAACATTGTTGGTAATTGTTTCATGTATATGTTACTAAATGTTATTACACTAAACAAAGTGTACATTATAGTTGTTTCTTGAAAATAGCTAACATGCAATTTTTGATAAAAAATAATTACTGGTTCGTTTTAAAAGAATTGATTGACTCTAACAGCGTAGAGAATCAATCGTGAAAACTTCACATCATAATTTACAAATACTGTTCAATCCATAAAATGGTTATGTTGTGATTGTTAGTATAATGATCCAGAATACGTCACTTTAGCGTTAAGTACTTTATGTACAAATAATTATTGAAAAACTATTAGTTATGTTGATTAGGTATAATATTAGGGGTTTAAAATTAGTTGTAAACGTGACAGATTCAATTACCTATAAGATAACTTGAAGCCCTCCTGTGAAATCACTGACACTATACAACCAACTGCAACTCGTGTGCTCAATATAACTTAGATCAAACACTGACCAGTTTGGGGTAGGCTTGCATCAATCTAAACTTTCACTCCAGAATTTATTCATCGTGTCCCTGAGACTTTGACCCAAAGCCATTGTTTCTAAAGAAGAGTCAAAAAGAAAAGAGCCTTAATTAGCACTAATTTTCATAACGGAAAGTTTGTTTGGCTGTAAGTTCATAGCCCTTAGATCTTGAGAGTGATCACATTTCAATGAAAGGGCTGCATCTCCATTGTCCATTGTATTGTGCAAATTATCTAAGAATAGTAATTGTTCACACTGAGCTGACTTGTAGATCAACCATAGCTCAATCATTTGCATTTTTTCCGGTTCCTTATTTGGCTATAAATGTCTTATAACATTTATAGTATATCGAAAACTCTTTTCCGATTAGGATTAATATTCTGTTGATGTATGGATTATTTATTCACAGTTAAAAATAGAGAATAAATATTGGATAAAACAAAAATTGGAGACTATATCGGCAATGTTTAACATAGACTACGTTATCAGTTGATTACCCAGTTTATAGATGTCAACTGATAGTAATGGACTCAATATTTTTTCAGAACATTTTTCACAGTCCGTCATTTTTGCCTTCCGTATTAACGAATAATATCATGATAGTGGTTCTATTGTTATGGTTTGAGTTGGATATGTTTTATGCAAAAATAAATTTAATTTAAATTAATTTGTGTTAAAATTCATACATGAATGACCTTTATTTTGAAAGGCATTTAAAATAATCAAACAAAAGTTATACTGTGTCACGTATATGATATGTATTGCAACATCAAAGTTTGAAAGTAGGCAAATGATTTGTTTAGGTACAAAAGTAGACCTGGCATTTGAAAACATTTTTGGAAGGCTTATGATTATTGACAAAAAACATTTTAATACATTTTTATATAGGTAAAACATTAACTCTTTTAGTACTGAATTTGATCGTTCTTATGTTTTTATTGCAACATTTAAAAAGCATTGTCGCTGTGTATTTATCAACTTATTATCAATAATAAAAAATCCCAGTATTAATACAATGGAAAACAAATTTGTAAATTTAATTTCCAATTGATAATATCCCTACGTCGAAATTTGTTCCAAGGCTTGAGTCATTCCTTTTTATACTTGCCTAGCTTAGCTTCCGACATTCTACCATCTACTCTAGCAAACGATTGCTCAATAACAGCCACACATTGGATAATTTATTCCTTCGTTAACTAAGCACTTGAATTCAGTTTTTCCAACGTGATCACTGGGAGAAATTGTACTAATGAACTTCTTTCTCTAACATTCTCCCAGCCCATAAGGGTAATATAATAATTTGTAACTATATATAGGGCTTGATAAATAATAGGGGGAAAAGAGTTTTATTGCTACCGTCCCATTAGTTATTAAATCCCGTCCCTCTCATGAGGTATTAAATGAAAATATCTTGGAGAGGAAGATCCAATAGGTAAAATAATGGAATTTTATATTAAGCAAATCTGCGTATTAATTAGTTGGTTTTTCTATTTCTTCGACATAATCTTAAACGGCGATTCCCCAGGAGCACTAAAATCGTAGAATACAATAATAATGCATTAATTTATGTATCAAAGCAAACATGAACAACCCACGCTCTAAAATTCAGCAAAGATAGCGTAACTTACTACTACACTTAACATTTTATTTAATCACTAGATTCAAAGTGCGTATTTATGTTTTCAGATGGAAAGTAAATCGAAATTCACTACAAAGCTACTTAACCCCGGAAAGCCTAACATACCTTCCAAGAACCTCCTCCAAACATTCCATTTTAAAGGAGCCTAAATCTTGTAGTCCACTTAGGGTGGGTTGACTATGGAATAAGAACTCGTGTTTTTTTTTTTCTGAACGAAGAAGCTCCTTATTAAAATGTACTCTACCATAACTTTCCTGCACTTTTGGTCTTCACAGGTAGGAGTGAAGACAATATAAATAAAACAACTTATAAATTAAATACCTTAACCAATTGTGTACCTACGAGAATTACCTGATCTACTTTTTCCTTTTTAAAACACAAAGCTTCATACGAATTTCATTGACCAAAATGTAAACACAATCTCACTTATAACCAAACTTAAGATTTCCCATATTTTAAAAGCGAATTTCAGGTCAAAACAACACCTCCACTGCAGAAAATCTGCAGACTTAGCGAATTGCGATTGATTATACGTTCAGTAAAATATTACCGTATCTGTGTCTCCTTGAAAATGTCAGATTTATTTTCTAAGTAAATAACATTAGCCTAACGGGTACTTAGGTTTACTGCAATAAGGGAAGGTAATAAAGGTTTGTTTTTAGCTAAATGTTAATAATTTGAAAAGATATTTCCAAAAACGATAAAATTATGTTTATAAACAAGCACACTACTACAGTTTACGTTTCCTCCATAAAAACTACATAATAATAATTCAAAGCTTTTTTAAATTTTCTCCTTAGCCCTAAGCCCATAACAACGCTTCAATATACTAAATCTTTTGTTTCTAAGCTTTAACAAGACTTGGAAAGAAATGTTTATATTTATAGGGAAAATAGGAAAAACTATTTCCATCCCATATAAACCCCCATAAACCCCCGTTCCCATAGCCCGATTATGCTAGTTCGGGATCCCATACGAATTAACATAATCTGTGTCTGGTCAAGTTGTTAAACTGAGACCGACGGTCGTAGCTTATTCCTTATACGGGAAATTCGCTAAACAAGTTTCTGTCTTATAAGATTCGTAACTCTTCTCTTATCTTATTAAGAAGACAGAGGATATTGAGTCATTGTCGTATAAAAAATTTAAGGAGTTCGCTAAAATTATGTACAATATTTTGAAACTTGTTATTAATAGTAAATATTCAAATAAAAACTGCATTCAATAATAAAAAATAAAACATAAACATAAATTTCTGTTATAAATAAAGTTGTAATATTTAAGTTTAGTACTAAAAATGTTTATATAAAATTGCCTACAAAGAACTTTAACCATTTTAAGCGTATGGCTTGCAAAGAGTTTTAAAAGCTGTATAAGTGTTTGGTTTTTATAGAATATTTTGTAATCCTGGCCCAAAAATTACTATACGAAAATATTTTGATACAACTTAAACTGATCGGTCTTCTCAATATTCTTGCTAATGTGAAAGATTGCCGAGGAATAAAAGCTTAAAAATTTACATTTTCCTACTTGTTTTAATGTTTTAAATATGACTTTATAACTATAGAAAAATTGTTTTGCATCACTGCGTATATAAATTAGTTATTTGTGCAACTCATTCATTTTCACTAACTAACTATATATGGATAAAAATTACTCGAGCTATCAAGTTCACATGAAAGATTCGCTTATGCATATCACTCGAGGGAAATACTTACAAAGCCGTAGGCGAGTGAGAAATGGTTTCTCGAGTGAGGCAATTGCACTTTGCACTCGAGTTACACATTACATTTTTCCTACAGTTAACCATAAAACAAATAAATTGGTAAAGAAACGTGACATATTTTTACACAGAAGTGAACTTTTAATATTACATTTTATGATACAACAGTACAACAGCTGACCAGCTGATTTACAGCCAGTGCTGCCAATGTATTTCGCGCGCATACGACCTTGTCTGCATGTTACGCGCTCACTATTTCGTGCCTTCACGTTGCAAATCTGGAGTGAGTGAGACAAAGTAATTAGAGTGAGACAATGTTAACGTTGTCTCACTGATGAGCGAATTGGCCACATTTCTTTCTCAAATCAGTGAGAGAACATGTACATTGTTAGGTAACTGTAGGAAAAAGCTATTTTCGATCACAGGTGATTTTAAAGAAATCAATTGTTATCCAAGCTCTAATTTAGAACAAGGGGAAAAACTATCAGAGGATTTTACCTTTTTTAATTTCACTTTCCCTTGCTCTGAATCAGTTTGTTTACAATGTATTCATATTATTGAAATAAGCTGATTTCACTTTTTAACAAAACAAAATTGAACAGAAATATGCATAAGCGAATCTTTCATGTGAACTTGATAGCTCGAGTAATTTTTATCCAAATTTATGAAAAAATGTGGTTTTAAGGTTTAGGGTGGGATAAAAGTGAATGGGAACCAGCAAGATCGAGTTAAGGGAACAGGATATGTTATGGGGTTTTAAAATGTTCAAAAACTGTTTTCATTCAAATTTCACCATTTAAACATCGAAATGCCTAATTTTAATTAAATTCATCGTGTAGAGAATAAAAAACCGTGTATATTGAAGTGTTGATGTACAATGAAATACTATGGAGGAGAAAAAACTGTGATAGTTTTGCTTACCTGTATGAATATATTTTGATCAAATGTGGCATTTCTATTTTATTCTTTCTACACTTTAAAAATTATGCAAAAAAAACGCGTTGTACATTCTCCGTAGCAGCAAACCTTAGTATTTGTCAAATATAACATTATTTAATAGGGGAATATTTATATATGTTTCGTTTACACATTTGAATAAAAATCCAAATCAGACAAATTGAAATTCGCTTAGTTTGAAGGTTTTGCTGCGGTGGGGTCATTAGTTTGTAGTGTGTGTTTACTACACAATGAGCATAACTATGTTATGCCTTGATAAACCTTGAACTTCATCTTCAAATTTTCATCTCAGTAGGTAAGTTTCCTACAACCTTTTTTCTTTTATTTTCATATTAACATAATGCCAATTAGAAAACATAATGGTTTTAGTTTTACTTAGGTCTGACTGTGAGTCTGTATGTGAGTATTTTTGCGTCATGATGAAAATTATTGCTTCAACTAGTGATCTTCTGGCACTTTCTCCAATTATTCCCATCCTTGGGTTTGCCTCGTACTTGAAATATAGTGTTCCTGTGTTCGGCTTTGCCTCAGACATGAAACCTGATCGCACACCGGAAAATGCCATTTTCGGCACTTGTATTGAAATATTAATAATACGTGATTGACGTGATTGTGTATATAGTGGTGCGAAGGAAAATTGCGATTCTAGTTCCAGCAATAAACGAAGATTTTTTTAATGACAATGCATTCCAGAAAAAAATCGCCAGACACAATAACACTTACAGTTGCATGGTTACAGATTTTCAGCGTATGAAAACTATTTTGTTCATACCTACCTTTGTTCTTTCAGGAAATAAACCTTTGAAAAAATATTGTAGGATTATTTACCCAGCATGAGTTTATATATTTCAAGGAAACAGTTGACTATTGTTTATTTATTTTGTACTGATGTAGTTATTACATAACACTGAACATCACGTAACTGAGAGTAAGTCTGTCAGAGACAAATAAGCCGCAATCACATATTACTTTAAATTTAGACTTGATGTAGAAGTTTTTATGTTAGATTATGCTAACACTAATGCATTTATGAAGTAAAAATCTAGCATTTTGGTGATTCGGTGGCTCAGTTGGTATCGTGATGGACTTTGGATCCATGGCAGTGATGTCGTGGGTTCGGATCCTGGAAGTACAGTACATAAATTCATTTCAACTGGAGTACCGAACCAGGTCACCTCTTGCTTTGCTGGATAGGCCTAAGATTCACGCTACAGGTCTGAGGCCTATGTGTACGTGCAAATTCAAAGTAAAAAGCATATCTCTTAAAAACTATCCTTATCACTTGGCTAAAAGAGCAATAAGATACAACTTAAAGTTGAATGACAACCTGCTTGGATAATACTTTAAGAAAGCAGACCTATTCCATAGCAAATATGTGTACTATTTTGATAAATTTTCAATGCTAATTTTCAATACAGAAAATCAATTCATAGAACTATAGTTTTAATAGTAACTTCTTACTCACTAGGTATCTGTCATTTTATTGGAAATTAAATAACAAATACGTTTAATGTCAATTAAAACCCTTCAAGATAGTAAATGTGTACCCAGAATGGTGAGTGATATTTCAATTTAATAGTCTATCATCTTCAAGGGAACAGTTTAACTGTAAATACTGTATAATGTTTTACGTCTTTTAGACGATTGTTGAATGTATTTTTATTGACATCTTGCTGGTAAAACTAGTATAACCTTTTAGAACAGGAAACAGATGTTATATTTTGATCTTACAAGATATTTTTCTAAAGTCAAAGTAAGTTAAGGTGAAAGCATAATAAAATGGAAACGCTTTTATGGAATATTAGCAGAGACAGATTTTCTTGCAGCTCAGATCACTGGAGTTTAGATTTTAGTTCCAAAATACATATTTTTTTCTATAGTAGTAACCAATATTGAACATCTCAGATTTTCCAAGTCACGATACTTTAATTTTTATAATTTAATCACTTTCTTCTAAAGACTATTTTAATCGTAAAATTCAGTAATTTGTCCTTGGATTCAAATCCTTTAAAAGATAAAAATACGTGCATTTTTTATTGGTTTAAAACAATATACTGGTATCGTGCTAAAAATAAATCATACTTTGATGTTGATTAAGTTTCTTACGATAGCTTGATGTAGAGATGATGCATTTCAATTTTCTGGAAAGACATTAGGTATGAATCAAAACACATTTGAATAGACAACAAATATGTTTATTTACATTGAATAGCATGTTATTTCTTCCATGAGTGGACCACATTTTCATTTATCACAGAAGCTGTTGTTTGTGAGACGAGCAGCTGAGAGTGGGTAAGATAGTCAGCAACTTTGATATTGGGTGGGTCTTGGCAAAACTAGAAACAACACATAGTCAGAACAAAGCAACAACACACTATCTTTGTATGTTCATAAATCAATTCCACAAATTTGGAATTTCTCAAGAATTACAAAAGTTATACACACGAAGGCTGATATTGTTGTGTACTTATAGGAAATCCTTTAAATAACATTTGATCTTAAATGTGTAAACACGTAGAAAGTCCTTGATACACTTCAAAAATATATGTTTAAGGCAATATGGTGCACGTCAGTCTGTGCTCTTGCCATCGAAAATATCAGATTCCTAATTCTTGATTGCTGAATTAGGATTACTTTTGGTTACTTTCTACGTTTTCTCAAGAGAACTAAGGAAACCCCAAACTAATAAGAATAGACGAACGCAAATCTTTTGTGAGGGGGTTTGTAGCCTGTATATTTATGTAAAGTGAAGTTTGATCAAACCATGTCTTTGAAAGCGAAATGGCATAGCTAAATGTATCTGAATCTACCAAGAACATTCAAACTAAGGGTGTACACAAGACACTTACTTAACTTATCTTTAGTAGTCGAAAATAAGATACGTAAGTAATTAATTGTAAATTATTTAATTCATTTATTTTAATGCACCGAAAATCTTTTAAAATTATTCTTAGAACGTGTTTAAATCAAGTATGAGCTATTTGGACACTCATAATTATACTTTTAATTGTAATAAACCAATGGTGATATCTATTGTGGTCTTACAACATTTAAGTGGTACGACGACGTGTCTAGACTACAAATATTGTGTTTACATTACAAATATAAAACTTTATAGTGCAAGAATTCTCACCCTTGAGAGATGATCAAGGTAGTTGAGCAGGTCATTCTTGTTGCAAATCACGTTGTCAACCATTCCAATGATGGGGACTTTGGAGGGTTCGTAGTTGAGGAAGGATGTCAGTTGATGATTGAGCGAAGTGACTCCTCTAGCCACGTGATCCCTCACATCGGGCTCCAAGGTTTGTAGAAGCTGAGTAAGCCTCTCCTTCCAGTTTTTGTAGTTCTTAAAAAAAAAAAAAAAACAAAAGCGATATTAACAAACAACGCCATTTATAATCATCCCAATATTCAGATGTTCGGATTTTTGCCTCGTAGAATTATAATTGGTACTATGATATTGAACACAATATATTCTTCCAAGAAATATAATTTATTTTTATTATATCCACAATAACGTAAAAAATAAATAATCGCAACATAAAATAATTAGTAGGTTTTTCTTAATAGGGTTATGTCTATTATTGTAAAAACTCCAAAACAATACTTTAACAACAGTCAACAATATTCTAATTATGAGAAATTTAACTTTTAGACGGATAAATTAAAATTAACTAAAATGGAAGGCTCATTTTTGCAATAACACAGGAAATAGTGCCAGATGTAAAGGCTTTATTAGTACAAATACAATGGTACAGGGTTATTACAAATGATGGACCCATTTTTAATGCTTTATAATTTTTATACTATTAAACTTACCGCTATAAAATACGCATCAGACGAAAAAGCAATTTAAAGAGTTTATGCCTTCCAAAGACACATCATTTAACAAAATTGATCCAGCAGAACTGTAGATTTATTTGTAGAAAGTTAAAAAGTAATCTCCAACTTTTTTTACCACTAGAAATTTGGAGGTTACTTGAATTTTTTGCAAATAACTTTTAAATGGTGAGGAAATCGACCAAAGTGGAAGGTAATATTCCGAAAGAGAATAAAATTTCCTACAATCTACTATTATGCATTTTTTTTTTTAAATTTCTAGTGGTAAAAAAAGTTGGAGATTACTTTTTAACTTTCTACAAATAAATCTACAGTTCTGCTGGATCAATTTTGATAAATGATGTGTCTTTGGAAGTCATAAACTCTTTAAGTTGCTTTTTCGTTTGATGCGTATTTTATAGCGGTAAGTTTAATAGTATAAAAATTATAAAGCATTAAAAATGGGTCCATCATTTGTAATAACCCTGTATATTAGACAGGTAAACAAGCGATTTTTAAGCTTGATCCAGAGGCTACCTCACCATGAAAAAAGCGATTTTTGTATGAAACAGTTATACAGGGTGGCTGAAAAGTAACCTTCTTAGATATGAGGGACTACTATAATAATTGTGGTCAATTTTGAAAATGTTGCCCTTAGGGGTAGCGGGGGTAGGGGTTAGCTTAAAATTTTCCAATGACAAGTATAGTCGAATTGGGTAACATTTTATAGGTCTTGACGAAACATAACAATTAACATAAAGGAAATAGAAATCGGACTATTAACAACAAAATGGCAGCTAAAAATGATTAAGACAATGGTTATTAAAAGTTATTTTGAACTGTTTTTTTGTTATTTATGATCCAATTTCTATTTTCTTTTTGTCAATTGTTATGTTTCGTTAAGTTATTTAAAATGATAACAAACTCGACTATACTTGCTATTTGAAAATGTTGAGCCACCCCCTGCCCCCGCTACCCCTAATGGCAAAATTATTGTAGCCCTACATATCCAAACAAGTTGCCGCAAACCGATTTCAAATATCTCAAATAGTTAAAAAGTTAAACGAGTGCAAGTTATTTTTCAGCCATCCTCATGGTTATTTGGATTTGAAACGTTTTAGAGTGCCATTTTGTTATTAGTTGGCCAATTTTGGTTTTCTTTATGTCAATTACTATGTTTTGTCAAGACCTATAAAATGATACCAAGCTCGACTATACTTGTTATTTGAACATTTTGAGCTACAGTACCCCCTACCCCCACGGGCGAAATTTTAAAAATTGACCATAATTATTGTAGCCCCTCATATCTAAGAAGGTTGCCGCAAACAGATTTCAAAAATCTCCAATGGTTGAAAAGCTAAGGGGGGGGGGGTGTAAGTTACTTTTTAGCCACCCCGTATTTAAAGAACATGATATTCATGTAGTTTTGTTTTGAATAGTTCAAAACTACTTTTCCGAATCTTCCTACATTTACTCCATGAAATTAAATGTTAACAAGCTATCAAAAAATACAAGCTATCAAAAAATACAAGCTATGTGATGATTAGCTATCTATCACAAACCTTCTCTTCAGTGTGGAGGGCCACATTCAAAATGCAATTTCCTAGGTCTGCATCACTTCTTCTACAAAGGTCCCTCAGTTTGTGCTGCTCTATTGTTGGAACACCCTGTATCAGGATGAGTTTGACTTGATATCCCTCAGATTGTAAGAGTTGACTTACGGCCAGAGCGTAGGCTCCACCCCAGGATTCCCCTATAATAGTGTACGGTCCTTGGGGTTTAATCCTGTGTATATCCTGTAAATATTTTGATAAATTAAGTAAGTAGCTAATATTAAATAGGTTATATTACACCTATATAGGAAGATTATTCAAAATATAGATGTGTAGTGGTACATATTTTAAAATTCCTTATTCGACCATTTTACTAAATCACTTGGTATGTGGTTGGAATGACACGAAACGGAACGTTAAGTAATTCGTCAGCCCGTATTTCAGAATGTGGTATAAATTCAGGGTTTGTATGTAGGTACCAAGATTTCAACTATTTCTTATACCTTAATGACTAGACCGCAGCATTCTAGCCTTAATCTACGATCTGGCATTTTTATAAAGTTATGTTGAATTTTAAGTTTTAGTGAATGCAACATCTGTTTCCCATTTGAAAAATAAATAAAATAAAACTGAAAATTGAGAGAAGCTGGAGAAGAACTTGTTTTACGTCTTTAAACGTTAAGGTATACCTAATACATCATATAATAATACTTCAATTGTGAGGTTGAATGTAGAAAGTACACACCTGAACCATGGACTCGGCCACCTCGTGCAGGGAATGAGCTTCAGTAGGTAATCTACAGCAAAAAGCTGGATGCATTATCTGCCTCAGCAAAGGCCTCACAAAATGACTTCCCAGTCCCGGGAACACGAACACTGGCTGCGTGGAATACTTGCTTGCGGAATACTTGGGACTCAGGGTAGTCTCCTCTACGAATGTTTCCTGTGACTCCAGGCTCATTCCGAGATTATACAGTTCTTCAACTGAGTTAGGAAGATGTGCAAGAGATGTTTTCGTTCCTGGAATACAAATCAGCTGTGAAAACGATGAACCCCCTTATCAATTAGAACCTTTAGTGCCCTTCAGTAATTAATCAACCCTGCAAAGATTATTTGATTTCGAAATCAATAATTTGTAAAATCCATGAATACATTACGGTATGGCTTGCAGTGAAATGAAGAATTTATTTTAGTTACCTTGTTATTTTTGAATCAATATTCCCTCAAAACAAGTTTTACTAAACAATAACTATTATTCAGTCAATAATCTATAATTTTGAATTAAATATTAACTAATACACTATTACATTAATTGAATTAAATAACAAATAAATCCTCATTGGGAGAAGTAAGAAAACAGTATTAGAATATGTAAATAAAACCTCACATTGGTCTGTGTGTGATAAGAGTACACACTGGCTGCGCAGATGGTATTGTTGTCTATAGTGTACCAAACAAAGTTTTACACTTCTTAGTTGGCTATAAAGATAACAAAATCTTTTTTAGAAGGGTAGGACGGCTGCAGATTGCGTAAGTGTATATTTTTTATATGGTAATACTTTAAAAGAGTTTCATTCCGTCTTTAACTGCATAGTGTTAATTTTTAAACATATAGTACTAATTAATATACTGTAGTTTTAGGATAAAGAGTATTATATTTAGAATGTTATATTTGATTAATATAGAATATTATACTCTTGTTCAGATATTATATTTTGAAATTCCATAAAATTATCTTTAAAATGACTCCAAACAACAAGGTTTGATGGCATCTTTTCCCATGTTTTGTAGTTTGTGAGTGTTTTACAATGTTCAAGAGATTTTAAGCTAAATCCAAGTAAAGATTCATGTTAATTAATTTTTTTATTTAGAGACTAGGGTTAGTACATCTGATTGTATTTGATTAAATGATATTAAGAATTAAAGGGTTATGGTAGTTTTGGCATTATCAATGATTATTGCCTATAATTATAGTCAAATTATTGGTGAGAGTACATTTTTTGTATTTTTACGTAGGCATTCGTGGTGTCATGGTGGAGTTTTTGGCGTCAGTGACGACGTGCATGCAACCACAGCATGAACTCGCAAATAACCTTTACTCATTAAGTTGCACACTCGAGAACCGTTTGAATACAGATACTACATCAAGTTTACCTTTGCTCTTAGTTGTGTTTAAATGGTCAGAAACTAAATAAAACTTTGCTGTCGTTTGGGTGTCCGCCAGCAGCCTGAAGAGGTAAGGAATTACTTTGTTTCCAGCTTCTACCGGACTTCCACTTTTGATACAGCAAGTAGGAAGGCCGCTGATGGAACGAGAGTCGCTAACCTCTGATCCTTTTCCAAGCAAAGAAACAAAATGTTGTAGTTGGGGCAGAAGCTCCCTACAGGCCAAGTCAAGATTTTTCATTTTGCTGCCGTTTTCGTCCTGATAAAAAAGAATATTGCTATTAAAGGTGCGAAAAAATTGTGTACAGATTACATCACTTTAACCCTTAGTCTAACTTAGAACATTTAACGTAAAGAATGCTTAACTTTTTGCTCAAAAGATTAGAAAAATTGATTGTGAGAAAGGCCATAACGATGCGTACCATTGAGACACAGAATATTGATGAAACCATTCCAATATGTAATGTTTCTTTCAAGAACTTCAGTGCACCTTCAGGAGTATCCAAGCATGCAGAGGAGGAGATCATCGTAGAACATTTTTTGCGGTACAAAATGCGATTCACCCTTTTAAGGTAGAGACCTTCGTCGTTCAAAACCACAAGTTTCGAAGCACCATGGTGAATTAGCCATTCGGCCAGCTCAAACTTAAGTTCCACATTAGGTCCTGAAACCGAAGTATTAGAACAATGTAGTATTTTAAGTTTTGAAGATCGTAGTAAAATAAATTACACAGTATGATACATTATTGTATTATTGAATACTTGTAAAGCTATATAGTATAATTTATGATTGTTTCCGTAGCTTGAATATATAGATTTAATGCTAACAGAATAGATGATAAGCTTTCTCGCTGTTTTAGAGGTGTAATTTCAACAAAGGTTTGTATTTGTAAAATAAAATACTTGTTTTATTTGATTTGTTTACTACTGTTTGTAAAGATAAAAATTATCTGTTTCAAGGTCCCAAACTTTGAGGAGCCCAAGCTTTGAGTAAAACCTGAACAATTAGTTCAATTTCCTATGTTATATCCACCTATTAAATTGTTTTACGTGCATTGCTTTATTACGAATTGGTATGGCAATTAGATTGATATACTGAACTGAGATAGTGAAATTACATAATTTTTACTTTTCATAAATTCTTTGAAAAGGAGCTAAATGCTGTTTTCTGTGGTGATCGCCTATCCTTAAACCTAATCATATTAAAGAGAAAAATCTATTCAATGTAATTATATTAGGCATTTGAATTTTACTACTAATGAGGAGTAGCCTATAGGGCTTCGTAAAATTTTGTTTAACAAGCTTCTAAGTTACGGCACTCTGTATATGTATGTTAGTCATAAATTAGGCCAAAGGTCATTTGGGGTTACGTAGATGAAGGCGTTCATGCGCATCTTTCCAACTTCAAAATGTTTGAAAATGGAAAAGCTTTCAATGTTTAAGACAAAAGCAGAAGAACAACAATTAATGTAACTAATATAATTAATATAAGAATAATACTAATATATCAAAAGTAATAATTATTATGACCTACGTACCTGCAATTATGTGTACGCTATCCAGATTAGACATAAAGTACCCATTTACTGGCATGACCTGATTTTCAAGTTTTGAAATCAACACAGTTTTTTCCGTTGCATTATTTATTTGAAGATTGCTGAAAATATGAAATTAAAATCTGAGAAAAGGGATAGGAACTATATATCATTAATAAGTATGCTTAAAAGCAAGCTATGCAATAAAAATATTAGCTCTTAGTGCGATTTTAATGCGTTACATAAAAGGGTACTTTCCTGTTAAAGGGGACATTAATTTTTATCGATGATTTTTTCTGTGTACCGATATTTTATTTTTGGTCCTATATATCGATATTAACGAATTGAAACATATCAGCTGACAATTACGACGAATGAATATTTTTCAGTATCAACAAACAATAAAAAATATAACATTGAAATGAAACCGTTCTATACTAATCTAGCCTAACAAACAAAACTTGCTGAACCATTTCAAAATTCCATTTGATACTCCCCACATGCATTTTCTGTTATCAAACGGAATTTTGAAATGGTACAGCAAGTTTTATTATAGCAAGTTTTATTATAGCATATTTTATATACATCATTTTTGCCTAAACAAGATCAGTCGTCAATTTGTAATTGAAATGAATTTGAAGATATTAAAACAAAAGGAATACGCATTGAAAAGGAAAACAAAAATATCGATATATCGTAAAATTAATCGATAGTAAGGAATGTTCCCTTTAACGGTAAATCACCCATAAAAGCTAGTTTCAATAGTTAAGCAAGCAAAATATTGTAAGTCTGTAAATTATGCCTCATTTAAAAAGAAGCTTCCCCACTACAACAGTTAAAACAAATTTCACAAGCCTATATTGTAATCAGGCAATACACAATGCAATTTTCCCCCTGTATCAAATAGAAAAGAAATTACCCATGTCATAAACATATCCATCATAGGTTCATTATTGAAATTATACATTGGCTACTTATAACAATAACACGGTTTAACAGAACCCTATCGGGATGAATATCTTCCTTGTTTTGCACGATGACATTTACTTACCCGAGGGCATCAGTGAGGTCTTTGATTTGGAAAAGCCTTTTCTTCAGTGGCATCACTACACCTTGACTTATGCCGTCTTTCAACATCTTTTGGAGATCTATTTTACTTTCATCATTAAAAGTGTCAATGCTGTTTAGAGAAACGCCAAAAATAGATCTGTTCTGGAAGAAGTTGTACAGTCCTAAAAGTATAATATTATTTAGAAACTTACAACTTGATGTCTAGCCTTGAAGTTATTTATGCAACCTCATGTAAACCTAAGTTAAGGGTTATTGAAATCACAAGAGATCCATACATAGCAAGACCCATTAGTAACCTCTTTCAAAATGAAAACTGTTTATGAAGATTTATCCTGGCTTCTGTTCTAAGAAAATAATCAAAGACCAGCAATTAACCTCACATAATATTGAAAATTAAAACCTCTAGACTTTAATTTTCGTCAAGATCAAGTCTAGAATGTCTCTAGGCATAAGAGACTGAGGCCAATTGGTGTAACGGTGAACAAGAGGTAATTTATTCATTTCAGTGCAAAATGCATCCAAAAAACTATTTATGTCACCACTGTTTATTTTCTCTTATATTCATATTTATATTTATACCTATATTTACCAATAATTTCCCTGTCTTCAACTCGTATTTCGGACAGATGTATAATACGGCAGTCCACGTCAGCAACTTTAACAGTGGACTGGAAGTCATTTCCTCGTAAACAACTGACGATAACTTCAACTCCTTTTCCCCCAATCCGTTTCCTAACAGCTACATTAATATCTTCCTTGTTTAGAACAAAAACATCCCGGTCTTTTATCTGCAACATACGCTTACTCATTAAACCAGGGTGAATAAAAAGTCAAGACCCCCCCATCTAATATTTTTCCAAGTAAATATAGAGAGATATCCTTTTGGTGGTCGTGCAAGCTTAGCAGGAAGTTTCATTTTATGATTTTGAAAGTTTTGAGTGTCCCCCCAAAAGGGGGGATTTGGGGGGTAACTCAAATATTTTAAATGTAAACCCCCTTCAAGTGACACCTCATTTTGAAGTGTTTACAAAAACTTAAAGAATGGAAAACTAGAGGTCGATATATCTTCTTTATCCAAAATGGTAGCCTGTCAAATGTTGTAGAAAATCAATGGTAAAATTGGTTGGTAATGGTAATATCGGCTACCATTTTGGATAGAGAAGAGATAGCGAACTCTTGTTTTCACCTTTCTTTAAGTTTTTGTAAGCTCTTCAAAATGAGGTGTTACTTGATGGGGGTTTACATTGGAAATATTTTAGTTACCCCCCAAATCCCCCCTTGGGGGGACACTAAAAAATTTTAAACGTAAACGCCCATTTTTTGACACTTTGTTTTGAAGTGTTTACAAATACTTAAAGAATGGTGAAAACTAGAGGTCGCTATCTCTTTTCTAACCAAAATGGTAGCCGATATTACCATACCAACCAATTTTACCATTGATTTTCTACAACATTTGACGGGCTACCATTTTGGATAAAGAAGAGATAGCGACCTCTAGTTTTCACCATTCTTTAAGTTTTTGTAAACACTTCAAAATGAGGTGTCACTTGAAGGGAGTTTACATTTAAAATATTTGAGTTACCCCCCAAATCCCCCTTTTTGGGGGGGCACTCAAAAATTTCAAAATCATAAAATGAAACTTTCTGCTAATATTGCACGACCACCAAAAGGATATCTCTGTATATTTAATGGGAAAAATATTAGAGGGGGGGGTCTTGACTTTTTATTCACCCTGTATATAAAAAGCACATACACATACAGAAAAACTAATATAAATATTAAAGTATGTTATACGATTTTAAAAGGCAATGGAAACATTTGACATATTATTAAATATAATTTTGTGGAAATAAACTTCGCATAAGATGCACATACTGTCTCTAAATTTATTTATACCAAGAGCCAATTTACAAAGTCGATCAACACGAAGCACAACAGTCATTCTATATAAAAACATAATATTCTTGGACAATATGCTGTGTAAAAGAAACGACCCTTATGTTATGCAATACTAGAACAAGAATTATGCAATTAAACGTGAAAACAGCTGATTATAGCTATTTATGTAAGAGCGCAAAGTACGTCATTGCCACTCAAGAATTGTAGATGGCCGCACGATGCTTTAGCTGAGGGATTTCGAGAACGGCAATGACTGTTTTGTGGTCGTAATACATACAAGATTTTTCCTACCATCATAATTAACTTATCACACAGATACAATTTTTAGCTGTATAAAAATGTCATTTAGGTTGTTTGTTTTTTAGGTTAAGTTATTTGCTGACCAGATGATTTAACGAGCGAGAATGAATAAATGGAAATTGAGTTATTTTGCATACTTTTTACAGGTGTGACAATGTGATAATTTCCATGCAGTGGTAGATCAAAATATATATATATTTCAGCTTTTAGATTTTAATAACAAACTTTATATGATAATTTAAGCAATAAATAACGAACTAGCTTGACTTACAATACATTATGCTTGGTAAGCCATGTAATAAATATAAGTTAATCAATTAGTATGAAATAGGTAGTTAAATAAAAAATATATTATATGTTCTAGATGGCATGACATATTCAGGATGGCAGGCACGTTATACTTCTTTGGATGGAGACTTCACCACCGTCTAAGTAACCAAAGTCTACAGTAAAACGATAACGTTCCCAAAAATATATTTAGTAAGAAAGTAAGAAAACTTACAGTAGGAAAACGATCAGTGAGGAGTTTGATTTCTTGTTCATTCTTGACAGATACAAGAACCTTTGCTCCAGCTTGAAGTGCCACTGAAATGACTGCTTGACCTAAAGGACTACAGCCTGCGTGTACTAATACATGTTCTCCTTGGTACACCTTCGCCTTCTCGATGACGCAGATGTATGCCTGTAAAATATTTAATTGTTAATGGACGGTAATATTGAACGTAAAACTATTATGTTTTAGTTGACCTTACTAAGGTTTTTATGTGAAAATTGTGCGGTTTACTCGAATGAAATGCCCACTGACCAAAAAATATGTTATCTGAGGCAAAAATATCGAAAAGCGATGTGAATGTTTTAAAGAAGTTTAAATACAAAATTATGTTTGCACAAAACATATTTAGAATTAAAGTTAATCTTGTAGTCGGAATTATTAATGGAACCCTTGGGTTTACATGACATCAAGTAATTACGCCCCTGGAAAAATAAATTCACAATATTGTTCAGCGAAAAATGGCTTCCAATTTAAGCAATTCTGAATCTTAATCGAGTTTCAAAACTCATTTTATTTTTATACCTGGATCAAGTATCGGCATCAGAACACTATCTGATAACCTAATAAAACATGAGTGTGTTAAATAAAACATGGCTTGGACTACTTTAGTACGAAGTTCAAATTTAAAATATATACGATGAATCAATCTTTACATTAAGAAACATAATCGTGATTCAAACAAAGAAACACACAATTTTCAATGCTTTTGGATTAGATAATATCACTTGTCTGACCAACGAGGGGTTTTTCAACGTAAATAATAAAAGGAAAGAAATCAAACCCACAATATTAAAACATACACTGAACGCGTTTCTATACATACACAAAGCATAGTAGTTAGAAAAATACATCAAATAAAATCTTTAAAAATACATCAAATTACTGCATAATATTTATTTTTATGATAATTATTTTAGCAAAATAGGTTTTACACAGTTTGTTAAAAAATATCTGCCTTCAAAGTAACAAGTAACAAAAACTAACAGTATACTACTGTCAAAGAGTCATATAAGACTATCGGTCTAGAAATTTTATTCCATTCGAATAAGAACAAGCAGATAAATTGGGTCTTTCTCACTCCAGGAGTTTGAAAATGATATTTTACATGTGCAAAATGAGAAAAACTCAGTGTGTTTTTGTATACATTGAGTCAAATCAGATCTACGTTGTTTTATCTTTTTTCACTTCAAAAGTCAATTTGTTCTTTTTGGCTTTCGCTCTCTTTATACTCAAAATCCTGCGGAGGAAGGGAAAGCCTCGCATGATTTGTGTGATCGTGATCAAATCCGGATCAACAAATGTTTGCAGCTATGATTTTATCTTTAAATTATTCTAACCATTGTATAAGCCACGGGTGTGGTGGCGGCGTCCTCTAAAGTCCAGTCTGCCGGAACTGACCACATGAGTATGGGATCTGGAGTAAGAATGTTGGCTTCGGGATCCAAACTTGCCACACCCATTACCCTCTGCCCCTTCAGCACACCGGAGTAGTCCACAAACCTAAGTCCAGTCTACAAAGCAAATATTTCATCATACACTGATTCTTGGCAACACTCAGGTGCGAATACCAAATGCTTTTATAGCAGTTGACGATGATTTCGTAAATTGTAGATCAGTGGATTTACAGAAGTTTTAAGATAATTACCTACTAAACTATATTAAACTGAATTTTATTTGTATAAGGTTGTTTTAACATGTAACTGACAGAGTGTATAATCAGGTATTCTATAGAATGTCTAGGAGATCTAGATATACATATAAAAAATGATGTAGGCAATTAAATGGTATAATGAAGCCTGGTTATTTTATAGAATGCCCATCGGCACTACAGGTAAAATATACAATACACTGTTTAAGAACTTAGTTTTCTTTCCTTATTTAACATCGTTTAATCCTATCTAATCCACACTAGCAAAAGGTTAGTACGTACATAAAATATTTAAATATTGTAAAGTAGATAGTTTTTGTTAACAATAGTTTCATTCAATACTTTGCTGGTTCAACTATGGTCACTCTATAAAATACCTTAACATTATACACAATTACTAGTCAAAATAAAACTTTTTATTACCATACCAATTTCATACTTTGTGTAAAATGCCTAGTCATTCTATAGAATATCTGCATTATATACTTTGCCAGTAACATATATCGATTGTGTGTTTAACTATTATAGACGGATAGTATCAAAGAAATTCTAACTGGAAAATTTAAATAATAAAATATTTTATGACCAAAATAATAAAGGACCATGTTGGGCTGTGTTTTAAGTATTTCATAAATTGAAAAATAATAATACAATTTACAATTTCCTCATTGAATCATTTTGAAAGTTGCACACATAATGGGTTCACAAGACAAATGGACTCGACCACTTATTAACCTACTTCTAACTTAAATAATTCTACTGTAATAAATACAGTGAATAAGCGTTATATGTTTACTAAGCTGCACAAATATGGGAGGCTGGTGAAACTTATCTTTAAGAGGTTATGTACAGAATAATAAATAGTAGAACGAAATATTTAATCAATGGATTAAATTTCATCATAATAGCTGAATAACCATTAATGTGCGAATAGTGCAGTTATATATATATAAATTTGTTAAAATTTAAATAGATCAACATACCTCCTCGTTTGATGATCTGGGGTGGTACGTAAAATAGGGAGTATTCAGTCCAAGACAGTTTATTTGCAGATGCTCGATTGGGCTGGAAAATGATAATACAAATTTATATTTAACGAGTGAGATAAAACGCTTTAGCTATATTCTATAAATACTTAACTATTAGGTCTATATTCGTGATTCTTTGTAAATCTTACTATCAAGGTCTGACAGAGTTTACACATGATTTGAGGCGTATCTGATAGGACGCAAGCAGTGGGTAAAATTGGGAGATGAGGGAGTGGAAGGTAACCAAACATGGGGTGCCCCAAGGCACAGTTTTAGGCCCTATCTTTTTCTTAGTGTTTGTAAATAGTATTTGCAATGGTAAACTCAAAGGCAGATGTTTTTCGTTTGCCAACGACATAAGTCCGAGTTTTGACCAAAATAAGTTTGCCATATTTGATGAAATTATATATATGGTTTGCAAAAAATAGTATGGTTTTAAGTATTGTAAAAACTAACTTAATTAATTTTTCTTTAAAGCCTAACGAAAATACCTCTGATTAAGTGGTATATAGATGTATTAACTGTACCGCTCATTTAACATGCATCTAGGTTAGGTTAGGTTAGTTATGGACGAGCTGTTTACATGGAAGGCTCGCATTTTGCAGCTACATAAAGAATTAATTCTGTGCTTAGAATATTTTATTTTCTCAACGACATAGTTCCTTTAGATACGCATAGAAAATTTTATTAGTAATTTTTTCTCATATATTGCTCCTTGAATTTTTAATAATTTGCCTGAAAATATTAATACAGCCAGAAGCTTCTATATTCCAGAAAATGGTTAAAAATATGATGTTAACAATAAATTATGTCAAAGATATTTTTTGTTTTGACTCTTAGAAAATTACAATCCAAAATAGTATATTAATTAAAACTTATTAGAAAAATGGTGTTCAAAATATTAATTAGCTTTTATTTTTGTGTCCCTAGCAGGTAAGTTTATGTATTAAACAAAATATATCCTCTTTTGATTTTTAAGTTACAGTTCTTTTTGTTTCTGATGCTCGCAAGAGTTCTTATTTGTTTTTATTTTAAATGTATATTTTATGGGTAAAAAATTATTTTTGCACTCGATAAAACTTTATTTTAATAATGTACAATGAAGTGGGTACCTTCACCACAGCCCCCAGGTAACAGCCTCCCCCCCCTCAAAAAAGAGGTACCTATGTTTTCTATCAAATGTTTGTAAAGCTGCATTGTATTTGTGAATGTGGAAAATAACTTGATTTCTTTCTTTCTTTACCTAAGTGAGTTCACCTAAGTGTTGAAATAAAATTCGTGAAAAGACTGTCATCTACAAGAATATATTCAAGTCAAAAGATCTACTGAAATAAAACATACCTTTTGACGAGACTGTTCATGTTGTAGTTGCAGGGGTGGATCTTCTGTGAGATATACCTAAGACTCCCCCAAGAACCCCCTGAGAGAATATTTACACTCAGGCCATAGGACAATTGAGTCGAGTAGAACGAGTTCGTTATCGCGAACTGCTGAGCGTGGCGATCTTCGATAAAAACAGTTCTGAAAAATTAAATAGACTGTTAATACTTACATCCCTCATAAAAGATGGAAAAGTTGGTAAATGAGGATGGATTGGGTTTGTTCCCGCTATATATTTTAAAAATTGCTTTACAATCTTATTTTTATTTTATAACTTGATGCTTGGAAGGGGGCTTGATTTCTGTAAACAAGTGTAAATAAAACGTTTTCTGTGTTACAATTTGATTGTTCTATAATGCGCAACTAAGGTGGCTTTGGAACTGGATATAAATGTTGAGTCATTAAATAATTGTTTTGAGCTACAATTTAATTCCACTGCTAGATTTAACACTAGGAGTATCATTGCTATCTAAAGGCACCTTTACCTGATTCTGTAAGCGAATGGCTCTTTCGAGAGTGCTGGCAAAACCTGTGTCGGTGTCAACGATTGCGTCACTACAACAATCGGAAGAGCGTTCACTTCCTTTTTGACAATATTTCTCAAGTCGTTCAGCCATCCTGAAGTTTCGGCCTTGTATACTTGTAGTTTAGTTTGAGTTGGTGCCTGAAATTTAAAAGATTATATTGTTGAGTAAATGTTTGTAAATTGATAATATTTTTAAAATGCTCATTTTTAGGAAAATTTATAATTATTAAGGGTAATAATAAATATTAATATTATTGTTAAGGGTTCAATAATTATTGTAAGATAATTTTTTCTAGAGGACAGATTAATTTTTTGCGTTCACCTGGGCAATAACTCAAATAATCAACTGTGGTAATTTGGTTGACATGATATTTCAAATTGAGAACATGATATGTTTGTCAATTGACAATTTTCATGTTCTATATGTATATGTTTCGTCTAATTTAATTTTTGAGTATAATAAAGAGATTACACATAGTAGATTACACAAGGTCTAAATAGCAAATCCCTTAAACCTTTAAAAAGCAAATCTTAAACTAACTCAACTGAAAGAATTAGGTAGAACCTAAACCATTTTTGTTACCTACGACACATAATTTAACCATATACACATAATATAATAAACGTTATCAGCAATCTGACACATACTTTCTCCCATTAGCTTGTCAACAACCTTTATCATGGGAAGCGATGAGAGTAACTATGATATTTAATAGGTAAAATCACAAAAGTTGCATTAACTTTTGAACCGTAATTTTTATAAAAATGGGTGGGGTTGCACTATTTGGTTTAGAATTATAAGTACCATTACAGAAGAATTTCGATCATATTTCGTAAAAAAAAGTTATTTCTCCGTTTTTTTTTCAGTGGGAAAATAACATAAGTTACAATAACTTTTGAACCGTAATTTTTACAGGAATGGGGGGTTGTACTATGTCGTTAAGAATTATAAGGATTATTACACACTAATTTCAATCAAAACGGTTTTTCTTTTTACTTTTCAGACCATTTTACTTTTTGTGATATATCCGCTCAAAACTCAAACTCGAAAATTTTGACAAAAACAATACTTTCTCCATATACTATGGTATAGGGGGAGAAAATAAAAAGAGGAAGATATAATTGAGACAATATTAATAATATATCGATATTCTAACTATACCACTATATTCTACAACATAGCTTTGCAATCAAAAGTACACAACCGGAATATAAATTCAAAGTAAATGCGACGCACTTAGAGAAATGGTTACCACTTACCTTCTTGAGCAGAGCGAGTTTCCCGGACTCAGTTTGGTGTACTAAAATCAGTTTTAAGCTTTGATCGTACTTTGGAGAACCATTGTTGTTAAGATGAGTGATCAAGTAGACATTTCCAGATTCTCCACTCTGCTTTACCAAATTAGATATAATGTTGTACTCCCCTACTACAATTATACTACTCCTCCCCGAACTCTTGACTTGTTCCTTAGCCGTTTCCTGATCAACTTGCAAAATCTTCAGCTAAAACACAGTTTTAAAGTATTCACAAATTTGCATACGTTATTTGATCTAATATAAGAAATAACTTAACCTTTTGATTCATATTATTACTACTTTTAGCGAATTTCCCTATAGGCAAGTAGCTATTACCGTAGGCTGCATGGTAAGATCTAGAGCCAAGACCGATTTACTTTTTCATTTTGATGTCCCCAGAGGCCAAAACACTAATCATTCAAATTGAATGAGACCGTAAACACGAGAACTCGAGTAATTTTGGTCCGACTTTGATGACATTTTGTGTGAAGGTCATCAAGGCTGGATAAACTTGAATGAGTTCGTGAACCTGCAAGATCGGGTCATAGGAATCAGGTATTATGGAGTTTTTAAATAAAAAAAAAAACTTTTTTCCCAAAAACATCAAAATTCCCAATTTACATTACAGTTATCTCGTTGAGTTCATAAAACGAATAACTTTGAGTATTGCAGCGATGTTGTAAAATTAAAAGTTATGGGCAGAATTCCAAAATAACTGTTCATTTAAGATTCTCAAGTTATTTTTATGGAGAAAAAGAAAACTGTCGTGGTATGCTGGTTTGTTTTATGTTGTTGTGTTTTCGTTAGATGTATGATGATCGAACTTTTCAAATTTATTTATTTCATCCTACTCTATGAACACTTGGTCAAAACACAACCTTTTACCTTTCCGTAGCAGCAAACCTAAGTACTCGTTGATTGAAATGTTTTTTTTTATAGTAGAATAAAGATGTATTGTTTATGGAAATATTTTAGTAAAAATCCAATCAGACTAATTGAAATTCGCTTAGTGTGCAGGTTTGCTGTGGTGTATTTATATTAATCTAGAGGTAAGTAATATCAATTGTAGCTTTAGCTTAAGTTGGTGAAAATATTTAACATAATGTATACTAACAAAAATTTTAATCACTGCTTTGTTTCAATGTGCTCGATTAAACATAAAACAAGTGCCCAACTTAATTTTGAGCAAGTATTTGCGTGAACAGTTTGACAATTATAACGTTTATTTCCTTTAGAAAACAACCTTCGTTAAACTAAGAGGCATTCCGAATATGAATTACCTGTATATTAGGTCTATAGTTGAATTTGCTTTTCAGCAGCTGCGTGTATTGGGAGGACGAGTCGTCGTCTGTTTGAAGAACCAAAACTGTGATTGTGCATGAATCATCCTTCCAGGCATTGAACCCATCTTCTGCAGCCGTATGGACACTGCTTGACAAGAAGTCCTCTGCCTATAACAATACGTAGGCTACAGTATCGTTACTGTTGAATTGGAGAATTTCCGAGTTTTGAAAGAAGACTGAAATAAATTAATTATTGTGCTTTTCATTTTAAGTAACCATTAAACATATGCAAAAGTGTTAAGGTCGATTCACACACATCAGTTACGGCACGTCTCCGGCGCAGGTCAGTCAGTCAATTTAAGATTTCTTCCCACCGATATGTTTAGATTGTTCGGGCGCCTGATTGATGTGTTTGAGCTTAGAAAATAGTATTTTTGTTATTTGAACGATTTTTTATATATTTTAAGTACTGTTTGTAACAATCATCAAGATGGACGATGAAACTTTGATATAATATCATGTTTTAATTAACAATTCTTGACTGTAAAATCACTATAAGTACGGTGACGGAAGACTGACTGAAGCCAACTGGCAGACAGTTGTCTGAGGAATTCGGATGCAACTAAGACTGAACTGTAACTGTACTGTAATGGAACTGTGACTGGACTGATATATGTGAATCGACCTTTAGACGGAAGTCTATTATTAAACAATTCAATGCTGTAATTATATAATAATACTTTAGCGGGCATATTAAAGCATCATCAATTAATTATTACCTGACTTCAAAACAGATATCTCAAGATAAATTACTCTTATTTCTTTTTAATTAGAATATTTAATTTAGGTTTATACATTAAATAATTTATAAAACACCATTAGTGTAACTCTGAAGTATCTTTTTTCAGTGGTTTGTGCATACATTTACACAGTAGAACTTGATTTCGAGTATTTCAGATTGATTTACTCACGAGAACTTTTTCATCAAAGTAAGGCTGAAACTTCAATTCGGACCAGGAGAGTGAGGGTGTATCATTAATTGCCGCTGGACTGAGGGAAGTTCCATAAATCTCTGCTCCTTGACACACAAGTCTGTTGCTGGATGACTTGTAATAAACTTGTAATTCCGTGTCTGTAAAGGGGAATTTCTGTAATATTGAATATGGGAAGAAAACATGAACACTACCAGATAGGTTTAAATCACACATTTTAAAAGAAATGCCATGTGGTTGAGAAGTTTTAAATGCGTATTTTAAATGAATAAAACTCCAAGCCTTGTGAAGTAGCGATAGCAACTCGCTGAGCTCGTATTTATTGAATTTCCTAAATGGTGGTGGTGAATAACTGCTCTGAAAAAATAGTTTTTTTTATCCATACTAACCAGGTGGGGTAGACATCAAAAAGGGGCCATCGATGACGATCTTAGTAAAAGACTGCGGAAGCAGTAGTGACCCATGTTCTCGAGACTTGAATAAAACGATGATTTTCATCAATGCGTCAAGGAATGTGATAACATTTCCACTCCATCTCACCTTTGCCACACATTCTGTAATTACAAAAGTCATAAGTGTATATGTTTAAATATGTTTAAATATGTTGCAGTAATTCTGGCTACTGGTATTGTAATATGCAATATCTCGCATTACTAGCACTTGTACAGCCTTTAAATAGAAGAATATTAATTAATTGTTGTATACACTGACTTTCTTAGTTAATATCAAGAACATTTCTAAATTAAAGATAGACTCAGTTTAATGTATTGCATCGACCAACTCAAATGAACACTGGCGTATAAATCATATCAGTAATGATTACCATTTTATCACATTTTGGGTGATCTCGTTATCAGAGTATTTCGTAGTAGTCTTCTCAAAACGAGAATTCATAGAGTTGTTTCATCTTTATATTTTATGAAGCTAACATCATTAAGCAAAGATATGTCACACTGTCTTAGCACAAATGTTTTCCTGCATAATATGATTTATATAACAATCTGTTTTACATCATGAATTGAATCAATGTTTTCAACATAGGTTAACGGTCACTTAATCTTTATATTTATTATTTAAATAGTGTAACAAATAATAACTTTTACAATTACTTAGTAAGTCGACTAATCTTATAGGTAATAATTTTAATAATTAAACTCCTGTAAATAAACTTATTAAGCTTCGCTTTTAACGATTTTAACTATCCGTAATTAATTTAAGCGGTTCGGTTAGTCCATAACTCGGACCAAAAGGTCGACCTTCATCAGACGCTTAATCGTAAAATGCCCTTGTATACCTTATACCTTGTATACCTTGCATACCTTGCATACCTTGCATCCCTTGTATACCTTGCATACCTTAAAAGCCAAGCCCAAAGTAGGGTGCTAAACAGTTCAAGTAGTGCCCTACCTCTAAAACACAAGGGTTGGTGGGCTTAAAGAGTAGAGCTTTGAATCACCACGTCATTCACGCAAATTATTAATAAATTCAATACTAAAATCAAACAAAGTAAAAAGATAACACGAAATAAGAATGACCTTTACCCTTAGATCCGATGTAGAGTTTTTTGATGTTTTGGAACAATGGTCCCAAGTCACAACCGAGTTCGGAAAGCATGATGTAAACGTCGCTCTCAGATATTTCCTCCATCGCTGATACGTCCTTGACCTCAGGTACCTGTATAGGCTGGGGTTTATCACACTCCATCAATTGTCCACTCATATAAACGTTAAATGGGCTCATTTCTGACACCATGAACTTTTTTGACGTGGGTGAGCAAGTACACAGGAGCTTCTTTTCTGTAAAGCAAAAAGCTTAAGCTATAATATATTGAGTAGACACAATCTCCTCTGTACAATGTTAATAGATACGTAGTTATGCTTATTTTTTATATTCTAATCTATATTGTTAAATGGGATATGATTCACATTTATTCTTCCTATGACTTGAGACTAAACAAATGTAATTTTTCCCTCCGAATCACGTGCAGTATATAAAATGAAAGCTGCACATACAGGGTTGACAACTTAACATTGGCATCTCAGTAATTAAAAGATTCAGAGCAATCCTTGAAATGGGAACATTAAACTGAAAAAATATCTATTAAGATTCTCTACAAATGGCACACCATTTATCGATATAGCAGCTGACTTCTAAATTTCTTATGGGCTTACCTTGGCTTGAATGATGTTTTCAGTATGTGAATTGAATACACTTTTTACTGCCAAGTTTTTGGGGTTCATTAAAAAAACTAACATGTTCTAAATCTAATCCAAATCCAAAGGCGACACCTTGTGTCCTGAAGAAGACAGCTAAAAAACTATCAAATCCGGTTGCCTTAATGGGACTACACTAATCACCCGACAGTAAAAAGTACACAGCTTTTACTACATTCAAAAAGTACGAGTTAAAAAGTTGTAATAGTATTTATACTCATGTCATTTTAAATATTTTTTAATCAAACAGTGATAAAATTTTATGCTATTTATTAGTAGAGCTTACTAGTATTTTCTGTAAATTACTAACATTAAAATAAAACATGTCTACTATTTTAACGAAAGTGAAACATTAATTTGAGTTTGTTATATTCTATTTGACACTGTTACTGTGACTGTGAGTATTCTACTTGTTCTCACCGAGCTCGTCGACGGTATTGCTTCCCGCAACAGTAATATCCTCTATTATCGTGAACTGATTCTCAGCCTGAAGTTGTTTTAAAGCTAACAGCATTTGCAGTGGATATATCTGTAAAATAAATTACCCATCATATCATCCACAACTGGTTTGGATAAACTTTAAGCTGGAATTACCCAAACATCTGAAAACGGTCATAACTAGGTCTTTTCTTACCTCATATTAATATTGGAAATCAGAAAGATAATGCTGTATAAGAGACCAAACACCAAATGTAACTTTGGTAATACTTAGTTTGCTTGTAAATCCGCACCAATCGTTGCTAAGGTTATATAACCTTAGGGATAGCCAGCCAATGTCAATGATCCAATTTGTATTTATTTAGTATAACTTATATAATGGCCTGTGAACGTATTCAAAATTTCTTATATCGTAAGTTGCTACAATGCTAGTAAAAATAGCATACATTAAACCAGTCATAATTCTTGGACAGAACAATAATCATCCTCTTAAGTCTTTTTTAGGATTATTAATCATTCAAATCCTTTTGTAATATCAATGCAATATGATTTTTGTTTTTTTTTAGCACATGTGTCTTATTTACTAGAAAAACGTTTAAATACCACATAATTACTTAACTCAATTTAACCGCTTTATCAGTTTCATTTTATTTTTTAGCCAACTGAAATATGTTGAAAATGTATTCATTCCACTATTCTTTCTGTGTAATATGTGCAAAAGACTTCTCGTGAACTGGATGGCACAACGCTTCTATGGCACTGTAGGGCGCAGGCCCTTGGTAGTTTCCTTAAGACCAGTATATGCTAGGTGTTATCGTGCTCGTTGTTCCTTTGTAACTTACCAGCATCTGAGATATCGGCACCACAACTTTTCCTGCCATTCTGTGGTCATTCCAAATGCGGTACTCCGGGACCGTGGGATGTAACCTAATCTCATATTCATAGAGACCTTTTCTGGCGTTCTGTAACAGTGATACAGGTTACTGCAAATTGTTAAAGAATAAATGTTAACCCTTACCTAATCTGATATTGTCTCGACTTCTTCAAAGCGAATTTCGGAAATATTTAAGGAAGTTGAGTTCTTTGAATACTCGATACCATAAGAAGTGCAAGAACTTCTTGTGAATATGGCCTTCTTTTTTGTAACGTGTTATCTAAATAAATTACCATCCGTGATGTTTATGGTTTGAAAAGAGACCAGTTACTGCAGGAGAAACAAACCAAAGCGTAAGAGCTCTATCCACACTAGTGTACAGGGTACTTAAGTCTAATAAATAATAACCACTCCGAATTAAATGTCAATTTTTCAAAAACTTAGGACTCTGACCTGACTCTCCCTTCATGGACAAAAGATGTGACAAGGTTTAAAATATTCGTTTTAGAGTACCAAATATATCTTAATTTTTACTATAAAACCTACCGTTAGTGGTTAAAATATTTTTAGATATCGGAAAATGTACCCTCTTTTATATTCATTAGTCCAGCAAAATCTAACTCCTCTTTTAATAAGTAAATCACTTTACCATTTTGATGATATCACTGAGTTCCCCGTAGAACTCCTCTTCGTGGTCCCAAGTAGCCAAAGTTGAAATACTGGGTGTTCCACGTGCGACGGGGTACTCCACCTTGGGGAATAGAGCATTTATATTCATGCTCACGCCGCTCAAATAAAGCCTAAAACAGAAATCACATAAGAAAACATAATAAAATAAATTATTTATTATACCTGAGAAATAATTAGTTAGGTTTGGCATTGTCATCGAAAACATTGAAGACATAAATATATAATATATTGTAAAAGGAAAAACATCCAGTTATATTTTTTGTGTGTGACAAATCTAATCAAATGTTTTAATTTACATTATTGGATAACAGTTTTGAAATAGAATGATGTTTTCATGCCTTTGTTCTTTTGCTAAAAGAATTTTTGATAACGTTTGATTCCAATGACATAAGTAAGTTAAACATTAATTGTGAATCACTTTTTTTTACTCTACTTGGTAACATCTTATTTTTTTTAAACACTCTGGAAAATACTTACTCTCCTACACATTTTAGTAGATGGACTAGATTTGACTCGACAGTCCTACTTGTGGTGGATAAAGTCAAAGAGTTCGGGCTGATAGACCGTCTCAATATCGCTTGCAAAAGGCCGTGGGGTGCGATCTCGACGAGTATTGCGTTCTGAAAAGGCAAAGTAGATGATTAAATGTAAACCCCTGAAATGAGTTCTCATAACGCAACGTGATTTAATAAATTTCCAAGGCATGTTTGTAGGTTGAATTTTTTTGTAGGAAATATTTTGAGGAACAATTATCTAAAGTAAAGGAATATTTTAAAATGTTGGCGACATTTTTCACCTTGCATTTGCCTATCTACATATGCTACAAAGGCCTGTGCCTAGAATGTATCCAGCAAAGCAAGCGGTGAGCTGGTGCAGTACTAGGGTGAATTGTACTGATAAAAAGTCGTAGTAGGTACCAGGATCCGAACCCATGACAACCCTGCCTTATGCTCTAAGTCCGTGGCGCTACCAACTGAGCCATTTACTCACCTATATTATAAATTGGTGAGTCAATTACAATTTTGTCTTATTTTCGTGTATGTGAACACATACACGAACATAAGACAAAAACACTACAGGCCTATTGTTCTTTGTCTTGGGCTCAAGCCAATGGTACATATAACTACAGTTTGACTTAATCTTTACTGATTTTAGCAGGACATTGTGTTCCTTGTACACAGGTTTAAGCTATACCTACCCTAAGGCCGGCAATTTAATAACAACTTTTTTGTTTAGTTTTTTAATTCTGAAAATAATGTCAACAACACATAATAATACAATATATTTAAATAATTTTCAAAATATCATCTAAAAGTAAAAAAGTCGCATAGCACAATCTTAACCCTATTATTTTTTTTAGTAAAAAGGAGATTTAGTGTTTGGGGTCATAAAAATATGGTTGCTTATAACAACTTGCGTGACGTTGGCAGTTTTAAACTATAGAATGCAAACAAATTCATGTAACCGCTTACAGTCCAATGATCTTTGAAGTCAATACATGTGTTAAATAGTAAAGAATATTTGGTTGCTCCCATCGGATCATCAACAGTGAATAAAAGTAAATTTACACTTCCACACCTGATATAATTATTTAAAATTATCTACTTAGGTACGTTACTAAAAGGATTATAAACAGATATCTTGTGAAGCTTAAAATATCTAAGTCCTTTATGGACTTTATGTCCATAAGAAATCCTACTCAAACGAGTACTCAAAAAAATAGTATACGATCAAAAGTCGGCGCTTTCCACATTCAGTGTACCGATAAAGAATAAACGCAGAGTATACTAGTCAGTATAGTATAGTCAGAGGTTGAGGAGTGTTAATTCGTGCAACTTTAAATTTTCTGTTGTAACAGTCCGGAACCCATTTCGTGGACCGTAGCTTACTTACTTCAAAAGCACAAAACTGACATGTTTACATTCAAACCTTTTCGTTCCAAAAACACAACTTATTAAAAATAAATAAATAAAACTAAAAAAAATTAATGTGCTCGCTGAGTAGCTGAGTGGTTATAGTACTCTCCTGACTATCAAAAGGTTGCCGGATTGATAGTGAGTCATTAGTGTTTTTATGGTTCAAAACTGGACCAAGCAGTCCCTGATAATTGAAACAAATGACCCTGGCTAATAAGCTGGCAGCTGATCTTAGTCAGTAACAAAGCTACACAGGTCATCTCACTCTAATGCACACTCATCCTACACTCATATTTGGGTTAAAATACACACCTAGGGGTCGTTCCCGTTTTAATTAAAAATGATTATGATACTTACATCAGGTAAATGAGCGCAACCTTCTTCAAAGTAGACGGGGTTAAGTAGGTTGTTTGTATGGTACTCAGGAGAGCACATTTTCACAGTCTCTGTGTTCCATTGAGATTGTGGTGCTGATGTGCATATCCATTTGCTGGACCGAGGCTTGGGATTGGGCACCGTCTGGAAACATGTAAAATGTAAACAACTACATTTTCCATAGTCAGGTTTGTAAAGTGGGCGAATGAAATTAACTTTCCCATATTTGGGTAATTCCAAGATATGAAGTATTTAAACTAAAAATAAGTAACTACTATACTTGTTTTATGTATTTATCCAGAGAAAAAAATTATTTGATCACTCATTAAATATAATTCATTTTACACCAGCCTAAGTGGAATATTGCCCCCAATTTTCAAGATTCCGTTTTACACAAATATATGCCAGTATGGGCTTTGCAATAAATAATTAAGTCTTTGCGATATACTCAGTTGTTGAGAAACAGAATAAAATGATGCAAGCTAGTATTTTGCAATTTCTTCATCACGTATCGCCTCCGAAGGGTTCACGGTCAACGGTGTAGCGAAACATGGTTTAAAAACCCCGAAATTGTGACTAATCCTGTTTAATTAAGATGTTACAATGAACAAGTTGGTGCCAGACGTAAATGCACAGTTCGCCAGGTAGACAGTCCCGTCCTAATTTTTGTTTACAAAGCAGCACTGGGGTGGCCGGCATTCCCCTTCTCTTCTAAGAAATTCGAATTTACTGTTTTCCCTGAAATGCCCTGCAATATAACTGGGTTATGTCAATAAGGGGGCATCGTAGAACTGTGATTCAAATTTTGTCTTATTTGTCTACTATTTACAGGAAAATGAGTCTACTATAGACGGAAAAAATTAGTCATATTTTTTGCTGTTGGCCTAATGGATCAATTGATTAAAAATTCTAGTAGGACATGGCATTTCGTGGAAGAGAAGGGGAATGCCGGCCACCCCAGCACTGTTTTGTAAACAAAAATTAGGACGGGACTGTCTAAACAACTGTGCATTTACGTCTGGCACCCAGGTAGTTGGTACACCATTATTGTACCAACTGTACAATAATGACTGACTTTTGATGATAATCTGCTTATAATTTGCGTGAGAGTTTAATAGCATACGTAAAAAAATGTGGTTGTGCTTATTTAAACAGGTAATCACAAATCAACAAGACATTTCTAATTTTATTATAAGTACTAAAACTATAAATCATAAATATATAAATCGATATTTTAATTCTAGCTTTGCGGTTTTACTTGTAATAACAGGTAAAAATGTATATTTACCTCTTTTAATGCTTTTAGTAGCTTTGGAGCGATGGGTTTAATATACCTAGAGTGGTATGCGATACCGCCTGCACTGACCGTCCTGGCAAACACGCCTTCGGCGTTGAGTTTCTCGACAAAGGTGTTGACGTCTTCCGTAGGTCCGGAGATTGTACAACTGGTTGCTGAGTTGTGACAGGCTACGTCGATTGTTGGCGGTAGCTTGTCCTTGATTTCGTTATAGCCGAGCCCTAAAATAAGCAGACTAAATGACAAATCTTTTAAACATAAAACCTAAAAAATGTGGACGATTATATTTTATAGAAATACGTTAGTTATTTCTGATCCAATATTCAATCCAATTCAGTAACATCCACAGGTCTGGGCGTCCTGATATGGTTTCAGCACTGACGTGGGTAATTCCTTAAAGTTTTAATTGGAACGAGGCAACAATCAGGCAAGCAGATGTGAGGCTAGTACTAAGGCAGTTAATATAATAGAAAACTACTGCCAATGGGCAGTAAAATCATGATCAAACTCATGAGTGTTAACTCGGGTTAAAGCGCTGGATCTGGATTCTAACTGGCAAGATCAGTGTTTCAGGTAGACCATTTATTTAGGTCGGAAGAAGGATAGTTATTTTATCAGGTTGGTGATGTAAACAATGGATCATCACCAAGACATAAACGTAATATTTTCGGCACTATATGTAGTTTCTAATTAATTAGTTTTACTATACATTATGAACAGCTGGTTACATTATTTGTTTTAAGTATTAATCCTCTGACCAAATTAAAAAATCTCACTACTAAAAATAAGGTATGCATGTAAGTCAGAATAATTTCGATAAAAGGGTGTTTATTATGGTTGTAGGACAATCAGTTTCATGGTCTACGGTCGTAAGTATTTTAGCGTTGTTGGACAATCAGTCCCACCCAACCTACATTATTCCTGCATTTCAAAGATTGAAATAAGTTCTGCGTATTTTTACCTGATTTTCAAGCGTTGGACAACCAGTTCCAGACAAACGCTGCATATTAGTGCCACCTTGAACTCTCATTAGTACTGAGACTGACTGTCTACGCAGCTTAGGCCAAACAGGTAAGAAAATCTCGGTTTGATTTTAATCCTGGGACTGAACGTCCGTCTCTCATGTAATAGTCTTGCAACGCAAAGACTGTAATTACCATCTTTGCATCTTGCATGAACTTTTCCAATTTTAAAAGAGTTTTTGTACATTGTGTAACTTTTCCTAAGACCCATGACTAATTTACTTTCTGAGCAATCAAAATTAAAACCACTTTGAAGGATCCTTACCAACAGCGGCCATAATTCCTTTGACGTAACCGTCTGCCAGAGAGTCCAGACTGGCTTTTCCCCTGGCGTAGGCAGCTAGGATCGTCTCCTCAGCGGTAAAACAACCATCTGCGTAGGCACAGCCTAACTCTCCCACGGAATGGCCAATGATTCCATCCGGAATTATTTCTAGCTTCGTCATAACGTCAACAAGTCCAATCTAAAAAAGAGATGGTAAAGTTTACTATATTTTTTTTATGGATACAAACTTCTGATACATTTCACAACTTCTGCAATTAATTCAATTAATTCCTGCAATTAATTCCTGTAATTGATTCATCAATATTGGTGGAGGAGGGGATGAATCGACGCACACAGGTGACCAGTCCGTAGTGTGGGACTCCTGTGGGTTTAAGACCCGTAAACCAACAAAAACAACCACAAGCCAGTAAAAACCTCATTTACAATCCAGACACTAGCCTGGGAACACTTGTTGAACTTCATCAGAACTAAGGCTAGTTTGGCTTGGAGGATGTTCCGAAAAACGTGTGACCAGCAGTCCCGGTTACCCTCAACCTCTATCATACTCTTACAAACTGATTCAACCGACATCCCAACCCCCCCCCCCCCCGCAAGACTACCTGTCCTTCCGGATATCCAAATGAGGACAGTGGAAGAACGTGTGTTCTTGGTGTTATTAGAGTTACGGATTGTATACTGGCCATGCATAGCCAACCATGGTATTGGCGTTTAAATTTTTCAGATTGCAACTGTTACCATTCAAAAGACAAAAGACTCGTCTATGAAAGTTTTTATCAAACTTCGACTCATTCTTATTTAGAATTGTCTTGATATTCATTAGTAAATTCTATCAAAGCGATCAACACAGCTTTAAATACCATAAATACCTATTAAGAAAATGCACGAACTACCCTCGTATCACTAAAGTAAAGTAAAATGATCTATGATTAAAATTTCAAACTACTTACCTGTACTGCGGTTATTCCAACAAAACAGTTCAATATATTATCAAAGGTAGTTGCGACATCACTGGACAAAATATCAACAATGTCCAAGCCCTTAGGACGAAGAACCTTGTCGCATCTTATTATGGACGACGCAAACTCTGGAATTTTCATTAGTTCTTTTCCCATTCCTGCCCATTGAGAGCCCATTCCAGAAAATATAAACCATAAAGGCCTCTTTGTGGCAGAATCAATTTGCTGTGGAAACAAGAAGCTTCTTTAGTTAAAGTTAAGATAGCAAATAGTTAACAAAAAAAGAAGTGGTGGCAACTATTCCACATAACTGATATAATAATTAATATAAAAATTTGGTTTTTACATATATGTTTTTCATTCATGATAGAATAGCTTTTAAAACCATCATAATTACTTTGCATTTGCAATAACAATAACAGTTTTATTTTATTTGTGTATAGGCCTACTTTCATCAATAATTTCTAAAACACGATGTTTGAAAAACGCAATAATAATACATTTGCTTATGCCAGTTTGCTGTCACAAAGGTATAATCAACATATACTTTTGTAATTCACGCTAAATAAGTATTTAAAACCAAATTCAATCAAATAAGCTGTAAATAATTATTTATATGTTTTATATTCTCGACTAGTCATTCCATACAAAGATCATAAACAGGAGAATGTATTTACAATTTGATAATTATAGATACTGGTTTGAAAACTTTTAATAGTAATACAGAAAAATTTCTAATTACAGAACAGAAATATAGTTTATCTAAAATATTTTATAGATAGCTGTTACTTATCGTCATACCTGATACTTGACAACTGGTCTATCCTTAACTGTAGGGAGAATAGAGTATCCTCTCCACAGGTAGGCAGGGATAGGTGAGTTGAACGCTTCATTGACCAAAGATACATATTCAACGTCCAGAGGCATCGCTGCCACCTGAAGTACATAGAAAAGTAATGGCGAGTATAATGTTGTGCATATATATTTTGCTAACAATCTAGCCTACTTACGTCTGTTTGTTTAACCCATTTAAACCATAAGTGAAAGTGTTCCATGTAATTAGACTGTCCTGCCAAAGAGTTAAAATCAAACAGTTTATTTTATTTTATAATGGGAATAAGATCCAGTTGATGACAGTTTACTCAGATGCGCCAATCAGTGGGTGGTAGGCTCAATCAACAACGTTGGAACATAATGTAACAAGTACAAAAACAAAAACTTGGCTTCCGAATTTACAGTGAAATATGATTTAAAAATCAATTCTCACCTTTTCGCAAACAGTTTTGGCTCCTTGTTCGTTCCGTGCCTGTAGAGTCACCAATCTGTAGAGACCATCTGGTGGTAGCTCCTCCGGTGCCAAAATGTTCTTTTTGGCTCTTTCGTGACGTTGGAGGACAGCATGACCAACATGACCAAAAGCACTCATAGTGTTTATTGCAACCAAGTCTCCGGACAGATCTGTAGTTTCTGTCACGGCCTGGAACATAACAAAGATACTGATAAAGAACGTTGTTAGAACTGCGTTGCGTTGAAATAAAATATAAATAAACAAAAATATGTAAGAAGTTTTGTGGACTGTAAAATTGTGTACATTGAGAAATCAATGAATAGAACAGGTGTTAATTAAAATAATTTCAAATACAAATGTCAACATAGTGGAAATCAGAATTTATGGAACTATGACAAAGAGTGTCAAACAAACGTCCTTTAATAAAAAGGGTGTATTATGAATTGCATGGTTTTATATAAAGTGTTTGTTTTGTAAATGTGAGTAAGAATAGTTTTCGTCCTTCGTAAGGAACCGTGTTCTTATCCTTATGATACCTAAAAATGGTTCCATGTAAACCAAAGCTAGTTAAACAATACGGGTATTTATTTTAGTTTGGTGAACAGTCGTTTCTTTTATTTTGTTTTTCCAGCCAAATTCATTTCTTGAACATCAAAACAATTTTTTCAATGAGTGGTTTCAGAAAATCATAAAGATTTACGTTTGTCCCACTTTCATTCACATCCTATGACGCTAGTTCTTTTCCGAAACTTTTTTACACATTATTTCAGACTAGTCCTAGAGGGTTGTGGCATTGTCATATGGATAAAATCCATTGTTGGTTGGAGGGATTAGAAACCAAGACCTCGGCACTGAAGCCCCGTGCTATACCTCTGGACCAGCTCGCTCCCTCAATAACCGTAATATCTCGTCAAGATAATTCGTAATATTTTTCCAGATCTTACAAAGGACGTTAAAATATTTTGACTTTTTGTCATTTACGAATGCTGAACATCGTAATAAAACACTTGATTAGTTGCCAGAATAATGTTTGTTTTAATATATCAAGAATAAGAACCTTAGTTTTTAAATGTTTAAACTTTAGTTCGAATGTGAATAATAAAACTGTTCGATTAAATTAGATTATACATTTATAAAATAGACAGAAGGCTTCAACTTAGATGAGCTATGTCTATATGGTCTTTGTTTAATATTTTTCACAGTTTAAAAATCGTAGCATTACATTTTAACATTTCAAATCTCTCAAAGTCTCTCGTTGTATATTTCGAAATATTTACCAGCGAACAAACAAAACCTTTGAATTTATGAAAAAGTAGATATTCCATTCCCAAGTTAAAGTAGTAGATAGTTTTAGAATCAAGATACACGTTTGAATTGTCCCTCCAAAAGATTGTACTGTAGTCAATTTCTGATCTATAATGTATGTACACCAATTTTAACTAAGTTAAAATGGAAGGTCAGTATACTGTACAAGCTGACGAGTGTTTTATAGGAAGCTATCAACTACTAAGAGAGAAAAAAATAATAAAATTTTGATGTTAGCTCACTTTATGAGAGGCTTATGAGTAAATTGTGACCACTGCTGGTAGAGATGCAATGTCATCCATGGATTTTAAAAGACAATACTAACACACAAAATCAGTTTGATAATAGTTGATTCCAAATGTGTTTCTGTTCATTGAACTTAGATATTAACCTGTAATTCAAACTAGAGAACTCAAGTAATTCAATAGATGTACTGCTACTTTTATTAGTTTATTAATTTTAAAGTTAATACATAGTATGGTAGTCAATTTAAGTATACAGTACCATAAGGTACTATTTTATAAACCTCATTACGCGTTTGTACATTTCATAAAACCTAGTTGTAAAAAACAAAAAATTTTTTAGTTTTTTTGTCCTGGGACGCTAGGTACGAGCCCGGGATTGTTTTTCACATTACTTTAGGCTAGACCTAGGGGTTGCGGCATTATCACTTAGATAAAATCCATTGGGTGGGATTTGAACCCGGGACCTCGGGGTCCGAATTCCCGTGCTTTATCCACTACACCAGCTTGCTCCCCAACTACAAATTTACTGCTACAAATTTATACTACAAATTGTATAGTACCACTATAGGAAAAAGTTATTAATAATCAAGTACTGATAAATATGCAATGCATTACAAAGCAAGCATGTGTATTGTGTAACTATGGTTTATTACATATAATTAGAAGTAAGAATATTATGAAGAAAATCTTACTACTGTAGATGTTGCTCAATCAACTGTTGATATTTGGCAACATCAATACTATATTCTCTTCTTATAATGGCGAGCTTTGACTGGACCAGAAAATAATTATCTCAATCTCCACTCAACTCATAAAACCAAATTATAACTTGCAGTTGATTAAAGTTAAACACTTATGAAAGATATGTGAGGCTATCAGCTATTATTCAGATTAATTTTATTTCAATAACACATAAACTATATTTAATTTAGGGCGATGAATTAAAATAATTAGAACAATATTGAGGATTAGATGTATAAACGTATTTTATCCTGGTAAAACCAAAGTTTACGAATAACTTAGAGTTAGGTTTATGTTCATTATTATTATGTGTTATTCAAATTAATGGTAGGCCATGTGGGTATCAACGCTCGCTGCTTATTTCATATCAGAAATATATGGGTTCTACCTATAGTTAGATTTTGTTTTGTATTGGACCTTTAGTTGCTATTTTACTTAGTAATGATGACAGTGTTTGAGACAACCCCTTACAGTTATGTACGAGCCTACAAGTATTTTGCTTTTGATAAGTAAATAGTTTGCAGTATATATTCGCTTTGAAAAACATATTTCTATACAAATAAATTGTTATATGTATAGCAAATTAACAGGATCTGAAATAAAATACCTAGCATAATGCTTGCTTTATTAGTAAAGTATCTTTGGTTGGCTTTGCGTAATTTGGGAGATCTATAAAATATAAACAGTTCTGCTCTATTTCAGATGCCTATATTTGTAACTATAAAGATATACCATAGACAAATAGAATTACATATAGACCGTCGGTTACCATAGGTTCTGGCGCACACCGCTGGGAGCGCCATGTATTACACGGTGCTCCCAGCGGTGTGCGCCAGAACCTATGGTAACTATGTTAACCGCAGCATGGCTGACAGTCTATATTTAATTATTTTTTTCTATGGATATACCTACAGCTTAGGGTGATATAATATGAATACCGGGATATGACATTGTCAAAGCTGAATTCAATTGCTGTCTCTGTCTGGTGGGATTTCCCCCCTTGACACTAGTGACAAGCACATAAATATAAAGCTCGTAATATCAATATTGTCGCATCTTTACTGTATGTTATTCATCTAAACTCTCGAGGGCAAAAAAATAAAACTGTTCATGCAATCATCTGTACTACATTTACCAAGTCTTTATAGAGAGACCTTTACCAGGTCTCTAAATTAAAATCAAGGTGGGTTGCGAAGACACCCCACCTAGTTTAATTCTTTAAGAGCCTTTAATAAATCATTGGGTGAATTAAGTTTCACTAAAACAATTAAATCACTTAAGTTACCTGTTTCCCCTACAAGATCCAAAAATTGAATGGTAACGAAATTACAAATTATTGTAGGGAGGAAATGACATCCATGGAAGCTACTTATACAGATTACGAAGTACATAATTCCATAGCATTTAGACATGCTCCAAGCAACGGTAATGCCTCAAATAGTAACTGGTCACTCTTTAAGGAACAAAAGCATTCAGATAAAAATGTTGAGCGTTTGAGTGTGGAGCCTATACATATTCAGGGCTAATTTCAGCCTCACACGACCTGGCCTTACTTGGGATTCCCTATTGTTTACTGTGCCTAACATTGACCTAGCTATTGTAATCAAGTTTCCGAGCGACACAGTTTTAGCTATAAAGTATGGCTGATACGTTAACAATCAAATTTTAAAATCATTGATTTAGTTTATTTACAAGATTAATAAAGAGTTACAATTTCTTGTCTAAGTGGTCCAATGAATTTTTAGTGTGAAAAACATATAAAAATAAATTCAAAAATAGAACCCCCTCCTTACCCTAATTTAATCTTAGGGTATTTTTAAAAAGGCAAAGAAAATAGAAAATAAGAAAAAAAATTTTATTGGAATATATTTATTTATATTTGTTGCGGAAGATTTTCGTCATAGCCACACTGTTAATTAATATATCAACCTGTAGTACTGTAGTAAATATATAACGTATATATATATAAAACACAAATACCCGTTTCAATGTGTCTTGAATATAGAAAAAATGTACGTAAAATAGTAAAACGTGAAAATAAAATAAAATACGAAAGTCCGGTAAATACTGTACTGCGATACAGTATTTACTGGACTTTCGTATTTAATGTTCTTCCAATTATCAATCTACGTACAGTATGCGATTCCCCTATATCAGTTTGAACAATCTAGTATATCTCTCATAATATTTCCATGGAAATTAAAGAGGCTTTTGCCATGGATACTTAGCTATTTTACCTTCGGGTTGACTCAACACATCACTGATAAATCGCTTTTATAATATTACTAAATTATTCGTGGATAAATAGTTCATTTTAATACAAAAAGTAATGTTTAAAACATTTTTAGAAATAAAACCGTCACAAAAGCAATTATTATTAAAAACCTTATTGTCTTGTAAATTGCTCAAACATTTTCTGAGTTCTTTATACAATTACTGGAGTTACATTTAAATTCAACCATTTTAACTTTTATTGAAATATTATTGTTCATAATAATTATGAGAATTATTAATCGTAAGTTGATTGTAAAAATCAAGTTTAATCATAAGTTTATTAACTTAAGTTATTGAAAAAGGTATCAGATTAGGGTCAAGTGCAAAAATATATCATGTAACCTCGACGCTTATGCATCATGCTCATGCGACGATAAAAATATCTAAAATAATAAGTCATAGAAACTAAACTGTTTTAGTTACAGTTAGTAAAAACTGTAATCCCAGACACCATCAGGTGAAGGTAAATCCACACAATAACATCTAGTTGAAGATTATATTAAATAGCCATAACGATTAAACATCATTTTTGAGTACTTCTCAAAGTCTAGACAGGAAAACGTATGATAGGTTTTATAACTCAACTTCTTGACGATCGTGTAAGCTCTTGATTACAATGTGTTGATTGTGAAAAGCCTTGCCTTTTATCTGGGTTTATTCTAAATTCTTAAAGATTAAATTAAGCCATAGAAGTTGAATGCATTCTTTAAGAAATTCAATATTTTTATAGAATATTTAGCGTAATATATTACTCCACAGAAATAGAATTAGTGAATGTAGTGAATGTATACTGTATCTATACTGTACCTTCAGTTTGCCTGAGACGAGTGCAGGTACCTCGGTGTTGGGGTTGTTGTAGTTGACGGTTGGAGGGATGATTCCAGAATTCAAAACTGAGGCGACTTTTGCGAGGGCCACAAAACCCGTGCAGTTGTCGCAGTGCCCAACGTTTCCAGTTATTGACCCTATTAGCTGTGTAGTTTTCTTTTTGTTACAAAGTAGATTAGCCAATGCATTTAGTTCTCGTGAGTCGTATTCCTAAAAATAAAAATCCTCTCATTTAACTACAAAATCAATACATAAGTACGAATTAATAGAATATAAATACGCTATGCTTAAGTGACAAACTAAAATCGAACATGTTTAGGTATAAGGCTATGTTCTAGTGTAAAGAAAATTGATTTGTCAGGACAAAATAAGTACTCTTGATTGCAATAATGTATTACCAAGGCACCATTCCATAGTTCGTGGTTTGATAATATTTTGCCTCTGATATACTAGAAAATAAAGTCGTCAAGTGGAACGCAGAAGAATTAAAATCATTGGGAATCACAAACTAAAACTCGGCATGGCTTGATGAACATTTAATATTAAATTTAACTGTAATAGGTAGAGTAATAGAAATCGCTTCATTATATGTTGGGGTACATACCACGTTCTTAACTTCATAAACCTACACTAAAACTAAATAATACATACTAGATTAACATAAATGCAATTATTGTAAATTGTATAATTTTAAGGAGTTTTACATAAAATAATGAAATGAGCAAGAATTCTCCATATCAACTGAATAAGATTATAATTTGTTTAAACAAGTGTTTGATGCTCAGCTTGCTTTTCCTGTAATAGGTGTGTGCTTTTTTACTTTTTTTAAAGTAATGTTTTTAAATTACATTGTTTTTAACGCTCAAAATTTAAAACCATAGCAGACATTTTAGTTTTGGGAGCCAGCATTTTTAATTATACCGAAATTAAAAAGACTTTTGTTTCCGTTACAAAGTCAACATATGCTGATTTTTGGACATCCTCGAGCATTGATAAAAAACTTTTCACGGAAACTGCATTAGACTGCAAGAAAAATAAATAGTAACTCAGTATAACATTTAACATTTCCATGTCAATTATTAATGAGCTTCTACACCATTCTGGGAATATATCAACTCCTCTCATGTGAAACCATGCCCTTTGAGGCAAAAATGAGATCTTTTTGTAAATGACTTATTGATAACTATGAAAATAAAACTTATGTTAATCCACATCTTAGTTTCAATTTATTTTATGTCTTACCTTATTGGACATTCCATGAGCTTCAATATACCCTACGTCTTCAATATTTATAGCTCCGTCGTCATAAAAGTTCTTTAGAAAAGTCTCCATGTATGGATTGATCTCCAAGAGACTGCAAGGTTCAAGCCCCATATAAAGTGAGTGTGCCTTCCTAACAGTCCCATAGGATCGTTTAGCATCTCTCTTTCTTTGAATATAAAATGCTACTGTAGCCTCGCTTCTGACAAATCCATCGGCTGAAAATACGTGCAAAATAAAATACCCTCGTTGTATCAAACCTTAAGAATGAACAAGCAATTTGCATCAATCAATATATTGTCAATAGTAATAAAATTAGTAAGACAACGTGCTATATATATCACTAACCTATAGCCGTAGGATAAAAGTAAAGGCACTATTTTTGTACTTTAAAGCAAAATATGAGGGTTAAACATGTATGTAATATAGTAAATGCTTTGGAGGAAAGTAGAAAGTTTACTATTATGTATCATTAGCCTAAAAAACTCCTTTTCCGTGGTAGACTCTGTTTACACATGTATATATATATATATATATTCCTTTAGTAGCATTGCGTGAAACATCTAAAATAGGCCCTACTTAAAATATAGTAATTTTACAAATAGTGATTTTAACTTGTCGGAACCCTTAAAATTAAAAATACAGTGTCCCAAAACCAAGGTCCTATTTCAATATCTGCGTCAACGGCCAGTGCTGGGAAAATTCTCTAAAAGCAAATACTCACTCTTATTTATCGTTAGAGATCATTTATATTTTCAATTAAACTCTTTTTGATTCCACATACTCAATTAAAAATCCAAATCAGATGGTAATCTATTAAGTTGTGTAGTAAGATATATGACAACACGTTAAATATTAAATTCAAAGCAAGCAATAAAACACCCCTTTACCACAGTCTTTTTTGTACATTTCCTCATCTGACCTTCACAGGTTTTTACCAAGCCCTTTGTAATTGTTTATTTATACAAGTAAAATCAAACACATACCACTGTTCCAATTTATAGATTATATGAAGATCAAACTGTTAAAGTTCCAAAATGTCTACAATATTAACGTTGGCCAAACAACGAGTTGGCATTCATAAAATCTGAAATTCTTTGTGTAGTTTAAAAGACTTAACATATTTTGCATACACAATTTTAAGGACCATAGATCCAAATGCTTGCTTAACCCCAATAAATCTGCCAAGACTTGATAGCACTGCAATTCATGCTCAAACTTAAAGTGTAGGCCTAATGAATTGAGTTTAACATCGACATTTGTCTGACAAAGCCCGAGGCATTCGAACCCGTCCCAAAGTCTGAGACATTATTCACTAGGTTAGCAATACGTCCCAAAAATACTTATATAACACACACATCTCTATATTAGAGGGGGTTAGGTCTCTGTTAGCATTTTTAATTATACTTTTTTCTTAACATTGACCTATTTTTTTGTTGATAAAGTACCTACCATTGGCATCAAAGGGCCTGCAAACGCCATCGGAGGAGAGTAGTCCCAATGAGTTGTATTCGCAATCAATGATTGTGTGAAGAAGGTTGCTTGCTGTAGCGATCAATGCAGCCTCAACCAGTCCTGACGATACCATGGAGACAGCCTTTTTCAGAACAGTGATGCCAGACACCCAAGAGGAGTCTGTGTAAACGCTTGGACCTGTAATTTGCGATACTATTATTAGTTACTGATTTTACCATCTCGGAGTTAAGACTTAACTACATAGCTGTACAATTAGAAAGGCAATGTCAAAAGGGTCTTTGATGTAGAATTGTCAGTATACTAACGATTCAATTACATGAGATTTGTACACCATCGACCCATATGAGAGTTACACGAATGAGATGATAGTTAGTTATGCCAATGAGTACGATCAGCTGGTTCTTTAGGCGAAATCATTTCTCAAAAGGGTAATACTCAAGGACAGGAAAGTCCATTTTAGCGGATTTCCAATATAGGGAAGCTATTACCGTAGGTCTCATGGCTTTCCAGTTATAGTGATAACGGACACACATTCAGTCCAGGTCTTAATGTGCACTGAATGTGTTGGGGTTAACACGATAACTCGAGCAAAAATTATCCGAAATTGATGAAAGTTAGCTTAAACACGTAAACCTACATTTATTTGAACGAGTTTGCGACCCAGCATGATTTATGGAAACGGTGGTTTATGGAGTAAAAATTAGTTTACCCTTTCAAAACCTCTTTAAATTGGTTTACCCTAAATACATAATTTTTCCAATTTCCTTACAGACCATTCCGTAGAGCATAAAAACGAATAATTTAGTAGGCACATTGAAGGATTGTTATGCACTTAATGGTTAAAAAAGATTTTAAAAAACTGCAATTTTTTAATTCTTATTTTATTTTTACGGCGAATAAGCGAACCGTTGTATTTTGTTTGTTTGTACATATCTTGATGAAATTTGATAAATTTGTTTATTTCATACTTAGTTATCGAAAAGTTAATAAAAACCCCACCATATTACTTTCCTTGTAACGGCAAACCTAAGGACTCGAATGACTACATGGAATAGCGTTGACTACAAATAGATAACAATGAAATAAATAATATTTAACAATAAAATGTGATACTATAGTGTAAAAGAATATTGATAAGGCAAGATAAAGAAATATTATATTAATATGTAACAAATAACAATATACACAATATTTGAAAACGAGTTTTAGTATTTTAAGTAATCGGTAGTGTACATTTTCCTAAAACAGTCCTTGCCAACAATATCGGGGAACACTTTAAAACTTTCCGTAGTCTAAATTGGAGACATAATTACATTAAACCAAACACTTTATCCCGTTCTTGAAGGATTGTGGATAAAGGTCCCTAAGTAAGGGAAGAGATACATGGTAAGACGAAACCACATTAATAATCATTGGCTTTACTAATTTTTAAACACAATCGCTTTTTGGGTGGAGTATGAAATCTTCCTTTACTGACTCAGGATGTGTTGTGACCAACGAAAATTAAGTCTCCATCTTATGGTTTCAGTTTTATAAGGAAGATGGTGGTTTTAAACTATGTACAATACAGATAAAATGAATGTTTACCAGTAAAACTGAAGCAATAGGATATCCTATTGGCCATCATAGCGCGGCTGTTTCCCACCATGCCTGCGCCCTCACAGAATACCATCTCTGATAGACGGAGGGTCTCGTTGTCACTGGGGGATGGAGACACGTACACACCTATCTTGTGGCCCTTCAGAGTGAACGGACTGACTCCTGTTAAAATGCAACAAGTATTATGTACTGACAACATCCACGAACTATTTGGGATATTTGCTGACATTTTTCATCACGATTGGTAAAACACAGTTGCAACATTTTGATTTCATCCTCCGGTGAGTAGTAACTAAAGCATTAATGAAATATTACACAGACCCAGTGACAGATGGAATCCAGAAAACACTTATAAATAGCTATTTGTGTATTAAGAGCGCAAAGTACGTCATTGCCGCTCGAGAAATGTAAATAGCATGTATTTAGCCAAAGCTTCGTGCGGCCATACGTTTCGAGAGTGGCTATGACTGTTTGTGCTCGTAATACTAACCATACTCTATCCTACCACCATAATTAACTTATCATATTACTTAAGTTCTTAATTCATAAAATGTAATTAAGGTTATTTTTGCTTCATGTTATTTGCTCTCCAGTTGTTAATGCCAACAGCAAAATAAACAGTGATTTGGTGGTCCCTGCTCAATCAGCTGAATGGACCATTCCCGTTCTAGAGCGTAAATGACTATTTTCCCGTTTACAGGTGTGGAAATTTGATAATTTTCATGGAAGGGTAGGAAATTTTTTTTTACTTACTTCTTGATGGAGTATAAACATAAAAATCCCTCCTATAACATAACCTACCCCCCCAAAAAAAAAGAATAATTTACTGCTTTTGTAGATATATAATGGGTCTCTTTTATAGTTACCCTATATAGCTATTTAGCATAAATATATGGTAAAAATACAAAAAAGTAACCTTATCATAGTGAATTTTTGTGGTCACTTGCAGGACTCTTTTCAATATTGCATGTAGATTTTAATTATAAATTTAAATGTATAACCTCAAATTCTTTTTAAACTTAATTTTTTATTTTGGGCTTTGTGTATTTTAATCAATTTGTTTTATTTTTAGATCATTTTCTATTTCTTGATTTGAATACTATATACTTTCCATAGGAAAAAGTATTTGCAATTCGTAAATTCAGAATAATTAGTGTTCATAGGACATACAAATAATTCTAACGCAAATTACTCTGTAGCGATGCCACTGTATGGTGTATAGGATTGATCTGTTTTAATAATAAAACAATTTTAATGTTAATTCGATGATTAAGGGGGGAATTCATGAAAAAATTAAAAATCTGTAATTATAAGCCAAAAATATTTAAACTTTTTCTGGATATTACCTGTAACCATAGAAACAAAAAATGGGTTGGAATTTTTTCACGCCCCGTGAGGGAGGGGGGTGATTTTTCACGTTTTACAAGGGTTTACTAGATCATGTACGGATTAAAATCCATAAAAGATGATAATTTTTTCTTTCCAAGTGTTTCTTAAAGTATGCTCTCCTATAAAATGTTTAATGTTTTTAACTAGGTATTTAAAATAAAGAACAAAACACATAATATTAAAATATTTTCTATTAGGATTTCCTAAAAATCCATCCTACAGATCATAGAATTGAACAAGCTGAACAAAATAACCAAAAAAGTCATCTCCCTATTTCAACTAGAAGCGGAGCTGTGTTATATCTAGGGTCAAATACAACTTTCGGGAATCCACAGAATCAGCTGTGACCTTTGTTTGAAAGCAGCTGTGGCCTCCGCTCTTCCAAAATAAATAAACAGCTAATATAAGATACCAATATAAAATTGAATATAGTTTTTTCTATATGAATTAACTAGGTTGTAGGTAGATGCAATGAATATTTTATATAATATCTAGGTTTTAGTCCAATCGTATTACTTCAATTCTCAAAACAAAACAACCAAAGGTTGAAAAAATCTTCAGACATTAATAACTTAAAAAATATTTTTAATGGCAAATACAGATATTCCGGTCCTATATTTTATGTATTTTAGATACATAATTTAATTGAAAACAAAAATACGTCAAAATTGCATTTTTTAAATTCGTTTTTTCCCCATAAACTCCCACCAGAACCAGAATAATTTATCCAACGATGTTATTTCTGCCGGAAAGTCCTTAACTAACTTTAACTCTTATTGTAAACCTTATTTACATAGACCGATTCTAGTTTACATAAGTTTATTATTTATTGAATTCGACATATTCGTAAAGTAGTTTAAGCTATCATTGACTTACCAGCGTCTAAGATGGCTTCAAAACTTCTTTCCAGGATCATTCCCAACAAAGGGTCAGCATTGTTAACCAGGCTTTTCGAAACTCCAAATAATGTGTTGTCAAACCTGTTCCATTCTGGAATTTTTCCGGATGCCAGATGTATGTTTTGAAAACCTTAAACACATTATAAATACTACGATAAATATTTTAGGACAATTGTATAAACCCTGTTTTTATTCTGGTAACTAGTATTTGCATAATTTTTAACTGGCGAAATTTAAAATCCCGTTCTGTTAACACCAGTTATTGAAAGAATAGTTCTTACGTGAATGGGATGATGTTTCATCTGTTGATTACAAGACTATAATACTTGTAACGAGCTATATTTATTACAAAATGACATAAAAAATGTAATATATCAAATAAAAACAATCCAATGCCAGGTTGAACTTGTATGGTGACTGCATGAAAATAAAAATACTGTTTTGTGATTATATTTATGTTTTATCCCGGTTTCATGAACTTGAATTTTAGTCATCCCTTGTTGTGGTTAACTGTGTTCTTAAGTAGGTAAGATGTTTGTGTCTCCCTATGCAATCATTAGATCTATTATATAGGCTATAGTGTTAGTAAAAAGAAGATAACTTAAGAATAGCAGACATCGAGGACATCATGGCCTGAAGATCCCACAAAAGCTGGTAAAAAGGATAGGGTGACACAAAAATCTTACATACTCAAGAGTTCAGGCAACAACAACAATATGAGTTATGACCTAGTTATAACGTGCTTCTGGTCTTGATGTTTCACAGATTAGAGGTTGGAAAACGTAAATTGTCATTTTTCTATTGGACAAATAGTTAATTAATTGTTTGAGAGTGTAATAAATAAAGCAAAAACAAAGACAAATATCCAACATAAAAATAAGATAATACAAGGAGTAATATCTTTATCCAAAGCAAACCAGTCTGTCTTTGTATTACAGATTTACTTCCACAAAAAGTCATGCAGAATGTATAAAACTAAATATGACTGTTTTATGCAAAGATTATTACAAGGTAGAGTAATTTAAAACAAATTTAGATTGCTTTTTAACTTACTAGCTAATTTACAAGTTTAATTTAATCTTTACAAAATATTATTAGTTATTTAACTATAAACTCTTCCTAATCAATGTGGATAACTTTATTATCATACACTATATTATTGATGATTTTGATTTGAGGGCTCTGGTGCAGCTTCAATAGACGACATTTACTGTTACATTATAAAAATATACCTGGGCAATAGAAAAGCCAGTCCGAAATATGCGTAAGTCTATTTTAAAACATACAAAACAGACAGACAACCTGCATATATTGGTTAGATTTAAGGGGCTAACGATAAGGCCCTTTTCGGTACCTTACATTTGTAATTTAACTAATGTCGTCTAGCTGAGTATGATTAGCCTAAAAACAACTTAGGCAATAATAGAATCACCAACCTTTATATAGGAGTCTGTCTTCATCAGGTTTGATCAAAACTGATTTTGTTAACAGCTTCTCTTGTAAATCGTCCACAGAGAAACATTCTGGAAACCTTCCTGAAATCCCTGATATGACCACTTCATGTTGTTCGGAATCCATTTCACCTCCTACAGAAAATCAATTAAAAAATGTACAAATATGAAAGTTCATGACTCAAAAATATATCATGTTTACTGAGTTCAATTATACCCGAAGAATTATTTGCCTAATTTCATTTTGGTTTTATTAGATTTTTAATTGAATTTATATGTTTTACTCCAACAAGATATTTTATTCCCTCCATTTGTTCAGTTTACATCGTATATTATACTCTGATGATTTCTAAAAGATTCTAAAGAGTTGTGAAGTGTTGGTGATAGATTATTTATTCAAACACATAGTGGATAAGGAATAAATTTTATTAGAAGTGTTCAAATCAAATCTCTACCACAGCGATACAGCACGCTAAGAAGCATTATAGAGTTATAAACCCAAATTGTAATATTGTTTATGTTATAAATGCACGTTGCCTGGTAATAATTTCATTTAAAAGTTTAAAGATTTTAAGTTGGCAAATACTATTAAAACATCCTTATGGGAGTTTATATTGCTTTAGCCAATATAAGATATGGTACTTACCTTATCCAGCGAACTGGTCTGTCAACCGGAGAAGATTAGTTATGGACTGGGAGTTTTTGTGCGAAATGTAGGAACACAGGTGAATTTATTTCCAATGTAATTAGAGCGAACGTCACTAGGATGGAACAACAATGCAAGGTCAAATTTTCAGTCAGCATAAGATTAAGTGGGGCACTGCTGACATACTACATCTGGTTCATTAGTACTTTTCACAGTGAATTAGCCTTTAACCTTGAATAGAAACCCTGGACACGAACAACAATATCACCCTTGTGTAAAAAGTATGAAAACATATTGGTTCTAAAACATTTTGGTGCGGGTTTACCCAGTAACCCATGGCACTGTAGGAATTTTGCTGGTAAAACGTAAAAATGGTAGACATGAAACGGCTACACTGTACGCACGCAGATACCTCTTCTTACCCACCAAACTTTGTATTGACAAATGCCAGTTTTGTCTAGCACCAAACATCATAAAATTTAAAGTTCGGGTATTCTGCAAATGTATTTTTTAGTTAATTTTCTTGTAGACACAAATACAGACCTAATTTTTATTTGTACTTTATTTTGTAAAAATTACGGTTCAAGAGATTTTACAACTCCCATAAAAATATCATAGTTACTTTTACACAGGTGAATTTGGCTGTTGTGTCAGCCCGTGATGGCTGTTGATATTGCTGATACCGTACATTTTGTTTAGTTACGTCTGTCGATTTGGTTTGGTTTTTGTTTTTCATTCATGTCTCAGTGTAGAAAAGGGTGACCTAACGGAACCGTGTTGTTTTGTAAGAGGGGTGGGCTCAGGGCCCTAGCACGTCAACCGAAGGTTATGTGAATTTGAATCGTAGGTGGCGTTGTAAAAATACGATAACGGGAGTACTTTTTTGCCCAATTTTGATAAAAAAAACTTTGTATGGCCATGTAACACGGGATAATCTGGAACCAACCAGCAAGATCTGGCCATGGTAACGGGCTGTTAGGAATTTTATTCGACCGGATGGAAGCTATCTGTACGTTTATGGAAGCTATCTGTACGTTTATGGAAGCTATCTGGCTAAAACACACAAAAAATACCAAAAACATACAAAAAAAAATACAAAAAAATACAAAAAATATATATTTTGGGGTGGTCTATTGGTTATCCATTCCGTAGTAAATTATGCTAAACGGTATTAATCTGATTGTTCTCCCCATTCGGTCTATATTTGTAATGTGCTAGTTTGAATGGTTTGCTTATGAGCATTTGGTATGACTCTATTGTTTACCTTTTAATTTTAATCTTGCTAATACTGTCATTACAACCAATAAACCCATATGACCCATGCTAAATTTCTAAAAAATTAAATTCACGTAGAGAAAATCCCTTTTGTCCGATTTGTCCCATTTCAGAATTATACCTACCTCCTCATAAATGGTTATTATAAGGGAGCTAAATTTCATGTGGATCGCTTCAGCCATTCAGGAGGAGTTTGTAAAACAAAAGCTGGAATGTAGTACAAGAGCTTCGCTCAATAAAATATCATAACTAATTCTCCCATATTTATTTTACGAATTATTTCAAAATAAAGTAATGATAAAAAGTCTTTTAAAAAGTTGTTTGGAAGAGGATAAAAAATAGCATGGAATTGGTTAAAAATATTAATTAAATCATAAGTAAGGGTCTTAGAGCTTTTGGAAAACTTCAAATTATTTTAATTGTCTGCCATGACGTTCCGTTAATAACAAAAAAGTCATCAGATAACACATCGTGGCCTATAGTTCAACAACTTGAAAGCAACTACATAACAATATTTGTTCGCTGCTAACAGTAACCACGTAATGAAATCACATTTCCTATTGTCTTCACATGACGTAGTAACATTCCACAACTCCAAATTATCCAGATCTGTTATCAGATATCAGTTGTGTTTATGTGTTCCCACAGAGTACGAAAAATAAACTGATGACTTTAAGTAGATTTCAACCTTGAAGAAGGCTTGGAAGAGGGCTGTGATAGGAGGCTTCTTAATATATTGTATCTTTATCAGCTGTCAATAGAACACTCGGTGTATAGTTTCATATGTGCAAAACAAATATGATTGTGTCGAGTTGGCTCGAATTTATAAGCCCTATAAAAGAAAGAGCGCTCTAACATTATCAGTTGGTGAGCTATCGCACGCCCGACTCCCATACAGAAATAAACGTAAGTAAAGTAACATCATATCCTCGTAGGCTTAAATAGATTACTATAATCTCCAAAAGGAAGGTCTTAAATTAGTCTTTTTGGAGATAAGATTACCGTTAATTTTAATCTAAAATATTTAAATAATTTTCTTATCTCTTTCAAATTCCTCCTTGTGAAGTGTTGCCAAGTGTAAGAAATAATTAATTACTTACTGTATCATATGGATATAATTATAAAATATAATAAAAGTTATCTTAGAGCCTCTCGTATTGAACATATTCAGAACAACGATGTTTTAGCATTTTAAAATGTTTTCCCTATTATTTAATATAACGATTCGTAATCATTTTTTTAAATATATATAAAGTAGTTTTTCATCCTTTACATAGCAAGAATGAATATAATTGATCTGTATATATAATATAAGTTATATATAAATATAACCTTACAGCTGTTTAACCGGAGATTAAATTCCCTTTAAAAAATTCAACAAATTAAAAAAATAATAAATACTTCAGGAATAAAAGCTATTGTTAATTCAAAATATATTGTTTGAATTCAATTGTGGATCAAATCATAATTTAAATAATACAAATATATAAATATGAAATACAAAACTTTTAACTAGCCATGGCGGGTTAGTACACCTAAAACAATAAGCTCTCAATCATTAATTTGTAAATTCGTATAATGTAAATATCGGTCGTAAAAATAAACATAAGTAAATTTAATTTAAATAGTCTTATTATAAAACTGTTCATATAATCAATTAATAAAAATAAAAATATCACTCTTATTATTATAATTAACATGTACGAATATATTTTAAACTAACAACAAAAAGATAGAGTATATTAGTTAATAATCCGCACCACTTGGTAAGAAATATAGGAAAATTCATTTAAAACAGTATTTTTTACAGCTAAGTTATAATTCCATACACGAAGATTCCGTTAATTATAAGAATAATCAAATTTTATTTTTATTTAATTAATTTAGTACAATGGTCAACAGGTTAAAACTCAAATTAGTTCTCATTTAATCGGGCCAAAATTCTTAATAATAATATATTAGGAAATACGAGCAACTGAAAGTTAAACTTTTAAAGCCGTAAACCCAACAAACGACAAAATACAGTATTTTCATTCTACAGTTCTATAACAAAATGTAATAAAGAAGGATTGAAAGTTTAGCTAAGCAAGTATGTTTTGTCATCTTAAATATTTTAAATTAAACCTTAGCTTATTTCAATATGTATAAAGAATGATTCAAAATTTAACCATTTCATCCCTGAAAAGCAATCCCAAATATAATACCCTCCAAGCGCGTGTATTTTACTTTTTTACTATGGTTAAAAAACCACGTGTCCTCCTTTAAATTTGTAAAATATTTGTTTCATAAGCTAAGTATGCGACAAGATTATACCAATTCGCCAAATATTCCCAGTTTTGGTTGGTACATATAGTAACTTTTAATTAATTGTGGGTATTTGGTTTGATATTTGCATTCATATTTAGGGGCTTAGTAAAATATTTTTTTGGTTTCATCTTTGACTATTGGATACTGAATTAGACAATAAGACATCCCATCTATATCTCGCCATTTTTAGTCAAAAAAAGAACATAGTGTAGTGAGCCAGTCACCGAATGCGCTAGTGTCTAAAATTATATTTTCTACCTTCTTCTTTGTTGTGGACTTATTTAATAGGTCATAATAGCTACTATATCTCAAAATAAGCCGTTCCTTAGGTTTGATTTGGTAAAAAAGTTCGTGTTTTCAACACAAATAAGTAATTTACGTCAGCACAATTTCAATTAAAAACTGGCGATATCTTTGACATGGAGATGGCCTGTCTAGCCGTATCAGTAGATAAAGGTTTAATTTAGCTTAAATGTACATTATCTGCAATACAATATCCGTCTGATACAATATTAGTTGTAAAAGGATGAATCACTACCGTATGTAAAATCCCGTGATTGTTACTTTCCCGAGAAGATTTTTTTAAGTATGAATTAAGCGGACAGAGTGAGTAAAATAAAGTTTTTACAAAATACTATTTTATAAAATAGTTTTCAAAATACGGTATTTTTGTATAATGTAACATTTTTACTTCAGTAAGGAGATGCAAGTGTATACTTGTATTAAAACATTAAAGAGTCTGCATTTTCATTTACTTTCTATACTTTTCTTATAATATAATTTATTACTAAAATAGTCCTCCGCCCAAATTATGTTTGGATAAAAAATCCAAGATATATAAATTTTATCAACATGCGTTATACACGATTGTAAAACTAAGACTAGTAAGCAACGTGATATCGGCGAGGGGCAATGCGCAGCAAACAGCGCTTGCGTGGATATTAGTCAGTGGAGGGGGGGACTGCATTGACTAGCAAACGGTAAAATGATGTCCCGGCTTACAAGTCTCGTTTATATTTATTTTAAGCTTTTAGAGGGCTCTATAATGATGTAATAAAGTATTGTTGCAACCATATTCCCCTCCTGCAAAAAGCTCCATCGTCTACTTAACTGTAAAAGCTGCTGTGTATAGTTACATTTAGATTTTAATATTTATTTAGTCTTAATAATATCTTTTTTTAAATTAAATTTTAAAAACTATTAATTTAATTGAGCTGATCAAATTATGGTGGTAATTATGGTTGTTATGGTTTAGATTAGTTCACATAGTTTTATTTTTTTTATTTCAAAGCAATCCTTAATATATGGTCTCTTTCTAAAAAATGAAATGTTCAATAATCCGAATTCGGCTTCATATTTAAAAGCATCTTTTCACAAAATCATACTGTTTTATTTCCATGCAATGTTTTCATTCTATATTTGCCGAGTGCCCTTACATTTTTGTAGTAGATTTAATTTCGGAATAGTAAAATAACATTTTATACCGTTTTACGGCTTGAAGCCAACGTAAAGTGATTAAGACAACTGCGAACGCAAGATGTCAAACTATGCACATTCAGTCAATAATTATGCAGATCAATATTGTAGTTGTTCACTACAAGTTTACAAAATCGCATACACTTTAATTTGTTTATAGTCAGGTATACATTTTCACACTACAAAAAAACTATTTGGTTCTCTAACAGCTTGAGTTTGTGAAAATTCCTCCTCGGGCACTTAGTACAGTTATTTTTGGAAAATAATTCCTTGTAGTGAAACAATTATATTTTAACCTAATCGAACATCGTTAAAAGACTATTTTTGGATATTTTAAATACAAGAGCCATAAATATATAAATTTGCATTTTTCAGATGATATTCCCCATATTAGCAGTTTTGGCTGTCGGAAACCTGTGTTCCGGGCAGCTTCTCAGCCTGGATGCCCTTGTGGGGCTTAACATTGGGGGTGGCGGCGGCGGCGGCGGCGGTGGTGGCAAAGGAGGATGCGCCAGTGTGCAGTCCATTGACAGAAGTCTCAGAGACGTAAGTAATATCACTACTACAACAATCTTACTGTCTTCCCACACACACAAATGTTCTTTAAAATAACATTAAGAAACAAATAGTTTAACATAATATTCTAATTACAAACAAATTTTCAGAACCAATATGAAGGAATATTTTATTTGATTTTGCAATAAATTAAAAATATTTACGATCGCCAACCTGAAATGAAATTACAAATAGTATAAATCTCTAATGAACTTTAAATTTGTGACACGTTGCTGTATCTGTTCATAGGCCTACTGTGATCAGCCGATGTTCGTGACCTTTGCCCCCAAGACTGAGGAGGTCACACTCATCGACAACATCTGTTATACCCTCTTCCCTCTGCCCGATGACCCCAACACCTACCAGCTCTACATCTCCAGAGTCTAGTAAGTATGCCTAATACGTGCATGTTGGAGTTGCTGACGAGCTCTTACGTACCTAAAGAAGATGCATAAAATGTTGTAGTAAGGTGTCAAATAAAAGATAGTTTATTAATTAGCAAGACTTCGTCTTGAGGTGATTGGTTAGGTGTTGATGAAACAACATTCGTCTCAAACTGAAAAATACATTGAAAATTTGTTGCAAAATCCTTTGGTTACCTCAATAAAATTTGTTCTAAAGGCTGCATTCTGTGTTTGCATGAAAAATTCTTATAAAGTAAGTACCTCTGTGTGATGTATATAGTAAAAATAGTCATGAAGTAATGATAACTACGTATTTTAATATTTACAGCTGTGACGGTTCTACTGACATCAACTCCTACATTGTTACTGACATCGAATTGGGAGTCTTCAGGGCTGCTTGTGAGTAAATTACCCTGCTACAGTACTGAGTATAAGAACATTAGCATTTTTTATTACTTAAATGTTATGAGACAGTGATAAGAGAACAGTAATAAAACTAACAAAAATGCTATACAGTTTTGGAGAATAGCTGCATTTGAGAAAAGCTTACATTGATATTTCCCAAAAAATTAGTTCTGGTTTTGACTTTTACTCAAAGGAGGGAAGAGTTATACAAAACAAATCTGTGGTACCCGGGTGAATCAAATTGGATTTATATGACGTTTTTTTCTCAATTATACTCAAAAATAATTCCACAGATTACTTAAAAAAAATGTTCTGACCTACTTTCAATTTCCAGCACCCTACTGCACCTTCACCGACACCGTCTTCGGGTACGCCGGTTGCGACACCTACCTCAACTACAGATGCTACTTGTACGGAGGTGAGTTTTATTTTATTTATCCTTTTTTATGTTCATTATTCGGTAATATAAATTCACAGTACCCACCCAAAAGGGTTATGTCAAAGATTGTTCACTTTTCGTAACCGTGAGTATTGACTGTCGTGACGCTGTGCTCTGGGTTGCAGACTGCGAGCAGTACGACGAAGGAGTCGCTAATGTGTTCGGGCTGTCGCCTCTGTGCCGACCCATGGGTCTCTCCTGTCTGAGGAAGGTGGAGGAGATTGTCCGTGACAACTGTCTGCCCGAGCAGGACTACTACGCTCTCCCGATGAAACTCCCCAACAAGTGCGTCACCAGCCAGATCTGCGTCAACTCTCCCCCTGCCGTAGAGTTCGGAAGAGCTGTTGGAGTCGAAGTCGCAAGACCTGGATTCAGAGGAGGATTCATCTAAACTGCTGACTAAATACAATAGGATATAATTTAGGTATAATAAAACTGTTTTTAATAATAGATACTGTTATTATTTCGATTAACTTAAGAGTAACTCCATATTGTGTATGACTGTTTTTTATAAAAAAACGGTAAAATTTTGGAATGCAGCTTTGTCAATGCACACCCTTACCAGCAATATTTTATTAAAATGTATCTATAATATTTCAATTTTTTGAAATATTTTCGAAGAATGATAGATTATACATTAATTAATTGCAGAAGAAAACAGCTGTATGGTTATAATCATCATTCAATTCAATACAATTAATTTATTTCTCGCAAGTAATTTTTTTCGTACACTGCAGTGCCTTATTTATCTCTCTAGCTTCAAGCTATTTGAGAGGAAAACTTAATTCCATTACATGAATATAAAATATAATTTACAAATACATCGTATTAATACATTTTGTTTGTGGTTTTCAAATAATGTAATATATTCCTAAACAACAATTTTTGATCGGAAACATTGTTTATTATTTACATTGTTTTATTAATTTTAATAATAATAATAATAAAAATTTGATAATAATAAAATTCATAGTAATGATAAAAATCCTTATAATAATAAAAAAATCACAATAAAAATAATCATAATAATAATAAAAGTCGTGATAATAATAACTTGGAGATACCTGTGATATATGAGTTGTATATTTCAATAAAAATGACACATACAAGTTTGAATGACATAAATAGGTAACTAATATTTTTTTTAATAATCGAATTATGAAAAAAATAAAAACTAAACATAATAATTATAATTTTTACCCTATTCTGAATCTCTGCTGAACACTACACCAACACAATACACCCTTAAACTATATATATATATTGATCGGCCGCTCAAAGCAACGCAGTTTTATCAAAGAATAATTTTAAAATATATTTCAAGGGACTTTGATTTTTACATATTTTTATAAGCATACCTCTCGCTGTAATCAAGTTCCGTCCCCAGTTGTCTAAATATTAACTCTCGTAGTATATTTGGCATGTCAAGTTATTTTAATATGATAAAAGCCATGGCTATAACAGGAAAATAGTCTTTAAAATACCTTTATTACAGAGCTTCAGAAATCTTTTTAGTTCCAGTAATATCAATTTAACTGTAATAAAACTAGTCAAATATAACCCTTTTGATTATCTTTAGCACTTTGAGAATTTTTCTTTATTTTAATAAGTCACGTTATTTGTATTACTATTGTTGGGTCGCCAGTAAGCTAAAGTATATTGTATTGGTGGTCTTCCTTAGAAAATTAGAGGATGTATAGTCAAAACTCTATTTAACTATTCGCTGGTCATCCACCCACTAGCCCTCCTAGGGTGGGTCGCCAGTACAAGTACCACTAGGCATTGGCGATCCACTCTTCGTTTAAATTCTGTAAATGTGGTCTTAATATCAACGTTATTACCTGTGTTATCCATGGCATTATCGTCTCAAAATCTTTACTTGTATATGTTTGTCACATAAAAAATATCCGTACCAATTAAAACTTTTAAATATATCAACAATCACTCAATTCTGTTAACATTAGGAAACGATTTTTTAAAACAAGATTCGTGTGACATTTTACCAAATTTGTTATTAGTATAGAAAATCAATGCCTCTCAATGCAAATCGTAAAAAACTAATTGTTCAACGTGTTTAATTACTTTTGATTTGTTTTTTAATAATTAAAATGATCTAAATTATCATTTTATTGGAATAATAAAATCGTAGATTTTTTAAAATTTATCAGTAATTAAATTTTTTAAATTTGTCTGCATTCCCCCCCCCCCCCTATCAACATAACACAAATGATATATCGTAAGAAAAAGCTATGTAATAATAATATTCAAGTATCAAAGAAAAGAAGGTAATGTGAACTTGGTTATCTTTTTGGAAAAAGTTAATGTTAATAACACTTTCATTTCCAGGGCTGAATTGCATATCAAATACGGTGGTACTGTATTTCTACATTTCACTCAACTAAACACGGTAAAGGAAAGAGTATTTCGTGGTAATATGGGAAAAAGTAAATACGTAAATATATAATTTAAGCCAACTTTCATTTTTGATTCAACGTTAATAAATAATAAATTATTAAATGATAAATAAATAATATACGGGTGAAACAGAAACCTTTATAATCTTTGTAATGAGGAAAACAATATATAATTCTTAAAATAAAAAGAAAATCAATTTTTTAGAAGTGTACAGTACCCGATCTTACATGCGATTTAACAAAAGAATCGATGTTTGATTTGGTATTACAATATAGAAATTGTAAACTATTTATTCAACTTAGTAGGTCAAAAGTATAAACACCCCCGCCGCGTCAAACCTGCAGACTCATCTAATTTCCATTTGCCTAGTTGGATTTTCACTAAAACATCTCCTTAAAAATATCATTTTTATTCCCTATTTAAATTATATTAGTTTAACGAGTACACAGCTTTGCTACCACAAGGAAGGTAAACAAGTGCTTTTTTTTGTGACATGGTAATTATTTAGTATCAAATAAATACATTTTCCAAATTTTATAAACATGTGTTCATAAAAAAGCAAACTACTAAGTCAGTATATCAGTATGCAAATTTTGTATACCATAGTCTTTATTTATATATTTTTATTCAAAAGGCCACATTAAGCAAATCTATACTAAACGATTAAAAAGTAGTGGCAATAAAGGACATAAACTAAACACACATTACAATTAAAGATATATATTAATCTCTACATCAAGTTAAACATAGAAAATTATACACCACTTGTTCAAAACACATTAATCTAAAACATCAAGCAAAGTTTTGAAATCCTCCAACTATGAGGATAATATTTAGTACCATCTTCTATATGTTTCAACTTGTCTTGGTGTAGCTTCAATTCAAGAACGATATGAAGACTAAAGTGTTGAAGGCAATCTAAGGTAAGTATTGATCACTAATCAAACTAGTTAAACAATTTAAATAATCAACCGGAGACGTAGAATGTCACTCTCAGTCTAATATAAGATCAGGCAAAATGGCAAAACTGTATTTTATATGTTATATGAATTCTATATAATCTAAAGCTAACTATTAAGACAGAAAACGTTTATCGTTTGGTTATATTTTAACTGTTGCAATGTGTTTTAAGCTCTCGATACAGATTGACGACTAATAATTTTCCTGTGAATAAATTGCTGAAGTAAAATTAACAAAATATATTTAATCGAGCTATTTACACGTGTAAATAAAATTTATGTCTAGACTCAAGTCTAGATTTGATAATGACATCTAGTGTGTCGAAACTTGTAGCTACTGAGACTACCAAGGATTACGTCAGCAACAAGGTATTTAACCTCTAGATTAGTACTTATTAAGGAATACAGAAGGCCTCAAAAATTAAAACCATGATGAACTATGGATAATTTTTGTAAAGAGTAATTTTAGTTGGATTTGCAAGGCTCATATATTAAAATATTAAAACAGCTTTCAGACGTTCAACCAAATTAGAACCAAACAGTAGGTACAAACATACAGTTCATACTGTGAGCATATCGAACACCAAGCATCCGACATCAACGTCTGAATTTACGTTATTACTATGTTTTAACATTAAGAGTCCTTGGAGCCTAGACATTCTAACTCGTAAAACAATTAAAGAACTACAAATAAAATTTCTAATCCCACAGTATACTAGATATTTAAATTACAATCACTCTGGAGTTTGAAAAAATATTTTGAGATGGTAAATAACTCTTCAGCGGCTGTTTGAAATTAACGAAATCAACATTGCTCTTATGGCAGGCAAATCCAAGATGACCATTAGCTTTCATGGACTCCCTTGGAGAACAATTTAAAACTACAAAGAACATTTCTAATCCCACAGTATACTATATATTTAAATTATGATCAATTTGGTGTTTGACAAAATATTTTTGGACGGTAAATAACTCTTCAGCAGCTGTTTGAAATCATCCAGGATGGCCGCTAGCCTCAGATGACTCTTAAGAAATATATAGCAACATTTTAAGATTTTAAAAACTAAAGAGACAAAATAAATGCACGAATTCACATTTGGAATCGTCCAAAAACCGGCAGCTGGCAATGGATTATATCTGCAGTTTTTGCATTAGGGGTTTGTTATCTTGGTCAAAGTTAGAATTACATGTAAATAATGAATAACGTTTTCAATCCTGTTATTTAAAGATGGCAACAGTAATGCAAGTAGAACCTTGTTCTTGGTCTAAAAGCTTCAGCTTTAACATTGTTTTCGGCATATCAGGTAAGTTGATTCAATCTACAGTGCCTAGAGAAGACGATTTACGTGGGCAAAGTTTGACTTGCCAAGAGAGTTAGAAATCGTAGTAGTCGTAGTAATTAATAGTAGTAGTAAATTAACCGACTATGGGAAAGATTTCACTTTCAAATATATTAAAAGTAAGCTTATTATTGGCTATCCTGTAATACATGGCAGATCAAGAGAAGAATCAAAGCTTGCTATTCGGCCAAATATAATTTAAAAATACGCACTGTATCCGTAAGTAAATCACGCACTCTTGGTTGAAACATTGCCCATGCATTTCAGCTCAACATTTTAAAATTATAAATATGTCCTTACATTTATTGAGTTTCATTTTAAAATATTGTCCCAAAATGAAAATGTTTATACAAAATTCAAATAATCTAAATTCACATTCGGTATAACTCTCTAAGACTCATTCTAGCTACTGAATTTCCCGTGAATAATAAACAACCATATAAGTAAGCAAATTACAAAATATAGGACATGATTAGGTAAATGTCAGCAAAACACATGATGGATCTCAATTTTTTTTTAATTTTAAGCTGATGCTCCCAAGATATACCATTTTGGGGTCCCGGATAAAATTTCCATAGCATCCCGGACAACCCCCCTCATTTGCTGGTGGGTATTCCATACCCCCCGTTGACCCCCCCCCCCCAGAATATAGGTCTAGGACCGCCCTTGACATCAACCTATGCCTACATTTAAGATTTTCTTCTGACTTCTAGCGGGTTATCCTCCTGAGGAGACA